ATATATATATATAGGATGTCGTGGGTGGGTGTAGTATCCAACGGGTAAGAAACATTTATCTCAAAAGCGAAACTACACATTAACCCATTTATAACAGGGAATTCCATGGGAACATAAGGTGACTGAACAACCTATAAAAAGGTTATATTTTTTTTTCTGCACGTTTCGCTGGTCAGTATTCAAACTGTTTTATTGCATTTCTACTACAGAGCAAAGTTGTATAAAGGCACTCTCAGTTGTTCTCCGGAAAATTCTTGCGCATTCATAAGCTCAAGTGAAGTGTTGCGACATTATCTTTACGTAGTTCGTTGATCTTCAAAACCCTTTTCATAAAATTTAAAAAATCAAAAAAGGAAGAAAAATATTAAGGAAAACCTAATGCTATGTCGAGTAAAGATTCTTCCAAAATCTGGATAATTCCAACTTTTTTACTCATTCGTCGTTGTCGACAGTCGCACACTACTAATGTAATAGAGTTTAGAGTTCAGTGTCGAAAAATCTGCTCAGGTAATTGGATAAGCTCGATCTGATGATCAGTCGCTCTTCATTTTGGAGCTGAAGTCATTGTTGTTTACCTCGCTGTCTGTCGCCTCCTCTTCAATCTGCAAAAATCACGTTGAAAACATGAGAAAGCCTGAGCTGTCGGAACAAACTGATTTCATGATGGACTGTTTGCTAAATTCTGTATAACTGATGTGCTAGTGATGAACAGACACGAGGATGGTGGTACGACCTTCGTTCTACGATGGTTAACAATGTGGAAGATTTCTGCTTCTTTATGGCCGTTTTTATGTTTCTTTCGTTTAGCAAGTGAGACAAACAGCATAGAGTCCACATGGAATGAGGAATTTGAATCATTAACTCCTGTATGTTCATCAGGAACGCATGAAATTTCTGAGCAATAAACTGACTACACTGGAGTAAAGAATAAAAGGCTAAAAACTGCACTAGAGTAGTCAATAAAAAATTGTGAGGGCTTAGCTTCCATTTAGGATAGATTTTGGTTTTCTGCATGGCATAGCTTCAACCGTACCCTAACGTATTTATTGTATTGCCACAGTTTTGGCATATATTCACGAAGCGTTCTGCTCTGTGCAGAAAGCCATCTACTCCACAAAAAGGTAAAGGCAGCTTTATGTAGTTATCCTCTTGGTAAAAATGGTACAGATAAAACTATACCCGTATCAAAATGTTATGTTTTTATACCACTAAGGAGCACAAAAAGTGGCGTGGCTCGCAAAGAAGTTTTGCAGTGCTCACTTCAGTTAAAGATTTTATCCGCTTAGTGACATATTCCGTCACCTTAGCAAAAGTGGCTCTTCTAGTTTCCGAGATTAGATATACGTCGGGGATGGTGAAAATTAAGTTGAGTTAAGCATGAAAAAGAGAAAGGTAGGAATACAAGCAAATTCCATAAAGAAGGAAAAAAAAATGAGAAACGCCACCCTTCGCCTTCACCTTTGAACTCTATTATTTATAGCCTTTTACTTATTTCACATCATTTTTTCATGGCAGGGTGTTATGTAAAATACAACTACAATGATGCTGAGACATTTGCAAAACTCAGACGCCAGACCAGATTCGAGCTCGTCATTACCCCTTCAGGTGGCTCCACTATTTATTTCATAATGACATGTTCCCATCAAAACAACTAGGATGGTTCCACCAAATGACTTAGAATATTATTGAAAATGCAGTGGCTTAGAACAAGGGCGCGCTTCTACGTGACGATTTGCGAGCTGCCGAAACAAACTCGTGTGTTGAGTAGCAGCGATGTTTTGGGTGGCACTTCTAGAGAACCAAACAAATGAAAATGCTCTTGTACCCGTACGGCTTCTCTTGAAGTTTGACAATTCAAGGGTTAACATTCAAGCAAATAATTTGGCCTGGTCACTGTTTTTGCTGGGCGAGAATGGTGTTGTGAGTCAGCTGAATCACATAGATATTACTATTCTCTTCTCAACATTAAACAACCACGTAAAAAGGATGCAACCCAAAGCTTATTAAGAATAGTACTTGCTTTAATCTGGCTAACGAAAAGCTGCTTAGCGAATACTATGAACAAGAAGAATGATGCTTCTTCTGTTCATTCAACCGAATAGAGGAAAAAGGTCGGAAGTGCTAGTGAATACGTTAACGACCCGTACTTTTATTCCCTTTTCATACAATTACTGTAGCTCAGGATAGGTGTAGAGGAAATCGTAGGCCTCCAAACGACAACTCTAGCGATAGAAGGGTCCCGTTTATCCTACCCTTCATCTCAAATGATATAAGTACAGCTATAAAACGCTGCTTAAGAAGGGCGGGTTTAGAGAATTCGGTGAGCGTAGTTGAAATACCACTGAGTAATCTTAAGCGCCAGCTAGTTCGTAACCGCCTATATGACCGTCTATGTGCAACTCAAAATTGCATAATTTGCCCCAGTGGTAGAGACAGTGATTGCATGAGCTCGGGTATAGTTTATCTGATCTCCTGTAAGACGTGTGGTGACGAATACATTGGCGAAACGGGTGGACCCCTCTGTGTCCGCATGAAAGAACACCTAGCCGGCAAAAATAGACCAAATACCCCGCTAGGCGCGCATAGGACCCAGAGACATAACGGGGACGACTTCGAAGTATGTGTCACGATCCTCGCACGCGAATCAAGAACACAGGCGCGAAAAACTCTCGAGGCACTCTGGATTAATTCCAGAAATCCGAAAATGAACCGCAGGAAAGAATGCCTCATTATCACGCGTGATATAGGGCAGTATATAAAACTGCTTTTCTGATGTGAGGGGCACATTATACTTCCATGTGATTTCTGTGCGGTTGGTCTCTACGTGACATACTTGGTGGAGACCTCATAGAAAGCGGTGAGTGTGCAAAGCTGTGTTCAAAGTCATTGAAATCTTGGTTTGGAGTTTCCTTGTTTGGTTATGGAGGCGTCTGGCCGAGTGAGTTGCTATCAACTTGACCTTTCCAGGCTCTGAAGAAGGCGAAATTCGCCGAAACGTCAGCTTAATCGTGAACAAAGAATAGTAACACCTCGCGTTTGCTCAACAAAAATACGAAGAAAATCACTTGATCAATGCCGAGGTTAATAGAAAGTCGGTCGTGACAATTACTATAATTTACCTTTTTGAGGAATGACATTTGCAGTGACTCTTCGTTTCCGACAAAGTCATTTTTCTCATCGGCTTTTAAAAATACAAATGTCTCTAGAGCACCTATGAACCAAATTCCTAACTTAAAAGACCGATTTTCTATAAACCTAGTCATAAATGATCGATATATTTATTATTTATATCTTCTTACGAAGTGCTCTTATTGAGCTGATGCAAGATTGGCATAAGTTGTCGTAATTGTTGTTGTTGTTGTTGTTGTTGTTGTTGTTGTTGTTGTTGTTGTTGTTGTTGTTGTTGTTGTTGTTCTTTGACGGCTGACGTTTTGGCGACTTCGACTTCTTCAGAGCCGTGCTGTTGCGAGTGGAGTCTCGAAACAACGACAACAACGACGACGACAACAGCAACAGCAAAAACAACGATGGCGGCGACAACAAAAACAACAGCAACAACAAACAACGACAACTTATACCCACCTCGCATCAGCTCAACAGGGGTAGTTCGTAAGAACATATAAATAAAGTCCTATATTACGGAATGAAACAAGTTTAGAAGCGGCATTCAAATCACCTCACCACTAACCGAAAAGTTATTGCTTTTGTGAGATGTTCTTGATTAATTTTTATCGCGCTACATAACCATTATGCGAGTGCTCTCACTTCACAAAGTTTGGACAACGGGAAAACGGCTCGAAAAAAGAGGAACTCAGCGAGGTGTCGCCCGAATCGGCTACAGGGAACAGACTAGGTTTTTATTAAGCTGTTATCGTATTTATGATTAGTCGATAAAATGTTCTTAATAAAATATAATATGATTTGTCTTGAGGGATGTTTGCGGAAACTTTTAAAATCGCCACGCTTTCCCTTCTTGCGGCAATCGGACGTTTCGGAGAGCGACATGAGATACTCTTGCAGAAGCAGCAACAATTCTAGTCATTTATTTGAAGACGACCTTATGTTCCACGACATCGAGTGCTTTTTATAAGAAGAAAAAGGACAGTGCATTGTAATCTTAAATTCTCAACATTTTTCCGCTAGCTGAATGTTGGAAAAGGTATGAGAAACCTTGGTGTAATTCGGCCTTCTTTCATGATGTGTTCTGGTTCAGGGTGTGGTCGATTCGTGAGGCTCTTATTAGTTGCATATTTCATATATGTAGAAAGTATCTGTGGGCAGTAGTTCGAGGCGTTCTACAATATAAACGGAATCGTTGCTTCGAAACTTCGCACTGAGGCAGATCATCTCCCTTGTCCCTTCGGATCAGTAAATCACTACCAGACATGTCTATGAGTCTCGCAGCACTGAGGGCGCGTATAGAGCAGTGGTTAGAGCTGCACAATACACATGGGTTCGCTATTGCGCCCCAAGCCCACGAACCCCTCTATTCCTCCGCGGTTGGGTAATTGGTACCAGCCCTATCTCAGAGAGTAGCACTGGCTTGATAAATCGGTAAACTCCAGCAAGCCATTATATAGGCCTGTTACGCACTCAACAACTTCTTTGATGTTTGGTGAAGTCGAATGTATGGCATATTTTTCAGGGAGTGATCAGCACCGAAAGCTTTACCCTTTCTATTCGTGTATGAAAGAAACCATCGTAACTGTACGTCTTCATGGAAGAGCTTTGGTAATCGTCCTCAATATTTTCATCTTTTATTTTGCAACATTCTCCTTCCATGGCATGATGAAATACGGCATTCGCTGATCACTTCAAAAACCCTGTGCAATACTCTTTAGTTCGCAATAGCCTAATAGGCTTTAGTTCGTTATTTGTCTTCGTCCTTCTCTTTCTACTGGCATTTCTGTGGTCTTTAACATCACTCTAACACATTCATTGTCAGCTCCACTCTGACTCTTCAGTCTAATGTTGATTCAGAATTGACTAAGTCATGTTCGATGAACTTCCGCAAATCCTCCCCTCTCCTCTGAAGAAAAGACCGTGGCTTCATACGGTGTTGTTCAATGTCGCAATATTCCATTCCCTTCCCAACTGCGTTCCTTTCCTCTTCAAAAGCGCAGTTCAAAATAATGTGTTTAGCCGAACTGCACAGCTGCAAATTTTCAAGCCTTCAAGCTGAGTCCTCCGATTTCCCTCACTTAATCTCAGTTTTCTCACATTTATCCCACTCTGGCTTGCGAACCACACTTTTTATTGAAGTGCCCCAATGCGCCAAAACATCGTTTTTTGTGGTTCTCAAAGGCTTTCACAGGATCTCTCCAATTCATCATGGACATGGCAGCGACTAGGAAGTATGAAGCAGTGGCATTTTCCTTGAATATTTCCCGAATTTGAAGAATAAACCCATCCATTTCACAACAATAAGAATTTTAACGCCATCAAGTCGCTCAGAAGTATAGCGTTTGGAATTTCTACGTGTTCCGTCCATTTTGAGCGTTTATACAGAGGTGTGTGTATGCGTGCGTGAGTGCGTTGTGAGTGTGTGGAATTTGGAAGAATATGGACACTGCCACAAAGATGGAAATATGCTCAAAAGTCGGCTGAAAGTGTTGTATTTCTTCCTTACGGTTGCATTTCACATCCCACTCTACCGTGACAAAGTATAAGGGGCAAATGAGAGCTGGAACAGTATGAATACTCACATCTTCCACAAACGGTTACAAAACCTAGTTGAAAAACGATCTTTTAATTCGCATTTAGCCTGCCAACACTTGCTCAGGTTAAAAGAAAACGAGGTACGAAGAGTCCAGCTTAAGAACTTTAAATGACTTAACGAATTTGAAAACTGAACAACATGCACATCTGGAACTCGTTCCTTTGTTGATTGTGATGTGCAAATCAGCATGCAAAACTACAAAAGCTCACCACCACTCTGCTTGGCAACCTCGAACTCGATAGTCTTTCCAAAGGCCTGACGGTGAGAATCAACCCAACTAAGAAGGTGATCAAGTAGCAGTAAAAACCTTCGTGAAGTGACGAAAAAAATCTCTGCTTCATCTGAAATTTCCGATAGGTGACGGTTTCATAATGCGCACCAAAAATTGAACTATTTTTGCTTCCATATCTATCACCCTAGCCAGTTCGTGTGAACGCTTGAAGCCACAAGTTGGGTCAGCAAATCAGTACTAGAGTTCTCTGGTTGGTTAAAAACATTGACTTGATACGCTAGAGAAACGTGAAAAGCGTAGGTAAATAGTGATGTATAGTGAAATATGCGCTTGATTTACGAATCGAATCAAATGCATGGCACATCCTTGAAGGATTCAAGTGACACTGTAAACTATAATCCTTCTATTTTTTTTATCTCCGGTGATTATAGCAGTAGTGACAGTGTATTTTGTAGTAAACACTGTCGCCGTTGTTTTTAGATTAAGCAAATTTACCTGAAGGGTACGTATAAGAGAGCCGAGCACTCCTATGCAGAAACTCAACAGAAGCATTCTCCATACGGATTGTGACTCAGCGCTTGAGAAGCCAGTGAATCTAAGCTTCTCTGTGTTTCTTACGATAGCGAAACAACGAGGAAATTATGTGTACGAAAAAATAGGGATGTGATTTAGCTGGCTGTGAGTACGATGATAGCATTCTATTTTACAGTTTCAATGGAAGTGAAATAAACGCCATTTAGTACAGAATCTTTACAGAACGTTCACGCTCACATCAGAAGCAAGGCGATCGAAACCACTTTTGCCAGCATCAGAAGCAATCGTTCTCCATAACTGACCTAAAACACATCAGAATTGACCAGAAGTTGTTCACGCATGGTGGTTGTAAGAGAACGAGCTTTAGGTTTCTTTCTCTATCCAGTGAATTACAAGCGATAATGATCCCACTTTTATTCGAAAACGCGCTAACTTTATCCAGAAACACTGTCGCTCTTACCATCTTAGGCATTCATTTAATGCCATGGTTATGAAATAAGGAGCTAAGTGGTGAAATGTCGAGAAGGAAGGCCTCTTCTCGATACAGCTAAAGTGGACTGCAAATGCTACTACTTGTAGAAGACATTGCACTTGTAGCCAAGAAACCAGTAACTAGGCTTGTCTTGTGACCAGTGAATATAATTAGGGAATACCACCAATAGAAATCCTTACCGAGAGCATGAAGCACTAAAAGTCGCTGCTTCGCTGAATGCGAGATAACGATGAATTACCAAGTCTACGACCGGCTCATTTTTAGTAAAGAGGATTGCTAAAGTATTAAAGTTTTATTTCTATCGTTACGACTATATTCCGCCTAAAGTTTATAGGAACACTATGCAATAGCGCGATTCTGGAAGTCAGTCCTTGGCAATGGACTCATCTCTCAGTTGACTCACGGAAAATGTGTTCGGTACTTCCACCCGGAAACCAGTTAAGAGTGAATCTATGTAACGTTCTTGGAATATAGCAGGCGGCAAAGTTTCTTTTACAAAAGTCCTATCGTCAAGGTGTAGTAAAATCGAAAAAAATTGATGCCTTTGGATCGTTCAGCGTAAACGATTAAAGTTTTATTCGGCCACTTTTAGCCGAATTAAAGTAATATAGCAGACTGGTGTAAGATAAACAAACCGGGTGTTATGGGTTAAATTGCCACATGATTCCTTCGCAGCCGTTGGATAGGTAGCAGGGTCTTTTGCAAAGAACTAGAATTGATTTTGCAATCAACTCTGGAGCAAATGATTTTAACGGCCTAATCCAATCCACATTTAGTGTCTCGTTAAGTTTTACAGTTAGAAAATTGTCGAAACATCAATCTAGTTCGAGATTCACCTAATATTTTGGTTTACAAACGCAAACCTGCTCAAGCTGGTGGTAAACAATTGCTCCGGCAGATTTGTCTGACATATCCATGTCGATGGGCAGATTTAACGACCAAATGTAGCCGTGCATCCAGATGCTGCTGAAGAGAAAGTCAAAGAGATGCGCGGAAACGAATACCGCAAGGGCTAAACGGTAGGCCACAGAAAGCATTCGTCGGATTCGACGCTCCGAAACGGATAGAGACGACAGATCTTCGGGCTCCAGAATACGAATACGTGCCAGACACTGCATCTGTAACTCCGAATCCAGCTTGCTGTACAAAAAACTTACGGTATAAAAATTTTTTATTTCGCATAGTATTTATTTATTAGCTCGGCTTGTTTCTGTACTCTATCTTCAAAATTGAAAACTGTGTCGTTGAAACTGTCAATCTGAGTGTGTAGTTTTTCAATTTGCTAGGTAAGAGTCCAAAAGAGCAGTGCTGGTGATGCCATTAGCTCGTCTCCGCGCCTGGCCCACCAAGGCTTTTATCCCCCCGAGGTCGGCAAGTATGGAGTGAATCTATCCCTTCAACCCATATGAGAAGGCTATATGACGCCCATCATGAGACTACATGGAGAAACAACTGGATCGGAATCCAACGATATTCATAAGAAAGACGACAATCCTAAAGAAGCAAAAAAACAACAGGAATAAGCTCGGAAGACCTTCGTGGATAATGTACGCGAAAAATTAAGTTGAATGCAAGAAGCACCAGAATCTGCACGGTACGTATGAAAGAAGGGTCACGTAAAAGATTCGCTAAGGAGGATTTTCGATATAGTGGAGAAAAATTTGACAAGGAACTTCCCGAATTAACCAGTCAAGTATTATAAGGGCAACTGCTAACTGTTTGGGAAGGTCTTGCGGCAACGCTTATCAACTGTGTTGTAATTATCCCGAATGAGCTCGTAGTTCGTTTATTGCTTGATTGCACGGTCGAACAGCTGGCCGCAGACGACGGAATGGTTGGCATTCGGCGGCGACCAGGCGAGGTCGTTTTCATAACTCGGGATGCACTGACAAACACCTCACGTCACAATGTGATCGTTCCAAGCGATCCCTTCAAAGTGGCGGCGACGTCGTCGGGCCCTAAGGGCCAGCATCTATATTTCCTTGCACTAGGAAGTATATCGATTTCGCTAAATGACATTTGGGCGCTCCGTCCGTTGTTCCATCTTTTCCACTCTTCCGCTCCTTTCTTTTTTCCTTATTTTTGCGCCCTCAGCAGTTTCATTCTAGTCGTTTTCCATCGATAACGCTCTCCTATAATTCACCAATGTCGAGTATTCTGCCCTTCTATAATGGAGACTGATTTTAAATGAACTCCAAATGTCTGTGTATTATTCATCAGCATACTGTTTCGTCCTTGGCTTTAGCTCTCGCTCCAATGACACTCCCTGCTTTTAGATTACTCTTCTTTCATCTTTTTTTGTGGAAAATGGAATGACATGAGGAAAACAAGCTAGTACGGCGTATAGAGACTAGAAGGCGGCGAATCCTCAATAAACGCCGAAAGCATGAGGAAATGGGAGCACAATCTTAAAAATCCTACCGATGGCATACCACTCACCCACATCACTACATGAAGAATCTACGCGTCATCAGTTGCTTTACCCTGCATTCCTTGGAAGGATGTGCTCACTTCTTGGATATTATTTTTAACCGTTTTTTTACTGGCAATATCATAGGCGGAGACTAGAGTAAAGGTAAGGAGTATCCTGCGGAATGGTCCAGAATATGGAAACCAAAGGTAAGTAATGCCCCTCAGGTAGCCAAATAAAGAAAAGGACGGGAAGACGAGAAAACGTAGATTGTATTTGTTAGTTTGTCTTTCTAGTCATCAACGCACTAAGCCAATTTCTCCTCATTAGGAACGGATGTGAAAAAAGGGAAATGTAGTTACTGCGGTCTTGAACGGTTTTCGAAACATCCCAAAATCATAGTGTAACAATAGAGCCGATATGAGTGTGAATCTTTCACAAATACTGAAATATGATACGGTATCGGGTTAGCAGACTGAGTGTCCAGAGCGGAACAAACGAATAAACTAGCAATTTACTCAGAAACTACTCGGTTTTCCACCGTCCATTCTATACTTTATGACTATTTTAAACCTTTTAGATCTACTCGAATAACTTCGTTTAATAAGAGAAGAGCATCTCATGAGAATGCAATTATGACGGCGATAATCATTCAGCAACAAGAAAATCGTAGAAAATCTTTTCTGGTTTATCGATCGATTCTCAGTTTTACTTCGGCGAAAAGTAGTTAAAGTAATTATCAGAGGTTGCACTAATTGAGCCATAGATAAGTACATTGAAAACTCGAGAAGAAAAGCAATGGAAGTTGAAGTAGGGTCGGAAATTGTGTGACGGACTGACAAGAGTGGACGGGTTGTGGTCTTGAAATCGCCGAATCCTTGACCCCTTCGACGCCCCTCCTCGTTCCGACGATCGAACGTCTGACAAGTATGGTTCGCTTTGGAAACCATGAAAAAATAATCATGATGCATTCGAATTCAACAACTCCAAGGATTTAAATATATTTTAATGTAAAAGAAACCAAGCTGGAATAATTTCAATGGATTCTATCATTGCTGAGAGCAGAAGACCAGTTATTCGGCTGCATACGGGCTAAAACTGTTTAGGGAAGGCAAAGTTGTCCGTGGTTATTATCGGATTTTCTAAAGCTTTTAACGACTACTCTGGGTGCTTTGTCTCATTTGCAAAATTCTACACTAGAATGATCCGAATTTCTCTTTAATCTTCTAGCGCGATCCTCTCGGCTAGGTCTTCTCTCATTATTTATGGTTTAATGTGCGCTGCATTGCTCAAATAAATGACGAAGGAGAGCGTTGCTCAGATTGTATAGTTCTTGTGGGTTCCAAAATCGTTTTTGCTTAGACTTTCGAGTGGGGATGAAGTTGTTTACGATAGGCGAGGGATGATATTGGGTGGGCGACATTCTGAGTGAAAAGTATCAACGTGAGCGCGGGGGATGCCGATCCGTCCCGGCAAGTTAATCCCATCGCTACTCGTTTTGCAATCGCACAATGGACAAAGACCTGCTTGGATTCAGCTGCTTTCTCTTGCGAGGAATTCGATGTCCACTCCTGACGAAAGCCCCCGACCTAACTGAATTTCACTCTCACACCACCCGCGGCGCGCTCCGTCCACTGCCACGGCTGCCATTGAGGTTCCTCTCTTGGAACACGTGCGCCTTTTCGTAAAGCTCTGCTAAACCATAAAACTCGTACTGCACTCTGTAGTTTTGCCTATAGAAACCAATCACTTTGAAGAAATTTTTTTTGGCGTTGTTACATCCAACCTTTTCATCATGCATCGATGTCAATGCCTAGTACAAACGAATTCCAACTTGGGACTTTTTTCGAAAGTTCGTTAACAGGCAGCTGTGATTTGCAAAGTATCCATGCACTTCTTAGTTTCCTTTCCTTTTCTATTTTTATAATTTTATATCGTTCCAAAATTTTCTTGGTGTTGGAAAGCTTATCGATTTTCAGGCGAGCCTATGAATTGTGGTGTAAATGTGGCTATTTCATCCATTTTCTCGAAAACCGTTCCTTCATTTGCTTTAGGCTTAATAACGTAGCGAAAATATCGGCATTCTTTCCGATTCTTCTCCTTATTCTTTAATTTCTTCTTTGAATTCTGAGAAAAGAAAATTTGGCATTACTACTACACTGGCCATGTGATTTCCTTTAGGTTTCACAGATGTGCATTAGCATATATATATATATATATATATATATGTATATATATATATATACGTATGCATATACATATTTATGCATAGATAGATATATGCATATATATACACATATATATTCGGATACACGATTTCTCCAAGTGTTGATATTGAAAGTATAGGGCAGTGCAAATGCGTTTTCAGATGCCTTTGGCCTTAGACATCACTGCTGAAAACTGCTCTGATTAGGAAACGGGGTGGCTGGTCAAAACTATTTGCTGTTACAGTTTACAATTCATCCACAAATAGCTCTGATGCTGTGATTATATTTGCGTATTCTCATGTATTATCACTTAAGTCCCACAATTTCAAACATTGTTAGGAAATTCTTGCTTCTGTCAATGCTTGTCGGTTATTCAGCACCACTCTTTACTTCAAGTTGCGCGTTTTCACTGGTCCACTAATGAGTCTTTCCAATAGTTTTCCGAGCATCGTGACTGAGGAATATTTTTGAATGGAGACATTCAATAACGTTGACGCGATTCTTTCCTCAATGTTGTTTAGAACTGAGAAAGATCTCGAAATTTCCGTTCGAAAACCAAGGTAATGTTGATTCTGCGCCACAGCGGAACCAGCCAATCCACTCATGACCACTTTCTTAGCAAAGAGAATAAAATTATGTCGCTTCGTACCAACGACGTGATCCTTGTCGTATCCCTTCAACAAACGAAAGTAACTCGGAGCTCTTGCGCGCTACGGGGCTATCAAAAGGTTCACTGGTTTCAGCTCGAGTATTAGCAGGAACACAGGCGTTAAATCGGGTGCTGCCGGTTAATACTTTCTTCGCAGAAATATGTAGCGTGAGAAAGTCTGCTTGTTGGTAGCCTTGTTGTGTTTCATTAGGTGTTCGATCACGATAGTCTCCCCAACATTCGTCATCCACAGAAACTCACTTAATCTTTTGGTACTGGTGTTTTTTTCGAGAATGAATGCTTCCTAACTAAACTCAAATCGTCACTAAAGAATTTTCTAGCTTTTTTAGCTTAAAGAAAAGCTGGTCATGTTCCAGCAGGTTTTTGAATATTGCAAAAGCTCTTCGAAGATCGAAATAATTATAAATGATCCGTAGGAAAGCTATGATTCAGTCAAGTAGAAATAGAACTGATAAAGAGGTTTCCGGGCGTAATAAATATCATGGATCGATACCTGCTAACAACGACTCGTCGAGCCTGCAAACCAGGCTACCTCATAAATTCATTTGTATTCTGCTTAACATGGATTTCATAGACCGCACTTTTTGCTTCCGAATTACTTTAGTTCTTGAGTTGCTGCCTTTTACCTTTTGAAAGACATTATTCATTCCATTTGTTCAGATTTTCGGCATGCCAAGCCTTACTGACTTGTCTCGTCTACTTTTTTCCGTTCCTTCCGTTTCGACACCTATTAATTTCAGTGTCGTACATTAGTTTCTGCTCAGCCTCATGCTGTTCCGATTATCTCTATATCCCTCTTGGCCCGTTCGGACCCCGCCTGCTACTTTAATGTATCGATTTCCACACACGAACCCCGTCGATGGTTCACGGACTATAAACACTATTTCGGAGATGATGAACATCCATCATTTTTACTCTGAAACCCTTAATGAACACTTTTTCGACATTTCCAGCTAAAATTTAAACGTTTTGCAGTGGTCCTATAATCAGTGCTAAGTGATTTTTAACGGTGTGCCTCTCCTTCTTCTATTTTTGTAAAGGGTAGAAGTGACCGAATAAATGTCTGTCGTTGTTAGGCCGAGAATCCGATGCGAAACAGGTATTATGGAAGGCAAAACAACATGAAAAGTGCCATAAAGCTGACTAAAAGGGAACTAATTCAATGTTTTTAGCACCTTGTGGTGAACGGGGTAGTTAGTTGCGGACTTCCGGCCATTTTTTTATGGAATCTTTCTAGATTTTCTCTTTTCTTAAGAGACGTTTTTCGTCAGATTGATAAGTTTATGCAATTTTCGCCGATAAATATCTCCTATCAACTTGCAACAGCTGCCAGCGTCTTTATGTTAGCTTGGTCGTTTGCGAGGCTCTGCCTCGCCCTTGAAACCGATAAAGTGCTAGAATTCAATAGTCGGAGTTTGAAGGCGAGGTTCTTTCTGTGGAGTGCTGTCTGGACATCTGATGAAGTGATTTTGCCGGGAAAAATTCTGAAAATATATTTGAGGATGGCCGAAAAATCGTTGTGTAATGCATTTCCAGGCCGCGGTGTCCATCGATCCTCAACCTCCCTTATGTTTCCCGGCAATCCGGTTCATCTCCCAACTGATAGTTATAATCCTGGGATAAAAACTCAGCACCTAGCTCTTGAAAACGCCTTCCAATTTGCCGTTGGTCTATAACATTATACATAATGTCCTCGTTAGAAAACAGATGTTGAGACTTTACTGCAGCGGTTGTTGTGTTTGTTTTCACGCGAGTTCCCATTCTATTCAATCAAAAATAATATGAGGTTCGCAGACGTTCACTTCATAAGTTCTGGTATTTTGAAGTACTTTGGACATAGTTTTTCATTCATAAGCTAGCAGGAGCTTAGCAAGAAAAGGACTTACTACTTTACTTTAAGTACTTCAAATGTTGTTCTTCATCCACATATGTTCAAGCAGTGAGAAGTTCATTCAGGTTCAGTCAATGCCAGCTTCATACATTTAGAAATTTTCAAGCTAAGGTAGAAAAAGAACTTCGGTTGCAGGATTTCTATGGAAATATGTAAAGCCACGTAAAGCACTATGCAAAGAAACAGTGAATACTAATTAAGTATTACCACATTTTTCGGCTTTTCCACGGACCTACAAATACTTCCTAAGCTTATTCTCTCAGTGAATATCACAAAAGCGGCTAGTTAGCAATCGTCTTCCCTCGGCGGTTCATCACACCAAACGAATGTCGATATGACAATCCGAGCGCTAGAAGTATCAGCGGTGATGGATGGGTAATCCCCATTTCTTTTGTATCCTCAATGATGATATCTAAATATTATTGATATTTGTATCTAAATAGCTGATAAACAGAACCGCAGACACAACATTATCAGCTTCGAAATTCGTTGCTTGAGCGTTTAAAACGATGAAATGTCGAGAAACTTCGTGCTTTGGGTTGTGTTTGTATTTTTATGCTAATAGGAAAATGTGAACTGTATCACTCAGACGTTCGTTCATCTCTACAAAAACTATCTGGAGAACTTTGTATGTATTTTCTTTCATGAGTAGTTTTTAAAGATTCATCTGAATAAATCATCACCAGGGCAACCAGTTTCATACACTGTGACCAAGAGGAATTGTAAACATGATTACGTCTTGCTTGTTGAAACCTCACTCAACAGTACCCTCTTTACCAGGAGGAGTAAGGACGTCCTAGGTATAGAATCGGTCGCTCTACGTTCCAGCTGTTTCTCTTCAACCGCAATATTTTCTTCACAGAAAACTTCATAAAGAACCCCGAATCATCAACTATACTCAGAGGAAGTGCTTTCGTGAATGCATTCACATGAACAGTATCCAGATGTGTCAGAAGGTAGTTAGTGAAAAGTAATTGATGCTTACCAAAAAAAACTGGATCGAGAAGGCCATATTGCGTTGTTTAGGTAGTACATAGTTAATGAATTGGGTGTAGTTGTCCCAGAAGTGCAATGATAAGTCAGAATGAATTTAACGGTAATGGGTGTTTATCAGAGCATATTAAATATTTTGGTCAAGTTGCAAAATTTTGGAGCGTGTAGCCAGTTGCTTGGAGTGGCGTGCACGTGGTCGTTGGTCCGAGTGTGCCCCAGGCTCACTAAGCCTTCCATCCTTTAGTAGTGCGGGAATCATATCGGTATCATATTTGTCTAAGAGGGTAGTAGCACTGCTTAAATACGTCGTTAGGCTACTGCAAGTCATTGCATAGGCCAGAAATGCATTCAATCATCTCTAACGAAGCCCGAGATGGCTGGTTGCTTGGTGCATCTCCCATGGATTGATCAACACTGAGAGCTTTGTATTTTATTGTTTCTATTCGTCGTAAAATATTATCGCTGGCTCAGCCCTAGAAATGTTCGATTTCATAGCCAATAAACTGAACTTGGGTTTTCTGAAACGCTGGCGTTAGCCGGGCCTCCCCTGTTCGCCACCAACATCGTCATCTCCGTCAGTTGATGACAATTTCTCTCTTGTGGTGTTTTGCAGTTTTAAGATCGATTTTAGCAAAGTTGTAACGTACAAACAAGGTTCAGAAATCGCGCTATCACTTTATACATTACTCAGACCACATCGACTAACTTTTCTAAGCCTTCGATTAAGCAGCGACCGTGTTTAAACGTTTCTTCTTAGTTATGCACCTCCCTTAGAAATTTAGCAAAGAAGAGCGTTTATTCTTCCATAGATATCATTGTTGCATAAGTGAAAACCAGTAGTGCCATTTTCAGCTCTATTATGAAAAAGTAGAAAAATTCAGACAGTCTCATTTCATCCGCATTTTCAGAGGAAATGAAAAGTGGAAAAGTGAAAAAATCCTTTCTCCGATATCGAATTTTCCCGCTTCCTGTCTGAAACGCAAACGAAAAATCTCATCAGAAAATCAGGAAGAGCTGTATTTGTTAACAAAAAGTTTTTTCTATGAGATTCGCAACAGTCCCAGTTCACTTCACTGCACTTCAAAATGAAGGGAGAAATAAGAGAAAGTAATTTAATGGTTGAAGTTCGATTTCTTTTCTAGTGTTTTACTGTTTTTGGACAGCTGTCGTTTTCTCACCCTGTGCTGAATACTTGAAACCTCGAAATTTGTTGTTCTGCTGTCGAGATTGCCTTCAGTAAGATGTGATGTTGCTTTATGTTGGAATTCTTGACTGTCGTCATTGCAGAATGAGCTGACCGGAGCGCACCATGCTGCGCTTCCGTCCTCTCTCCGACTAGAAGCACTCCTACATCCTTCCGACCACATAGATAAGGTGAGGATTAGAAGAGGCGCTTAGTCATTCTTCCACTCTTCAGTCGAGCGCTTTCTTTCACGGAAGTCGAAAACATTGATCATGAGAGCACTTGTTCATTGCAAACAAAATCTATGACGTTAAATGTTAAATTATGATGACAACTTCGATACGAACTATCGATAGAATTTTTCCATTTCGGCGAAACTCTCCTGAATGAAACCTCTACTCTCTCCAAAGAAACGGCACTTTTTCTCGAGAACAGCGATAGTATGGATAACAGCCTGGATAGATTTAATCGGCAAGAAAAGTTGCACTCAATTCTGGTGTAATCCTAACGGTCAGCGAACAATGTGAGGCCGTTATGATGACAGCACAGGAGACTTTAAAATGGAACCAGAAAATAAAAGTAACTTATCCAAGTTATTTTGCCGGAAAATAAATTGTTCTCTGCATGTTATTCTCAGGGGTCAATACCTACGCCCTCTGGCGGCACTATATTAAAGGAAATGTGATTGAGACGACACTGCAAATTAGTTAAATTCAAACCAAAGACATCTACGCAGACATAAAGGATTTGGCTGAATTACCTTGGAAGATCATGCGTTGGTGGAAATTCTTTAAGAGCTGGATTAAAAGGAACAAGGCCTTACGTGAGACATTTCCGAATGGCTTTGAATAAGTAAGGAGTAATTCGCAAGTATAAATGTCATTGTGCTGACCTAGTGATCAGTAAGCAGATACTTGGATGCTTGGGTGGCCCGTCCTCACGAGTTGTGGGAACCCCAGCACATTTGCCGTTCCTTTCTTTTTCTTGCAATCGCCGTCTATGGTGGAGGTTTGATTCGAACATGGTGGCGCATGTGAGGCTCATACCGTGATCTGTAAAATAACCGCAGCTGCATGTGCAACTGATCGACTTTGGTTACGTACAGGTCTGCGCAGCGTTTTGGTGTCCGTCCTAGGCTACGCCTGTATTCTCGTGGAGTCAACTCTACAGTTCTTTTCGTCCATCTGTCGTTTGTTCTTCTCATTTTGTGACCAACCCATTTATTTTTCGCTGTCGATGTATATTCTCCTGGATCCCGAAGACATGACAGATTTCGAAGATCAGAGCTTCGCATTCCGGCTAGATGTTGAGAGTGGCAGTTGCATTCATAAGCAGATTAGGTGAACAAGTATTCAATCTATAGGAAACTCCCTAAGTAAAACTATTCCTTGAAATTGTTTGCTTAGAAATCCTACTTAAGCCTAATGAGGTACAGATTTTGGTTACGGAGAGGGATGAAGAGGCGCGATATTTCTCGGATCTTCTCACATTTGGAGATGAATAACGCAACGCAACTTCAGCATTGCTATTTCAGGTCAATGGGTGAATTTAAGAAGAGAATCATACCGTACTACAGACCGATATCCATGGGACAAAGAGCTGCCAAGCACAACATGCAGGTCAGTTTTATGTAACGCAAATGCAAGACATTTCTTTTTCGGTGATGTACTTGAAAACATAAGAAACAAAAACTTGAGGATGTCGGTTGTTTACTAACAGTGTTGATACATTGTCATTTTGTCCTTTCTCTCAAAATTTCAATTCGACAAAATCTCTTATTAGACATATTGGAATACTTATATGTTCGCCGTTTTAATAGAATTTTCTTGTTCAATCAGTTTTGTCATTGTACTAAGTACATAGGGATGCGTGGTTCGCAGTAGTCGGAGGCGCCCTGCAATACACCCGTGGAATCGATCCCTGCGCCCATGACCCATCAAGCCTTCTATCCCTCTTGGGTTGGCAAGTTGGTACCAGACTTGTCTGTAAGGCCCTTACAATGATCTGCGGTGGCTGAATACATCGGTACGCCACCGCTAGTCATTGTAAAGGCCGGATATGCATTCAACCACCTCAGAACGATGCCTAATGAAGTCGAATGCATGGCTCATCCGTCAGAGATTGATCAACGCCAAAAGCTTTATCTTTATCCTTATTTTACTGAATACATAAGCAAAGCGTGAGCCGACAGAATTTTAAGGGATCACCCTTATTTATGCGTAGTACATAACTGAAAAAACAAATGAAATGCAATGAATGCGGTGAAACACAAGAGAATAGATTGGTCACTGTAAGACTACGGTCTCGTTAAGGCGGGCGTACGACTTTATCACCAACGGCATCATGCACAGGCGATTCACAAATGGCGGCAAGCCCTGCATCGGTTGACGTGAGTCCATTTTTCTTAGTTCTTCTTATGTAAGTGGTGGCGAAGGTCAACCTATGTGTGAGGCTTTTACTGATAGTGTTGACGCGCATTGATGGGTGTTCGTATGAATTGGCGCCATTCCGTCGTGAAGCATTCGACATTTCGGCTTCTTCTAATAGCTTTTTGCAAATGTGTGAATCCACGACGGATTTTCCAATATTCATGATTAGCAGAAGAATTGTTCAAGGATACCTCTTTCTTGAAGGGTTTTTCGCTAGAGAACTTTCAATGTTTTTTCAATAGAAAACAGTGAACGGAAATTTTGTGCATGCCCTCGTAGCAGCTTTTCTCTCTCTCTCCTTATTACATACAACTCATATAATCTGACGGGCTTTTAATCTGACAAATAGATGAATTTAGGAGTAATGATAAACGACAAGCCTATCGATTAAGACCATAATTGTTCCAATTGTTCATAAGTTTTTGAGAAGTATTTCGTTTTGGAAGTAACTCCTTTGACTCCGTTGACGAAAACGAAACATTATCTGTGTCTAGAAAACATTTGTGCAGTTTAAATAGAACCTATCTTGTCGACACCAATGTTTATTTTCTTGCATCTTTATGTGACTTTTCTTCTTAATGTAGCAGCAGGTGGCACAATGGTTGTGACTCCGACCAACGCAAGCACGGTGGTGATCCGACGCGCCTTGAGCTCACCAACCTGTCGTCCCTCCGGGCTTAAAAAATTAGTGCCGGACTTATTTGGGAAAAGTTAGCTTTTTGCAGTGCAAGTGACAACGTTCTAGGGATACTATCCTAGGACTGCAGGGAGAATTGAATCGACCAGCATTCAACGATATTCGTAACGAAGATTAAAATCCGGAAGTAGTAGTGGAAGTTATAAGCAAAAAACTTGAGGACCTTCCTTTGTTTTGAATGCGAGAAAACGAAATGAATGCAGAAAGTACTGGGGTCCATATGGTAGGTGCGGGTCGTGTAGAATAAAATAAAAACTAAGATTTCTCTTGATGTTCATTGTACTTATTTGGATATTTGGTTGGCCCGTCTTCTCTTGTTGTGCGGACCCCAGCATAATTTACGTTTTTTCGGAGTTTTGCTGGTCTAGTAATTGTTGTTTTCTGGAGTCCCGAGGTCATGCTGACCAAACTTTGTCCCAGGTCTACACCATCACAGCCAGTCGCCGACCTTTGTCGATTAGAGGGAGATTTGCCATCGTGCGACTAGTTTCGTCCAGGATGGTGGTGGATCCTGGTACTGGTTTACTCTTAGCTGGGCTTCCTGATGGGAACACCGAACTCCTTCTTAGCTTAGGAGACTCTGACATGGGGACGAATCTCCCCGCTGTACACCGCAGTCCGACACCTAGAACCACCTCCCAGCCACGATGTGGCGGTAAACCGTTGGGAGAAATGTTCATTGTAATTTCTTCCAATTCAGCAGTACAGACAAAAAAAGTTATTTCAAGAAATTTCTTGTTGTGTTTCAGATCAGATCTCTCTAATTTCTTTTCCGATTTTTCCTAATCCTTTGGCATCGGTTAACTACATTTCTTACTGCTTCGTACTCTCCGGACGATTCACTTCAGCTCAGTGTCCACATCTAAGTGCTCGCTGAATAATGTCGGCATATAATCTTTTTGTAAATTTCGTAATTAAATCGTCTTTTGCAGATATGGACTCAAATATGCGGAACCTCTTTCATTACACTTCCAACGCTGTTGAATGGTCCCAATTCACCCTTGTTTCCCGGCTCATCCTTATGTTAATCATGCACTGAATCAAGCAAACACCAGCAGGGTCTCCAACTGTCTCCATTGAGTCCAAAAAAAGTGGGTTATGAGAGCTTAAGGGTGTTGAACATGGAGTTGCTTCTGTAGCGTTCTGATGAGCCATTGACATCTCTAGTACTGCTTCGCCACGTAGTCTACTCCTTAACCTTTGACAAACTGACTTTTACCGAAGTACTGATACTTGTTCGTTTAGAGGTTCAATCATTTGCCGCTCAATTTTCTGCATCTCCTCTCGGCTGTTTCTGCTACAACTCTTCGCCCTTCCCAAACCGTTTGCATTCTTATCCGCTTTTCTCGAAAGTGTTCTCTGTCGATGTCTTTATAACCTCAATGGCGTTATTATATTCGTGTACTAATTTTTTCAAAAATTTTCTTCAAAGCACCATTATGACGAATCTTCGATTGATCAACAAGATAATGATGTTAGTGATGAGCCGCTTCCGCTGCCAGCTACATATGTCTTTGTCAATTTAATGGACAGCATAGCTCATGTGTTGAGTTGGAGGAAATGAGCGACGTATGGAGTTTAAAAGTCCATCGAAAATGCAGAGAAGAAAACAAAGGATACTCGAATCTGTTTTCTCCTTTTCGAGTACAATGTTTCTTCATTTCATAACTCATGCCACGAAAAAATGGCCACTATTTAAGCATGAGTTAATATCCACGAGTTTCGTTGACGATCGAAGATCAGCGACGTTGTCACATCCACCGAGATGTTGAAAATCTTGTGGACACGTGATACTTCTTAACGGCAGTCGTTGGACAATAGCCGTTGACGACGGGATTCCAAGGATGTCAAGCGCTTAGCAATAAGGCTAACAATCCATTGGTCGGCTTTCATTATGAAGATCTTGAACAAAAGTATACTGTGTCTAGAGGAGGTGTCACTGAGGTACACTATAGAGACGAATAGGACTTTTACCGAAGTTTGTTCGAGTTGCTTAACGATCATTTGGAAAGACGGTCATATAGTTTTCAATACTTTAGAGGAATAAACGAGTTAAAAGATTTAGAAGGCTGTTAATTTTTATTTACCGCATACTACAATTTTTCAGGGATGGGTGTTATGTGAAATACAACCATAACAATGCTGAGACACCTGTGGTCCGAAATTTTGCAAATATCTCAGCATCATCGTGGTTGTTCACTATATTGTTGCAATAACTCACTCATTAGTGATAGAAGCTATTTTTAAGTTATTAGCGAGAAATCTTCCATTCGCAGCTTCAAGTCGGAGAAAAGTGAAAGAAAAACCAGATTCGTGTTCGATGTTGCAGAAATGCCGAGGACCGTTTCATCACTCTGGGCTACCTGGCGCAGGCGTTCTGCGACAGCGGCGAGTTCGAAGCGATGCTACACTACGCACTGCAGCAGATGGAGCTCGCCAACGAACGGCACGACGAGTACATGAAGAGCGAGGCGTTTCTGAACCTGGCCAAAGCCTACGAACGGCTCGCCGATTTCAGTAAGGTTGGTGTTCTAGCAATTCATGGAAGTAATCCGCATAGACATTCCACTGTTAGACAATGTAAAATGTCTTATTTGTTTTTCAGATGAAAAAGTATAAACATTTTTAAAACTCTTGCTTGGCCATTCAACTGTGTTGCATGTAGCGCAGTGGATAGACGATTTGTTTTTACTTTGATGCCGTGCCTCGAGGTAACCTAACCTCCTATGCTCGCGCTGTCGGGAGGCTGCTGTCAGACTCGTCTGGGAGAATAAAACTGTCGAATTAATAATTACATCGATAGGCCGCGCATACCCAAGAGATTGGCCAACGTCAAGCCTCTTATCGTTTTCTTCTCATCATTTACCTACCACTTTTGCAACACCCAAAGTCGCTACTATAACAATGTGGAACTGTTATTGATATGATTCGCGTAATATTTTTTTAAATTTTGTATGACCCGTTTTCACGTCTACTGTTCGGGTCCCAGCACTTCTCGCATTCGATTCGTTTGCTCACGTCCATTGTTCACGAAGATCTTCCAACTTTACGTGTGGCTTCGATTTCTGCTTGAGGATTTTTAGTTCATCTTGAATGTCGTAGAATGCTGGACCAGCAATTCTTCCTGGAGTCCTGAAATAGCAGGCCTGGAGCGTTTCCAACTGGATTGCAGAGGATGATTTTTCACAGAGAAGTCCTGTACCAATTTCCCGACCCCGGAGGGATGAGGAGCTTGGTTGGCCCGGAGCGGAATCGAATTAGCTTGTTATTACGAACATCGCTACCACTGTGCTCCAAGCCTTCTGATACCCGTGATAAGCTTTTACAAAACCAAAAGTATTGTGTCCATGTTGTCGTCAACGGTTAGATTTGCAGTAGCAAAGCTGTTTGGTCAGGAGATGTTGGGGTTATCGAGATGTTTCAAATTCAGGTGTTATGAACTCGGAAGCGGACACTGACACTTTCATCTTGAGCTTCAAGCGTTAAATCATTTTAATTGAAATTCGCAACTTGAAAAGAAGCTAACAATAGTGCTTCATTCGCAGTTTTAAGAGAACGATTATTTTAGAAATGTAAATAACTGGAAATCACAGCGCTGCCTAAGATTGAATATGACGACTAGAAAAGCTTGGAAAAGCTACAGTGTGGAAGGAATCTGTTCAGAAATTAAGCGATGCTTGGATTTTTCAGGCTCTGAGTTATGGTAAAGCTAGCCTTCAACATCCCAGTATGGATCCTCGTACTCCGGGATATGCTCACCTAGGTGAGTTCTTTTGCTGTGCTTTTCTTGAATTGATAAAAGTAACTTTGTCTTTTGAGTAGTTCACGTCCACTCTGTCGGTTTCTCGTTAACGAAATTAATACCACAGTGAGACGATTTCAGCGATCGCATGCGCCTATCTGGGTTTCGGTCAGTTCCAGAACTGCTTGGAGGCATTCGAACAGGCTATGAATGTGGCCAACGAGACGTCCGACAAGCTGCTTGAGCTACAAATTTGCGTGGGTCTCGGTTCGCTCTTCACTCTCTTGAGGTAAACAAGCCAGTACTCTTGAACGCCTTAATCCTATGGCCTAAGCGAGACTACTAATTCAGGGATTTGTCGAAAGCGTTGATTTTCCTGCGAAACGCGATGGCTATCGTTCAATCGGTGACCGTCGACGATGTGCACGCAAAATATCGGTAATATTTTGGGTTCAGTTCGGAACTGAATAATCAAGAGCTAATACTCACTAAGGAAAAATCATCATTGGTAAATTCGGTTTCCGGTGCTTTGTTTTGATGTTTTTAACATTGCGAATTAATTATTTGTTATTGTGGTTTGTGAATTCATTAAAGTCGTAGTCGATTACTATATATATATTTAGATGGGTCGTTATTTTTATGTATTAATGCCCAAAATGGAAGGCTCTTGCTAAAAACTTCCAGAAAAATTTTAACACACTGAGGACTACCACCTACTGCAGGGATTGTCTGAAACTAAGCATAACTTTTGCCCGCCATGCATTGACCTCAACGTACAACGCCCACTGTCCCTCCAAAAAATGATCGCGTAGTTTCTGTGTCTATTTGCGCCACATTTCGACTTTTCCGTGTTTTCTTTTCTATTTTTGTCTCACTTTTTGTATTCTACATATTGCCTACGTTCTTTGTATCTTTCCATGCTCTTCGAGCACTTTAACTCCCGTTGGTGATTAAAAATGGCTCGTTCACCACCCGACTGTGATACTGTAAGCCTTTGGTAGTCGATTTCACAGTTTGCGTTAAGTTCAACTTGGTATTTTTGCATATATTATATTTTTAAAACTATGTAAAGGCACAGTGATGAGCACGCGCTGTGTGCTTGCGTCGGAGCATCTCAGTACTCCCTCACCATCGACAGTCTGTCTCTGTGCTAGGTGACGTCACCTTATTACAGGATAAACAAACTCGTACAAAAGTATCTTCTCTGTAAATTATTAAGTGTGGAATGCAGCTTTTTCCATACTACGTCTAGTGTAATATCTAGTGTATGGTGAAAGAGATATTGATTGAAAACAAAAACTACGTTAAGAAAACTGTGTATGGTAAAATAAATGCCGAAAGGAAAGTACATTAAAATCAACGTCCAATACTGTATACTGTCCAGTGTGTATCCGATTTGTACATTTAAACAAATGCATGCAATTGCAAATATGCCAGCGCAGGAATATAAATATTCGATCCTGTAGAACATGATAGTATTTTGTCAGTGTTATTCAAGGCAAGGCAAGTAGTAGAATCGCAAGTAGTAGTAGAATAAATACGTAATCTATCAAAAAAAAATAATTTGATAAGGAATGTACGATGAAAGCCGAAATTTTATAGATACTGATGAGTGTAGAAGGGTCATCGGACCTTTAGCAGTTAATCATTTAGATGTACGATACTGTATCACTTATCAGTGGCACTGCGAATGCGTGGATCGCTGGTGGAGGCGAAAGAAGCGTGCGATGTGAGTCGAATCCGTCTCTAGTGCTATCGCTTATTCAGCGCTGTTGAAACTTTCAGGAGGCCTTACAACTCGCATCCGAGACTGGTAATCGAGCGCTACATGCTAGGTGTATGTGCAGTCTAGCCGATATTTTTCGTGAACTGGGAGAATCTGAAGCGAAGGAAACGTTGACGGTGAGCTTCATTCTAATCTGGGCGTGTTTCTATTTCGATTGTTCCAGTTTTTTACATTTTATATTTTTGGGGAATAAAAAAATTTTCAATCAATTCTTCCTTGTAATCTTTCCTCACTTTTTCTTTTTCTCATACTTTGGTTTCAATGTTGTCTGTTCAGCTGCAGAATTTCGTTACTTAACAGATGGCTTAGATGTAATAGTTCTATGCAAGCTAAGCAGAGTTTCATAGTTAGATTTAATGGATAAACTAAATAAAACTGAGTAGCAAGAACTAGCTGAGAAACAGGTGGAACGAAGGACCCGCATGGTGCGGTGGTGAACGCGTTAGCTCCTGGAAAGTGTAATAGCGCGTTCGTTCCCCACCACAGACATCTGCACTCTGGAGTTTTACAAATATCTCAGCATTATTGAGTTGCAAGTGTTTGTATAAGATAGTGTAAGACAGTCAAGGAAATATCTTATTATAAATCTTTGTTACATGACTATAATTAAACCCACGTTTGTCATAAGCATCATAAGCAAATAATCGGGGTTTGAAATAAGAAATTTCGCTTGTGTTTATAAATGTTTACTAGGTTCTAGTACATGAGCTCTATTCAGAAGTCCTGGGCTCGATATGAGGAAGCGTACAGGGTCCTACGAGCGTCTCAAGATCGAATGGGAGAAGTGCTAGTGTTAGCCAGTATGGCGAAGAGCGCTTCCGAGAGCCGGTCACACTACACAGGCCAGTGCGAGTGCCAGGCTATACAGCTTAACAAGAAATGCCTCGACATCGCTAGAACTCTTGGATGCAAGGTACTTTGTGCTAAACTGGTATAGCAAATGTCGTTTCGATGATCCCAGAATGCACACTCATCGTGTAATTCAATACAGAATCCACGTCTTCCTACGATGTGCTATTCAGGGCTTTTTGTAGTTCCTATGGAATAAGCTTCAATATTTGGTATTTAAACGTTTCTATATTGATATAAAAACGATGAAAAGATGGCAAGGACAACAATGAACAGCATATCTGTAAGCAATACATCGACAAATTGATGATACAAGGCGACGAGTGGGTTCAGTTAAGGTTGAGCTAGTCTGTTAGTCAAGAAATAAATGAGCGGTAAAAATCGTGATGCCAGAAGGCAAATATGCCTGCAGTGAATGTGCCACTTTCCTAGGGAGTGTTTTTACAGGTGTGCGATTTCTGACATATAAGGATATCATTAGCACATTCCAGCCATATGCCAGGCAAGCACATGAACCATATGTTAGAACCCACATAGTGCTAAGAATTTGACGTTGTAGGGCAGTATAGAAATAGCAGAGAAAATCTAGGATGGTACTAAGGGACAGTGAATATATTCCACGAGGTGGAGAAGAGTCTCCACAATAATGACTTTTTATACCTTTTTTCTGGGAGGATCGCAGCACTGGCTCGATACATTGGTAGGCTACCGCGAGTCGTTGTAAAGGCTAGATATGCACTCAATCACCTCCAACGATTCTTAATGAAGTCGAATGCATGGCTCATCTCTCAGAGATTGATAAAGGCCAAGAGCTTTATCTTTCATTCTTTATACCTTTTTCCTGAGAAGGTAAAGTGTGTGATTGGACTCTTTTCTTGAACAGCAAGTACGATATTGTCGCTTTGTTCTTTATACACAAAACGTTGACATTTCTGAGGATTTCGCCTTCTTCGGAGCCTGAAAAGAATGAGTTGAATGTAATCTAGTTAGCCAAACATCTCCATAACCAAGAAAAAGAAGTCACGAAGATTTCAATCGCATTGAGAATTGATAATGAAAGGTGAAAACGTAATGCTAGGTGGATTACCAGGTATGCTTATCATTGCGTAAAACAGGTTCTTCGCATTGTCACAGATTTCTATGAGCCTTCCACTGAGTATTTCAGGTGGAGTTTAACCACGCAGAGTTCACATGGACGAGTAATGTTGCTCTCTCACATTAAAATATCGCTCTTAAATATTGTGTGAGATCACACGTGATAACGGAATATTTCTCGCTATGGTTCACTTCTTTGTCTTGGCCTTTATCCATAGTGCTTCGAAAGTTTTGCGCACTGCAATTTTAGATTCCTGTGCGAGAATGGTAACTTCTACTCCAAAATCGTCTTCGCAATATCCCTGTGTCCTTTGCTCACTCGTTCTAAAGAGAGGAGAAAAGTTCATTCCGAAACGATTTCCTTTCTGATTTTATGATCCAATTTGGCGTAGTGGTGAAGAAAATCAAATGAATCTCGCTTTTCTATACGTTTTCCTTAGCTATTCTTTTAAAAAATTCTTAGAAGGTTTCAGCTCGAAGCTTTCCCGTCTCGATTGGGTGGTCACCAATATCTTTGATTTGACGTTGTCGTTTATTTTAGACTTTCTCTTACTCTTCCAAATCAATGTGAGAAACTCTTGGAATGCTAACGTTTATGCCTGTGCATATGCGTATGTATGCGTGTGTACGCCTGTGTGTGAATTTGCGTGCGTGCGTGTTTGCGTGCGTGTGTGTATGTGTGTCATGTTCTGTAGTCATCACGTGAGTGAGCTGGTTTGTTAGTTACGAAATAATTGTGCTATGAAGCCCACTCCTAAGTCAAATCGTGGGTATAAGGTCTGCTATGAAAAGGGGAAACTGCTATAAAGCGGAATAAACTGACTCTTTCGATTCACAGTAAGCTTTAGACCATCGGTTAGGTCGTTCTTTGAGGATCTTCGTAAGATGCACCGACTTGTTAACGCTCACTTTGCCCAGTATTATATCTGTAATCTTGATCCGTTTGTGATGTGCAGGTCATTCACAAGCATTATCGAACTAACATGGCGTTTATATTTTTTTATGTTTATATTACCTGGCTTCTCTTATTGTGCGGACTCCAGAGTTTATTTCATTTGGCCCACTGTATCACGCTGGTAATCCAAAAAAGCTTTCAAGTTTCTGCATGATACCTGGGATGTTACCTGGTACTCTATCTTCTTCATTAATGTCGTTGAGGATTCCTCGAAGCATCTGGAACCGTGAGACAGCTGTAGTAGTGCGTTCTCTGGTCTTCACCACAAGTACCTGCCTGCGTTTATAGACTGGAAGGAAGATGGCCATATGCAAGTCTTGTATCAAATAACCGATCGTGAGCAAATGCGAGGCTTGATTAACCTGAGGAGGGTCGGCAATACTTGGCATCATGTCTAAATACAGCTCTCCCAGCGTTTCTGGATGACACATTGCAAGCTAGCAACTTGAACGACAAACTGGGACGTAAGAAAACAAACAACACTGTCGAATAGGATGAAATCTTTCCTGCAAGGTTTCCCCTTGAATGTTAGGGCTTTGATACCAGTGAATGAGGTATCAATTCCTTCTTGTGCAGATGCATCCAGCCCCTCAAAGCACACAACTGTTGATCACTTAACAGAAACGTGCAGCAAAAATGGCCCTATTTATCACAAATAGAAATGAAAAAGAGCTTTTTACATTCAGCACGTGATGCTTAAATGTCATTCTCGCCTCGCTGAACTGTACGCCCAACTAAATGACGAAGATGGGGAAGAGGCTGCTCGTAGAGCAGCCAGTCAACTCACACAAGAAATGGAGCTGTTTTGTAACTTCTGCGGTCAAAGGTGGGTTGACTGTTTGTTTGGAAATACCACTTGAAAATGTGATCATCTACTGTTCACTGTCGAGATGAAACGTTGCTTTGCAAAAGCTATCTCAAGAAGGCGCTTTTGACAACAGATTCAGTACCTCAACGCAATGTCGAAGAGAACGAATGAGTTGTTTTTCTAGAACTAGACGGCTTATCGTGTGATTAAAACCCTTACAGACACCCACAAAGGCGCTTCCATTTACTCTTCTTTTGCCGAATAAGCCGGTTGTCCATCTTAGTTGGTTCATTACAGATTCATCTCGGAATGATAAAACTTTAGATCTTGCGTGTTTAGCTCTAGCGCATTATGCAAGCAAAGTTCAAATTTCCTTTGATCATAGGTTTTTTAATGTATGCTAAATGAATGGAGAGTTTCATCAAACTGAGTGTTACGAATTTCAGTGCTGTTCGTTGCATAACAATTTTTCTCATCGATTTCTTTCGTAAGCAGATAACCTCCTTACAGGTACGGCATCAAGGACGAGAGTTTGCAAGCACTGCGATGTTCCCATGTTTTTCACGAAAGGTAAGATAGTACATTCAGCAAATGCACGATATTAAACACGGTTACTAAATAAGTCTGTCGTCTACACCGAACTAATTTAAGCAAGAAGTCCTCTTACCGGTCAGCAAAGGGGTCATTCCGTCCCCAGATGGCGAATAGAGTGCTGAAAGCTTGCATATTTCTCTTTGAACGGAGATGATTTGGAAGCTCATAATTACCACGACCTGTCCTTCTTACTTTCGTACATTTCTAATGAGTGCACTGACTACATTGCCCTTTACACACAGATTCCACCAAAAGCCTCAGTGACTAGATAACACCTTGAAAGGTGTTTGATGTTATACTCCACAGAGTTACGACTATTTTAATGTTGAGAATTTTTATGCGCGAGTTTTGATGCTCGTAATTCATGGTTTATCTCCAGATGTCTTCACACATTCCTTCTCGAACGCGAAGATCAGACGTGTCCGAAGTGTCGTTGCCGTGCCATCGTTTCCGACAACATCTCCATGAGAACGCCCAGCATTTGCTCGACCGCTGAGGCGCAGACGCCGAGCAGTACGTTTTCCGTGCTACCAACTCCCTTTCTTAGTGCAACGTTATCGTATAACGATTTATCCATGCATACTTATGTTTATTCCTGAAAAGAAAATCAAATTCAACCTGAACACAGCGACCAAATACCAGTAGGAAGTAGTGAACATAATAGAGAAATAGTAGAATTGCTAGAAATAGTTTTAATTTTTTCACAAAAGTCTTAAACTCGTAAAAGGGTTAAAATTCCGGCGTTGATCAATATTTGAAGGATGCGTCATGCATTTGACTTTATCGTTAGACGGATTGAATGTATTGAATATAGACTATAGAATAACTCGCAGCGGTCTGCCGATGTGTCATGTCAGTGCTGCTATCTTCCCAGACAGGTTTTATACTAATTTGCTGAACCCAGTGCGATAGGGAACTTGGTGAGCCCCGAGCGCGTGGTCGAACAAACGAAAACGTTTGCATTGCAGACACCTCTATCCACTGTGCTACACACACCCACAAAAATCTCAGATCAAATCAAGTTGTCTTCAGCTGTTCTGTCTTTATCATCGTTCTAATCTTCTGTGATTCCGCTATCTTTAAAACAGGCACCAGTACACTCGGCACTGGGTCCTTTCGTTCGGCAAAGGTGTGCTGTGGCCTCTCCTTGTTTGGATTGGACAAAAAGCATCACACATCTGCTAGAAGATCTCTTTACTACTTTGTACGAGTAGGGCGGTTAATCACAAGTGGGCGGTTGTGCTGTACTATTCCATAATTTGCTCTTTGCTGAGGTTGGTCGAACTATCTCACTTGAGTGAACTTACTGGGATATGACCCCCTTTATCTCATATTTTGAAATCCTTGAACATACATAGCCTCAATAAGGCGTCAAACCATTAGTAGTGTTTTCTTCATTGCAAACTACGTAAGATTCTTAAAAGTTCTCCGAATTTGCGTGGAATAGTTTGTCCACAAATGTGGCCATCACTCCTGCCTCCAATTAACCGTAGTTTCTTTATACTATTGTTGAGCAAACACGAGGTGCTACTTTATTCATTATTGCCAGAAAGCTGACGTATCGGCGGATTTTGCCTTCCTTAGAACCTGGAGAAGTCAAGTTGATTGCAATCTAGTCAGCCAACCACCTCCACAACCAAACAGAGAAAGTACTAAACCAAGATTTCAATTGGGTTAAACACAGAATAGCTTCTTTGCACACTCACCGCTTCTCATGAGTCTTCCACTGAGTACGTCACGTGGAGAGCAACCGCGCAGAGTCCACACGAAAGCGTCATGTGCTCCTCCCATCAGAATAAGAGCTTAAATACTGCCCAATATCACGCATGGTTTTTTCCCAGACAAGCCCGGTACCAATTTACGAAACGGCACTTGTGGCACAGTGGTCGGAGGGGCCCTGCAACACACACGTGGAATCGATTCCCGTGCCCATGGCCCACCAAGCCTTCCGTCCCTCCGGGGTCGCCAAATTGGTGCAGACCCGTCTAGGAGGATTGCAGCATTGGCTAGGTGAATCGTTACGGCGAGTCATTGTAAAGGCCAGATATGCATTCAGTCACCTCCAAACGATGCTTAGTGAAGTCGAATGCATAGCACATCCATCAGTATTGATCCACGCCCAGAGCTTTATCCCTTTTTTTACCACGCATGATTATGAGGCATTCCTTCCAGCCATTCATTATCTGATTCTTGGAATTAATCCAGAATGCCTCGACAGATTTGCGCCTTTGTGTTTTCGATTCCTGTGTGAGGATCTTAACCCCTACTTCTCTGTTATGTCTCTGTATCCTAAGCTTATCTAGCTTTGAGTGTGAATTTTTCAGTCTACTAGGTGTTGGCAACGTGAATTGTGGTGACTTTTCATTCTATAGAGCGCTATAAATCAAGTAGTTTGTTACTAAAAGACCAAATTCTAACCAGTGCACCCTTTCAGCCTCACAACTGCCAATTTTGTCCGGAGCGGTGAAAACCCCTCTGATTGCCGCAGCTGCAGAAATGGGAAACATTCAACCGCAATCGACACTCACCAGAGTGACGGCACGGTAAGAACACTCTGTGGCTATAAAGCGTCGTTAACAAACGAGAATTCTACCAAACCATTAGTTAGTGATATGGATGTTAACACAGTGTGACCTTGTGGTATTTCGAAATTTTGAGATCTCGATGTTGTCTGCATTAAATTTTACTTCCATGTCATGAATATAACATTGGTGAACTATGGATGTAATTTCATGAAAAGATTTTTTTTCATACTGAAGATGTGTATCTTCCTAGACAAGCTGAGAGAGACATCAATCAAATGGACCGTACTCTGGATCGGACAGAAAGTAGGAACGATGCGAGCACTCGAAGTAAAGCGAAGCCCCCACCTCCCCCAAGGAAACCATGCTGTTCTAAGGTTCTTTCTTTACGCATACCCTGTAGTAGAACGTTGACTGTTTTCTGGCTCATAATTCTTATTAAAGCTAATATTGTACATCTAACAATGTCTCGTTGACGAGCTCTTGCAAATGGACGAGAGGATTGTGCCTTGTCACCATATCATTTTTTGCGCTTTTTCTTCTAATACGAGAATCTTAACCTGTATCTATAGTCTTCGTTATCACCAGAACGACCTAGAAGAGGATTTTTATCCTACTCGGTCTCTCCGTCAGTCCCGATGATAAATCGCATCCTATAGCTGTTTCATTATCACATTATCTCCTTAAAACATTGCTTAGTGACATTTATCCCTAGTGTCAACATTTTTTGTGTTTACAGGATGGATTGCCACCGTCTTTTGTAGTTTCGTTACCGCCGCCGATGCCTCTTTCTGAGAGTGGTCCCCTGGTTGTCTCCAGAGCTCCAACCATCACAGATGTCTAGCCACCCAGCGGTCGTTAAGACGAGGTTCCATTCTAGGTAAAACTATTTTGTTAACATCTAACTGAAGTTTCAATAGACAGAATCTATCTGAATACTAGTCCATTTCAGTTTACAGTGCTATTGTCCTAAAGGCTCATAACATCAAAAAGACAGATTTTAATTCAAAAACCTTCTTTACTGCAACTTCGGTATGATTAGTCAACGTCTGTTTAAATTGTCACGACTTGGACCATCGGCTCTAATGAAGACGAAGACGTCGATACGTTAGCCGAATAAAAGTTGTGTAACAACCTCGTGTAAGCTCAACAATTTAAATACATATTGATTAATCATACCGAGGTTAAAGAAGGCTGGTTTTTGAACTACTATTATGCTGTGCTGGCCGATAATGATAGCGACATCTCCAGGATGGATTGTCGGGAAAAAACAAGTTGCAATCACCGAATAACTTTATCAGCACCTTGTATAAAAGAGCGTCGCCGGATGAGTATGTTTCATTCGATAGATGTCTTTTTTCAAGTGTCTCAGAGGAGAATGAAGAAGATCCGACTTGATACGAAGACGAAGACGCCATGTCGAGAAGAATAACAACTGTGGGTCATCGACTCGGATCATCGGCTCTGATGAAGATGGATCTTAGTTTGGCTACCTGAAGTCGAAGATGATATATCAATGGCCGCTGTTATCATACACATGCTGTCGGCTTGAAGCTCTGTGGTTACAAAAACATTTAGATCCTTGTGCAGCAATAGAATTCGTTATATACGGCTCCCGTAGCACGCACAAGCTGTCATACACAGTTGAAATTTACTGAAAAATATTTGCTATCAGTACCATATTCTAATCTTTCTATTAAGCAGTCTTCTCAGTCGGATGCAGAAGCGCTCGCTGAGTTCTGTGCGTTATCCTGGAGGGATTTGGTGGCGACCTCCATCAGTCGACAGTGCCTTCTACTCATCGCCGTCACTGGACCTGTCGCTGTCACTCCCTCATGCCGACGTCACACTTCTAAATAGCTCTGCTTCATCTGCTTCACCTTCATTTCGTCCAGCACATTTCTTCATCTTCTCACTTTTTTGATGAAATTTCCATGGATGCTCAGCTGCCGTATATGTATACAATTTCAATTTCTTTGGTTCTAGGCAATGACAAGAATGTTCGAAGTTTTACTAATCAATCCAGATTTTTATCTTGGTGTTAGCAAAGGCTTTTAAGAGAACCTCACTGTGAAACAATTGACTCGTAAAGCTTTATTCTGCTGTCATGATCTCAACTTTAGAAATGCTAAATAAATTATTTATGTCGTTGTATGCGCTGTGAATAGAGTCGATTACAATATTTGGGAGGAATAAATTTCTTTTTAACTCGAAAAGTACCATTAATCACTGGTAAGCTCTAGTAGATGGATGGACGAAGCTACTATTTTTTAAACGAATGAGCGAGGGATCGAGAGGAATAAAAAAGAACAACACAAGAGGGTTAGTGTCCTTCCTGTTACTATGAACATAAAGGCTTTTACGGACTTAAACTCTGTGAAAACCATTAGAATCTGCACCTGTTTGCCACCAACGCCTGTGTTCATTTATTACTACGGCAAGATGAGAACCTGAGTGCCTGAAAGCGCTAGGCTTTTTGAAAGATTCCCTATCAGTGGTTTGGTGAATGAAGATTTTTCTGGAAGTGCTTATCGAAGTGCTTGAGAAGTGAGAGCTGGTCGATGAGAGGTTCGATGAATATAGTAGGTGAGAAAGCATTTGGTGCAAAGCTCGCTGTACTTCTCCAGCGTTAATTATTTAAAGTGTGGTTAAGTAATGACATAAAAGTGGATAGGACCTTTTTTCTACACACCTCAGTCTTGGTAGAATTTTACCGAATTCTTCAATTCACTTCTCTGCCTTGGTCGTTTCGCCATGACTGACTATAAGATGGTGCATTCCGAAGTTCATCACGCCAATGAGAGAAAATTCGTCATTAGCACACTTTTTATTAGGCTTTACTTATTAGGCTTCTAAAATGATTGGGAGTTTGGACATAGTTCATCACTGAGGAGCATCGCGTCAGTTGTCGCATGGAATCCATTTCTTAACGAGACATGGCTCGTTTTTGTTGTGCACAGAGCGGACTTCGTGGGGACGATTTTTCCAGTATTCTGGCAATTTGTGCGACACCCATTTTTCGAGCTTTTTCGTCTTTCGAATCCCTTCCAAATAACTGCTATTAAATCGACATCAACAATCTGTTCTCTGTGTTTTAGCTTCGTTTTATGTATTTGTATTTACTTGCTTAGTAAAATTTGAGAGCCATTGAATAACGACTTTTTCAGATTTTCTAAAGTTCGAACGCACTCAAGTATGTAGGCAACTGTAAGAGCAAGAGAACGAGGCGGTAGAAGAACAAGAATGGTATAGCCACTGCACTCGAGTGATTCGAGTTGTCAGACGCCGGTACAGTTTCAATTCTTTATGGCGCTAGAGAAGGTGCAATTTCGACTAAGTTTACCACATAGCCTTGCTACCGAGCGGTGACGGTTCCATTTGAATTGAAATCAATTCATTGGAAGGAGATGTTTAAAGTAAGCGTCATATTTAACCACTGGTTCAAACTGTTTTTCTAAATAATGCCATTAAAACCTGTAGTCACTCTTTCACTGTGATTGCGCTTACTCATCGTACATTCTTATTTCTTCTAGAAGTGAGTATACTGGAGTAAAGGAACCGGTTACAGGTCGTCCAGACAATTTCGAACATTTCATTGTTTCTCCCATATTCTTTAAACCCAATATTGGAATTTCATTTGGTTAATTTAAACGCCGGATTTCCTGTTTTTTCCTATACTTTTCACCAAACCAGTTCAGAGTTTCTTAAATTTCGGTTGCATGAAGTGGGTGGAGAACGAAAGCTCATAGTCTTAAGAAAGACCTGTCGGATTCGTTGATAAACAAGCGAAAGTGTTATCCTCTGTGCACGTCGTTATTAACTCAGGAACACGAGACAGACAAAAACTCCATTTGGTCCTACAGCGATGATTTTTTTCCACACGACCGTTCTTTCAAATCTATTCTGCAGATCGCAATAATTCTTGCATTCGATTCATTTCTCCGCATCATCCGAGAACGTTTTCAACATCTTTGCACACTCGTTCAGTTTCTGCTTGAGCACTGTCCTCTTTTTTACAAATGTCGTTGAATGCTCGTCGAGCGGATTCTTCCTGGAGTCTTAAGCTAGGGTAGAGCGTTTCCACCAAGATTGCAGAGAGCAAGATTTTGCTAGAGACGTTCGGTACCGATTTTCCAACCTTGGAGTGATAACGGGACTAGTGGGATCGTGCCGGCGTCCATCCAGCATCTGTCTCAGCACAATCGGCATTACTACCATTCCGCTACACGCCCTCTTTTAGCGACGGTAGGACCACAGTTGATGGATGTGTGAGCGTCGCACAACTTCGATACAGATCACGTGTGCTTCAAACAATGGAAATTACTTCCAAATGTTACTTTTGTTTGTTCGTTAAGGCGATTCAGATGTACCAGCTGTGAACGTCAACCAAATACTTATAACCTTATTAAGTGAGAATTTAAAGATGATCTTAAGACCTAAGATAAACCCTAACGATCCTGTAGCACTATCTCCTTTCATTTGATTGATATCGATCCGGCTTTTTCATCACTTCAACGTCGGGTTTTTACCTTTTTTTTTGTAAAGTTCCCTGCACAAACTTAATAGGAAGTTGACCTTGAGAGATTGACTGCTTCGCGATCATATTCATTAATCAACTGGCTCCAAACGACAAATCAATTTAGTCGCTCAAATCAGTCACATTATTTGTTCATCAGATGTCGTTCTGTGAAAACCAAGTGTCGCTTTCACTGCAACCATCGTAGACTTTCTTCTGTGCTGAAGTTTTCCAGTCTTGTCATTATTTCTGGTCTTCAAATTTCTTATTTATACTTGTTGCGATCACCATGATGTTGTTGTCTCTTTCAGAACTTCCAATTCAGCATCTCAACGGTTTCTAGTATTGGAACAAAGTCCTTTCAATTTCCTCTTCTGGTAAGCCATCCGTGGCTGATCATTTTAAGAACATATATTGATCGATAAAAGCGCAGCCCTTGTCACTGTCACAATCACTTCAGTAATTTCAGCAGACTCCTATTTGACCTTCTGAAGGAGTCTGTCTGGTTAAAGAATGCGGTTGTGGCGCAGCGTCATCATCGTGCTGTGCATCTGTAGCGAGATGGCTCGTTCCCGACGAAGGGTCAGCGCGGCCGAACGTGCCTTCGACAAAAACGAGGGCCTCGACTGGGCTCTTGACGACAACGAGATTTTGGCGTGAGATATCGAATTCATATTGGCTATAGAATTGCTATATTGAATAATATCTTACCAATTTTTGATTAACACTGATTACCGAAAAATCCTCAGGCCTTCTTACTGAAATGAAAAATTATTACAAAGCGTTCGTCTTTTTATCAGTCACATTCGTGGTGAGAGTGAGTTTTCTGGAACTGACCTCAGTTTCTGGATCTCTAGAGGGTTCCATAAGTTTGGAACCGTGTAACACTGTAGAGAAAACTTTGCTCTTTCGCAGTAGGCGCATATATATTTCTTATACAGTGTCCTTTTAAGGTTAAACATATTTAGAAATAATATTTAAAAAAAGTAATAACGAAATTTAACTTCATAAAACTTCCAATGGAGAAGCGCCAACTGAAAACATAAACGACACATTGAGGAACACTATCAGCTCTTGTTGGATACAAATCCGCCTGTTCATTTGCTTTTGGGCTGGTAATATGAGCCTGGAAGCGATAAAGTGAATGAAATATTTGTCACGGGTCCCAGAAAATCAGAATTTCATCGTGGTAGAACAATACAGTTTTTACCTTGTAGGCAAAGATTTGTGGGTTCTAATAGTTTCGATTCGGTTAACAAAAATCACCATGAGCTGAAATATGCTGATTCGAACCCGAAGGCGACCACTAGCTTTGCATTGTACGGCTCTTACAGAGGTCACGCAGTGGCATAGTTGTTAAATAAATTTTTCAGTTCTTAAAAGTTCTGTTTATTCCTGCTTTGGCAGTTTGAAATTGAGCAATTAAAACATCGGTAACTCTAAAGTAAGCGATAAATTGGAGAATACCATCATGTTCTGTTGTACAAAATTCCATTTGTCAAAAAATGGCTTCTGTGTTCAAGATAGGATTATTGGAATGAAAAAGCAGAAGTTATAAAAGATAAAGCTCTCGACGTTGATCAATTTCTGGGAGATGCGCCGTGCATTCGACTTCATTAAGCATCGTTGGAGGTGATTGAATGCATACCTGGCCTTTACAATGACTCGCGGTGGGCTACCAATGCATCGTGCCAGTGCCGGTACCCTCGCAGACAGGTCTGACACCAATTTGCCGACCCCGGAGGGAAGGAGGGTTTGATGGGCCATGGGTACGGAGATCGATTCCACGTGTGTTTTGCAGGGCGCCTTCGACGACTACGCCACACGCACCCCTGGAGCAAAAAAGTGGGAAAATGAGCATCTGTGGTCTCTAGAAAATTAGGCTTCAGTGTTGTAAAATGAGTTGAAGCTTACAATTAACTGTTGGCATAAATTTTCGTTTGTTTCGAAGACAAAGCTCGCTGTAAGCTGAGATATGTTGTTTTAAAGTTGAAGACAGCTGTTAGTACTGGCCGCATGCATTGAAATCAATGCACGTCGTTGAAGATGTACTGATATAATGATGAGTTGATATGGTGAAACAAGTAGTTCCATGCTGTTATGAAATTACGTCAATAAGGAACGACGATTCGTATTCGTTTTGCGAAAGATGTTGTGACGGCACTGTTCACACCGCTGTCACAACGAGCGATTAGAAAAACCTGACTTGAAATTCGATTCGAATCGCTTGGTTTATAGAATGAAGAAAAACTCTGAAAAAAGCACGGAATATGTTAAAGCGATTCCTACAATCGTTTTAGTTTATAGGAAAGAAAGCAAAGACACGGCGACTTCAGCTACTGAAAGTGCAGAAGCGCAAGAAACAAGCACAGCAGCGACCACCAACGCCACTGAACCGCCAAAATCCACTGAAGTTACCGAAAACACTGAGCAGGGGGAGAGAGACGGTGAGATTCCCGAATTCGAAGAGTTTTCCCATCATTCCATTTCTGTTTAGCAATTAGCCAGTTGTTATTGGGAGCGTTCGATATCATGAATATTACGACAGAAGTGGAAAACGATGAATCGGATGATGAAACTAACAAGTAGGTTTTCTTTTCTTATTCACTTATTCCTACTTTTTTGCCTTGTTTTCTATTCTAAAGGAAATAGGTTCCTTTTGTGCTGTCTTTATCCTCTCCTCTTAGCTATTGTACGTATTTGGATGACTTCATCTTTTTCATCTTTCTACCGAAATAATTTTATTCTGGAGTGGATGCATTCTTTTCCGAATTTCGTAAAACATCTCCATACGTAGAGGTGCGTGTGTGGCAGTGCTCGTAGGCGCCTTGCAACATACACGTGGAAAATCGATCTCTGCGGCCATAGCCCACCAAGCTTTCCATCTCTCCGGGATCAGCAAATTGGTACCATACTTGTCTGGAAGGCGTGGGTCATTGTAAAGACCAGATATGTATTCAGTCACCTACAAACGATGCTTAATGAAGTCGAATTCATGGCGCATTCCTCAGGGGTTGATCAACGCCGAGCGCTTTATCCTTCTATCTCCATCCGTCATTTTATGCTGCTTGTATTGGAAACTAGCAAACTAGGAGGAGCCATAAGCAAGCGACAAATCGATTTATCAAACCTATTCTTTTTTATGATGTGATGACACACTTGTTGCGGGAGGAGAAAAACTGTGCACTTTTCCCCTACAAAAAATGTAAGATAAAAAAGACAAGCACAAGAATGCTGAAATATTTGCAAAACCCCGGACCGTAGGTGTCTGCGGTTGAACACGCTATTACCCTTTCCGGGGGCTAACGCGTTCACCACTCCACGGTGTCGGCCATTTGTTTAGCCTTTCTCTCAGCTAGAGAAAAAGATAGGAATAGAAACATTCTTTTGCAAGAACAGTTCTGTGGATTGACGCCAGCTACAAAGCAGAAAACTACAAATTGAATGTGTCCTCATTTCCTGAATGTAAGGTATGGCAGGAATACTGGAGCACTGCAGCTGCCGAAGAGGAAGGAAAGGTAAGAGTGCATTGACACAAGAACTTTGACGGCGTTTGATTTTAGAGGTTTCACACATAATATTTCCAGAGCCTTAACGCTTCTGATGCAGACGACGAGCCAAATAGAAATTTGGAGAAGGATTTAAAGGAGAGCGAGCTGATCGATAACGAGGAGAGGCTGAAGAAAGTGGGATTAAGCGAAGGATTGCTTGAAGAGTACAAGGCTAGTTTGCAAACCTGTAACGCACTGAAAGTTCGCACTTCATGCCTGATCTATTTCAAATTCACCATACATTCCTATCAGTCTACAGTTTCTCAGCTGGTTAAACTCTTGTTGCACTTCAATCACGCACTAACGTTGAAGTCCAGGCTTTCATCAAATTACTCCTATGGTGATGGTCTCTTGCATCGAATTAGTACCTGCTCCCATTATAGCTGAAACTTCATGGAGTTTATGGGTCCAAAGGAAAATCGAAAGTGTTTCCGAAGTTTTCCGAAATATCGACGTTCTGTTTGTGAAGAACCACTTACTCTGCAAAGTCAGAGCTTTGAAAAAGACTTAGTTGACTGCCTCAGTGATCTAAAATAACGAACCGCGCCCGGTTCGATGTAATTCTCAACAGAATGTTATTGCGAAATATAACTACTATAATGCTGAGATATTTGCAAAACTCCGGACCACAGGTGTCTGCGGTGGGGAACGAACGCGCTATTGTCCCGTCGACGGTTGATTGCTGATGGCAAAAGATCGATAGAACTAGCCGAGAAACAGGCGAAACGAAGGACCGGCATGGTGTGGTGGTGAACGCATTACTTCCCGGAAAGGGCAATAGCACGTTCGTTCCTACCGCAGACACCTTCGGTCCGGAGTTCTGCAAATATCACAGCATTATAGTAGTTATATTTCGCAAATACCCTGCCGTTAAAAAGAATGGGCAGTAAACGAAAAGGTTAAGAAATGTTATTGTGTGAAAGTTTCCCATTCCCTGGAAGTCGAGCTAGCACTCCTAAGTTGCATCAAGTTCTTGCTAAGAACTTGTGACAAGGATTTGTTTCGTCTGCACTACTCTGTGCCTATGAATGTTTTTACACTTTATATGAATAGGTTTCTCCTAGTAACATGGATATTCTTGATATTGCCTCTAAACAATAGTTCTCGAAATTAGTATTTCTGCTGGTTAACCGTTGTGAGGGCAATGTCGAACACAGTCCACAAATCGTATGCCCATTAGGAAGCCTGCAGATGTGGGGCCAGTAAGTTTGCTACAACGAACGATGATGGTGCATGTTTCAGAATGCAGCGATAATCTATATTTTCATTTTGATCATGCATGTTTTCTACATGATTTTGCATCAAATTACCTAGACTTCTACGTGTAGGTTAGATTTTAATATGACCTCAAAAGGGTGACATTTGCAAACCACAGTTATCGAGTTTTGTTCTCCAAAAGCAATAGAATATTTAAAAAATTGTCTTAATTTAAACAAGAAGTGTGCAAAGCTTATTAGAAGTCTTCTAGGTATCATACTGGAATAATAGCTCAACATTAAAATGTAGGAAGCCAATGAAGTGCTACAGCTTGTAGTAAGAAAGGTAGAAAACGCCGTGATCCTGCTGCTGGGCAGAAAGCAAAACTATATGAAATCGGCAACCCTCGTTGAATCTTTCTGCACAGTCACTTACGAGTTCTCCACTAAAAGCGATGTTCCAGAGGATAGTCAGCACGTTGTGTGAAGCACAGCCGCTGAAGCAAGCAACATTTTGAAAACGACTAAAAGCACAAGGAATTGCCATACACTAACGAAACTTACTGGAGTTTCATGGTAGCGCGATAAAGGATAAAAAAATGAAGCTCTAGGCTTTGTTCTATCCCTGATCCCGGAGGGATGCTTCGTGAAATCGACTTCATTAAGCATCGTTTGGAGGCGACTGAATGCATATCTGGCCTTTACAATGACTTGCGGTGGCCTACTATTGTATCGAGCCAACGCTGCTACCCTTCCAGACACAGGTCTGGCACCAGTTTACCGAACCCGGAGGGATGGAAGACTTGATGGGCCATGGGTGCTGGGATCGATTCCACGTGTGTATTACAGGGCGCCCCCGACTACTTCGCCACACGCACCCTTGATAGCGCGATACACACCTTTATTTCACATTCAATGGGTTAAAAACGTCGTTCGTAATTAAAAAAATAAAAAAAATAAAATGAATAAAAAAAAATTTAAAAAATGTAATAAAAACGTGAACATTTCAAACAGATGAGATCATGGATGTTCTGCACAACGAGGGTGTTCTCAAGAATACTTCATGGGCTATATAATAACATCATAAACAGTATTTCGCGGTTGCACAATTGGATTATTATAAGCGCAAAGACATTGGTTACTACCGTGTGAAATAACTTACACTGATCATTCATACCGAGATTAAATGAAGGTAACTTTACAATAGTATTGTTTCGCTACGTGCAAGTTTATCTAATTCCAACTGCTGTAGGATGGTTTTCTCGTTGAAGAGCAAATTTTCATGGACGGATAATCATTATTAACAGCAATCGTCCTGTACGAAAGAGCGCTGCCTGGTAAGGTTGCTTCATTCGAGAGGTGCCCCACTAAAGATGATCCGAGTCCATGCGACGACGAAGACACATGGGGAAGTCGAAGAACTGCGGACGATCGACTCGGATCATCGGCTCTGAGGAAGGCAAAAACGTCGAAAAATTAGCCGGATGAATGTTTGGTGACAACCCATGTTGAATTATCAGTGAAATAAGACACAGTGGTTAAAGTCGATAAACGTTGATGCCCACTTCCCAAAATCATTTTCGGCCACTTTATCATCATCGGAAAGCCAATGGGCGACTTTTAATGTAAATCATAGCCATCCAAAATAGTTTCTAGTTGGAAGATAGAACTTCTTTTTGACCTAAGAAGAATCATTTTGTGAAAAACGTATTCCTTTCTGCCCTCCCAGTTAAGCTCAACGCGACAAGAATTTCTGAAGACTTCATTTTCGTGTTTTTTTGTCATGAAGTCAGTATCCCACACAACAGCTGGTGAACGAAAGCCGTTAACGCTTCGATTCCATGTAATGTCAGGCGCTCAACAGGATGACTGTCAATCAAATGGTCCGATTGATTTTCGTTCAGTTTTTGTTGAGCAAACTAAATGTACTCTGACTATTGGCTTGACATTTAAAACACTCTTCTATGTTTCGCTTCCACGCGACTAGCATGGTAGGTAGGATATGAGCCCCCGATGAGGGTAAAGGTGGGTTCGAAGTACCCTAACGTCCCGAGTTCTTCTCATATCTAAATATCCTTCTGGTTACAAACGTGACACTTGCGATGCTGTTAATCATTGACTTGAAGCATTCTGGCTCCGAAGAAGGCGAAAGCGCCTGAACATTAGACAAAGAAGCTATTATAACAACCTTTTGCTTTCTTATCAGTGATAGATAGCCAATCGTTTAAAATATCCAAATCCACAGAAACCGCGCAAAGTAAGCAAATAAAAGCAGGAAAGTGGAAGGGGGTGTTACTTTCAGTGACTTATTGTGACAGTTCTGTAGGGTTTCATTCGTTATGACATCGCCAGAGCACTAGTGCTTCCGGCTGTTTTTCTACGTGGAGCTTCAACGGAGCTCAGAACGTTCTCGTTGTTAACATTCATTTTTCTTTTCGAGTGACTTCCGTTGTCTTCGCTTCATTTTACTTTCTAAATAACTCACACATCCACTTACAGTACTCAGTTTCTCACTTTCTCGATAAGTTCTCCGTTTTTATCACAGTACATGGTTATATTTCAAGTTCATCTATTGTTTTGTCTTTTGCAACCTTTTTTGTGTCCACCTCACCTTTCACTTTGTCTTTTTGAGCAAAAATTCGTTGTTTTCTTGATGAGAAAACACGAGCTGTTGGTATATCATTTATTCATCCACCATAGCTGATTCTTCCTCGGTTTAGTCTTCGTCAGATCCTGGAAGAGTGAAATTGACACAGGATATACTCGGTCAAACACTTACAGAACCTCAGCAGATAAGAATTAGTACATGGATTTTTATTCGCATAACAAACAGTTTCTTTTAAACACTCACCGTTTGTTCTTTCTAACACTTCCGACAGGGGCGCCTGTGACGCAGTGGTCGGAGGCACCCTGCAACACACAGGTGGAATCGATCCCTGCGCCCATGGCCCCACCAAGCCTTCCATCCATCAGGGTTTAGGAAATTAGTACCAGACTTGTCTGGAAGGATAGCAGCACTGGCTCGATACATCGGTAGGCCACCACGAGCCATTGTAAACGTCAGATATGCATCCAATCACCTCCCATGATGCTCAATGAATTTGAATGAATGACGCATCCCTAAGGAATTGATCAGCGCCGAGAGCTTTACCCTTTTATTCTCTATGTTTTCGTGTCCTACGCGCTCCTAGTGGAGTGCTTGGTTTGAATTCAGATTTACCAACTAGGTGTCTTTTATACGAACGCAGAGTGCTCTACCCGTTTTGCCAACGTATTCGTCTCCACACGCTTTACAAAAGACCAGATGAACTCTGCCCCAGCTCATGCAATCACCGTTTGTATTGTGCATGGACGGCCTCACAGATTGTTATGAACAAGAGTTAGCGTCTTAGAGTGCTCAGTGGTTTCTCAATTAGTGTTACCGAATTCTCTAGACCGGCCCTTTTTAAGCAACGTTTTACAGCTGCAGATGCTTCTTTGCAGAAGAAAGGTAGGATACCTTGCTATCTACTTAGAGTATCTGAGCCCTTCCAAATTCAATAGTTTCTCTCTGAAATAGGTGTTTCATTGAGTCAGCATCAATACTGTTCCTGACTTTTGCTTTTTAACCTGCAAATACACAGGCAAGCGGGCGCTCATGTTTCCGTCATGTCTTCCTGTTCTCTTATGAGCGTTCACGAAGCGATCACTACAAATAGAAGCATTGGGATTTTGTTTTAAGGTCATCCCAAATCTAAAGTGAAAATTTATGTATTAAGTTTTATCTGCAGAGGTTATGAAATTGTTTGCATGAGTAGATAGCATGTCAAGTTGTCCTTGCCAAGCCCTGAAAAAAGCGAAGCCGCCGAAACGCCAGCTTTTGTTTATTTATAGATGCTCTAATGACAAACTCGTGTTTGTTCATGAAGAAAGCAGTGAATCATGCTGTAACCCGAACAAATTCATGGCGCCGTTTGCCTAACCACAGTGTTCATTGTGGTTCATCTTATACAATAGTGTTTTCAGGCTGTTGGATTGCTTTACAAGGAAATCTGCGGAGATCACGGACGAGTGCTTTGGTTCAGAGACACGACAGATGCGAAAAGTATTGGAATTACTGAAAAATCACCAATATGTGAACCTTTCATGGTTAGTTAACGCCAAATTCCCAAAGCTGGCTTCTTGACGACAGTCGCCGTTTTATCGATCGGTAGAGTATTAGTAAAATTGGGAACTATCTTGATTTATATAAGAGACCTCGCTTTACGCCTTAGTTCTATATTTAATTCGTATTCCTTTAACTTTAAAGATGTCGAAAAGTAAAGGCTATAGAAAGTTGATGAAGAAATTTGCTTCCTTAAAATTTTAAATGCGAACGCGTCTTCTACATAAGTAAAGTTTCCTATGTCCTCCTTGAAGAAATCTTTGTTGTTCAATTGCTCCCGTGCTCAAAAATGTTCAGGCAGAAAACGGAAGAAACGTGTCTCCTGGACTCCTTCGCAGGATAAATAAAGTTGCATTTTCTAGAAAACTCTGTAGACCCAAATACTTTTTATTCGATCTAATAAGGTCCGTGTCCTTCCAACGGTTTACCGCCTCATCGTGGCTGGGAGGTGTTCCTAGGTATCAAGCTGCCATGTATAGAGGGAGATTCATTCCCTGGCAGGGTCTACCAAGCTGTGAAGGAGTCCGGTGCTTCCATCAGGAAGCCTAGCTAAGAGTAAACCGATACAACGATCCGCCACCGTCCTAGTATCAAAGTCTTATGGAGGCAAATGTTTTCTCTGATCCACAAGGGTGACGACTTAAGTTTGACTTTGGCTAAGCTGACCTCATTACTCCGGGAATCCGCAGTGGCTATATCAGGAAAGCTCCGAGAAAACGGAAATTGTGCAGGGGCCCGCACAACAAGTGACGACAGGGCAAGTAAGTGGTAAAGCAGGAAATAAGCTGAGACATGCTAGTTTAAGGCTGAAATTGTGTTATTTTCTCATCGAATACACTGTATTAATTGCATTTCGAGCGTTGTTGTTTACATAGTGTCAGCATCAAGATCGCAGTGATCCTCTCGAATTTTCCGCTTTGTTTGGAAATAGGATTACTATCAGAATTATCACCATGAATCAATGGAGCTACTGATACCCTAGCACATTAACGACAAACAGATACATTGATTTGTAGAAGTTTTCTCACTGGTTCCTAGCACTTCGTCAATTTCTTCTCAGTTTCTTTTTTACCATGAGCTATTTTCCTCAATAATGTACCTTGTGGATCTACAGATCTTTCTCACTAAGGGAGACTGGCAAATGACCAGGCTGTAATGCGTCATCAGGCAGCGGGCAGGAAGTTAAACGTGATCCAAAATGTGCTTTTGTGCCTCCTTGAAATGTGTATGGTTCCTGAATATATGCTCGATGTTTTCGTCGCGCCGATTTGACATGGAGTGGAGACATTTGACACGAAGAGGTGGGCAAGCAGTCCGGTGGTCCTCTTTTTCTTTACTATATCCTTGACTATCTTGAAAGCTCCCTAAGCTTCCGCTTACTTCTGCTTTACTCTCGAACTGAATTGATCATCATTTTTATTTCGCTACCAAGCTATACATAGCTGGACCATTCGGATATATTCAATATGTTGAACGTCCTGTTTCTGTTTACTATATCCTTGGCGATCTTGAAAGCTTCCTAAGCTTCCCACTTACTTCTAACTCTCGAGCTAAATCGATCATCATTTTTATTTCACAACCAAGGGGTACATGACTGGACATAATCCGTGGATTTGACATATATCTTTTATACTTAGGAAGACATATTCGTGCATGCATCCGTGGTTCTATTTGCTTTTGACCAATATGTATTCTCCAAGTCAGTTCAGCCGTAAGCATATCGTTATTACTCAGCACCTACGTCAAGAAGTTCGTGAACTCTATAGGTATAGCCTCAATGGAAGGCACGTAATAAACGACTCTAAGGAAGGTGAAATCTGCCGAAACGTCAGCTTTAACGAAACAAAAAATGAACTAGCACCTCGTATTTGCTCAACAAGAACATCGAGATCTACAGATATACATCGTCGAGTGCTCGAGCCAGTAAACCTTTCATTTTGCGCCATCGCGTGCAAAAGTGGCCCAGTGGGTCATTCTAGCTCTAGGAACCCGTTGAACATTACATCATCCCATCCTTCTAAGGTTCTCGTGAAGAACTTCGACATTTAAGTTGGCAGTCTTCTTGCTGTGCGTTTGACATAACGGAGAGGTTCCTAATGGCTTTTGCACATCGCTTGTCGTTTATATGCACTACGTGTCGCTCCACTTCATCTACGATAATTTCGCATGCAGAACGGTTCCTTTGATTTTTGATTTTTGACGTAGCTTGGAAGTTTGGATCCCCTCTCTCACTTAAGTGATAAGGGATACCTCAGGCCCTGGCATTGTCTTTTCGACTGTGTATTCTATAACGCTGAGTGATTCTTCATTTTGCTAACGTAGCTACCACGTTTCTAGCGCGTACGTAAGGGAAGTGAAAATCATCAAAGCGAAAAAGTGGGCAAGGAGTCCCGTAGCACTGTTTCTTTTTACTATATCCTTGATCATCTTGAAAGCTTCCTAAGCTGTTGAAATTTTGTCAAAGATCAACTTTCTTGTGCTTCTTATCGAGTTCAACTAACAATCCTTCCGCTTGGCTAATGTTTGGTATTAGAAGAACTATCTCATTGGTAAAGCGAATACGACATCACTGCAGATCTCCAGGGATTACGATAACGGCAAGAAGTAGATTGCTGTTCACCGCAATGTTGTGTACTTGATCCCTTGTAAAGCGGGGGAGACGAGTACGTTGGCGAAACGGGAAGACCACGCTGCGCCCGTTTAAAGGAACACCTAAACAGTAAACTTAGAATTAAACCGAATGCTCCACTAGGCGTGCATAGAACACAGAGACATCGGAGATTTGGAAGTGGAAGTTACCACTCTCACACAGGAATCGAAAACAAAAAAGAATAAAACTCCCGAGATATTTTGGGCGCATTCCAAAAATCCGAGGGTGAACAGCAAAGAGGAAGGTCTTATTACCATTTACAATCCTTTATACTTGATACTTGAACGGCCCGCCCTCACTTCGTCACTGGTTGTGCGGGCTCCAGCATAATCTCCATTTTTCGGAGATTTGCTGGTTAAGCCATTGTGGTTCCCTGGAATTCTGAGGTCAATCTGGCCAAAGTCTGCACCAGGTCTTCACCACCACGGGCAGTCGCAGCCCTTGTGGATCAGGGGAAGATTTGCCACCATGCGACTTTGAGACCAGGACGGTGGTGGATCCTTGTATTGCTTTACTTTTAGCTAGGCTTTCTGATGGAAAGCCGGACTCCTTCTCAGCTTGGGAGACCATGCCAGTGAGACGAATCCACCCGCTGTACATGGCAGTCTGACACGCAGGATCACCTCCCAGCCACGATGAGGCGGTAAACCGTTGAGAGGACTATTTATAATATCAGGCCAATTTTGAAACTAATCCTTTAACGTAGGAGAGACACATTCCTTCCACAGTTAAACTCTGTCTTAGATGACTACGTAAATAAGTGAAAGACTTGTAAAGAAAAAACGAGGCGTACTTTTTTCATTGATAAGCTAACACGAGCTTGTTGCCAGTTATTTATCCGGCTAACGTTTCGATGCCTTTGTCTTCAGCAAAGTTGATGACCCGAGTCGATGTCCACAATCGTTCGTCTTTTCGATGTGGTGTCTTCGTCGTCTTATCGAGTCGTGTCTTCTTCATTGGAGCATCGATTGAATAAGGCAGCCCTGCGGTGCTGTTTTAAACAGAACTGTTTTTGTCAACATAAATGTCTAGTGATAACAACTTTTTTTCCGGAGAATTCATTCCGCAGAAGTCGGTATCGTTATCAGCTGGCACACAGCTTAACAATTTCATTGCTAACTGAGTTTTGTTTAACCCCGGTTCAAATGATCAATATATCTTGTTTCATTGATAGTCTAACACGAGGTTGTTACCAAATATTTACTCGGCTAATATTATGACGCTGTGCATATAAAAGAAGCTGTTTCCAATGTGGCTGAATTTTAGGTGTAGTGTTTCCAGATTTGGAGTTATAAAAGTATTTGCCTGACTACAATTCTACATCCGCTCGATGTTCCCAGGATCTGAAGAGGGAGAACTCTTCGGAAGCGCCAGCTTTTGTCAAAAAGTAGTATAACAATAACCTTATGTCTGCTCATCAAGAAGGCAGTAAATTGTTGAACAACACCGAGATTAATAGGAAGTCGGTCTTGGGAACTACTGCAAGAAGAGGCGTTATTGCAGATACCGTGATAGTTCTCAATCGTTTTTGATTTTTGGTTTAAATATTTGCATTCAGTATTAATGCTGCGAAAATTTTTTTCCAGTAGCTACGTAGCGCTACAAGAGACGTTATTAGCTTGAAACTAGTGGAATTCTACCAACATAGTATGGTCTGTAGCATGGCTTACTATTGCAAAGAATAAAGACTCGAGTTAAAAGCGACGACATAAGCGTAACGCGTGACGACGAGCTTCTTCCATCCAGTGCTAATGTGATATCGTTTCTTATCTTCGATTTTCCCAAGGAACATAGGTAAAACTAATGGCGTTGATTAAGATAGGCGTTACTTTTCCTGCTCGATCACATGACCTGTTATTTATCAACTGCCGATCAATTTACATTTCTTGACGGATATAAGTTAAAAAATGAGCCACAAAAGTAGTTACTTGCATTGTATGCAATAATGAGAAGATGGCGCTCACAACGTTTTTCAGGAGGAACTCACGCCAGACTCGGAAACACTGATGGCGTTGGCACGAACCCTCAATGAGTTGGTCCTAAACTTTACTCTAGGCATCATTCCTGAAACGTCGACTCCAACAGTGGACGAGGGGAGTGCTTTCAACAACGAATCTGTGGCAGGAACGATTACACTCCCCGAAAAACAATCAGAAGACGACTTCTCTCAAAGTGAGTTAAGTGCATCTACTATCAATAAATCATAATATACCATCCAGTTGAGGTCACCAATCAGCGCTGAAGTTCTGTGAGTAAATGGCTATTTCCGAGTAATGTTCTCTCTATCTCAAAAATAGTAACATAATAAGGAAGAAGTATGATAGGTGCAGCAGAAAACCTCTACGATCACTCGATTCAATGCAGGCGTAAGAGTATACTGATCCTTCTAGTCGTTCAACTTCCTTTTACACAAGTCCTCTGAGGTTTGCACTTTTAATGCGTAGCTTCCTTTCTCAGCAACCGCGAGGTTTTTATCCATCATACATTTCACTTCCGTGCAATAACACGTACAGTGCAACAGTAGCTGACGAACCAGATTCGATAATAATATGCGCAAAAAAAATCCTCCTACTTCTGCTTGGAAAGCCAGGCGGCGCAAGAGTGTAGTTAAATCGCCTTCGGTTAAAATTTTCCTACGAGAGTCTGTGATAGCTTTTCACCTTCAATATTTTGTTCGAGAGTGTGGACAAACTCCCTATTCTCAGCTTTCTTCATGTTTTGGTTACTTTTTTCGTCTCTTAAAAATTGAACTAGTTTCTGTAATTCATTTGCGTTAAGGTTTGTCCTACTGGCAAGCCCTTCACTTCGAGGTAAAGGTGAATTTCACAGCACCTCTTTTTAGGAACAGCGTTCCTTGTTGTAGAAGGCACTGATCACACCAGAAAAGTGGAAGAAGTTGGGCGATTAGTTATATCGCCACCGCCAATTGTTGTTCACTTCCCAAGGACGGAACTCCACACGCAAGCACCTTGGCGGGATAATAATCGTATAGACAATTTCGACGACGTTTATACTGATTACGGCAATCACAAGTGAGCGGCAACTTGCTTTTCTTCATAGTACTTTTTCAAATTTGCGCTACTCACCGAGATTTTATTGATGCTGGTATTGCGCCGTCTCCTCTTCAGGGTTAAATACTCTGTAGTTTACGATCCTCGTGGGAAACGTTCTTTGCCATCAACAGAGGAAGAAAATGAAAAGAAATCCGAGAAACAAAGTGGGGAAAACGAAGAAGAGGACGAATGGCTCTTCAGCGTGAGTGGTGAACTAGCAGATGTTTCCTACTGTTTACCTAACATATTGCCATCTACTGCATCAGGTGCGACCACTACATTATGGAACGGCAAACTAAGCATGTCTAAGATTTCGCGGGAATTTCTTGATCTGGAAAGATTTTAGTTACGCCTAGGTTGTTTCGGAGGCTAATCAGGCTTGTAAAATCCTTCTAAGGAAACTATGTTGAAATATTTATAAAGGAACTCGTAGGATAATTAATGCAGATTTTGACTCCTCTTCTGCAAATGCATAGGTTTCGGCTAATAGTAAACTTTTTAGCAGGAATAAAAGCTAATACAGTTCACACATGTTCGCTATCATATCGGATTAGGTATATCAGGGAACAAAACAGAATTCTTAGGCTTATGACTAAATGTAAATTTCAAGGTCGATGATTATCAAATTGGCAAGGGTCATGGAGGTATCACCATTCTTCATTACACCTAATATTTGCTTATAATCAATACTTTTCCACGAAAAAATGATCCTCAAAATTTAGGTCAACCCGTCAACTACTAAACCAGAAGAGGAAGACGAGGAGGACAAAGAGGGTCATGAAGAGAATATCACTGAATTTAAATGGGTTAATATCGAGCATACGGATGGAGAACAGTATGTTCCGTTATTTATCGTCGTTTTGCTTATGATGAAAACATTGTGAATCTCTTCGTTTTACCGCGAGGTCATTATGCCGATTTACCACTGACAACAAGCATGTAACGCAGTGGTTAGAGGCGCCCTTTAATACACATGGGTTCCATTGCGCGCCCCAGGCTCACCAAGCCTTCCATCCCTCCAGGGTTGGGAAATTGTTACCAGACCTGTTTGAGAGGAAAGCAGCGCTGACTCGATACATCGGTGGACCACCGCGAGTCATTGTAAGGGCAGATATGCACTCAGGCATCTCTAACGATGCATGATGAGGTCGAGTGCATGGCGCATTCCTCAGGGATTGATCATCGCCGAGAGTTTTACCTTTTTTACTGTCATTTTATCGTTGTATGCGTACTATTCCAGTCCAACACTGTTCATTTCTTCTGCAGAAGCTGTAGAAGGCCTTGCACTAAAAATACCAATGGATGCGTTTCTACGATTTGAAAAGGTGTGGGAGATTTTTAATACGCGTTAGAAGTCTCTTACTTTTCTACATTTATCGTCAATAAATAGGGAATGAAATGAGGCGAAGGGTCATGCTATTCTCCAAAAGCAAAATTCTTTGAATTACATCTCAGATCGGTCTCTATCTACCGGGAATTTGTGCTGACTATGTTCCTAAAGCCATTGACGAGTTCAACAGCAGCAGTTTTGAAGGTCGATAAAGATTTTTGTTGCTACTGCTTCCTGAATTCTGTAATCCAGAGGCATAAGCTTGCAGGAGTGGAAATCGAGGGCCCAATTGGTGTCAATATTTCCGCATTAGAAGCAGCAGGTGTTAATCTTACAGCGTTGGCGGAGAAGCTCAGGAATGACACTGAAGTGGACGAGATTCTTAGCAGAACAAATGGCTCTACTAAGTAGGTGTGCTAAAGTTGTTGACATAGTTTGCATATAAAAAAAGTGTTAAATGTAGCTCAAACATATATCTCAGAAACAAGTGTTTCATAGACTGAATATTTGCTGAGACAAAGCACTCAGAAAATTTAGCTTTGACCTAAATCACTAAGCTATAAGTTATATAATATTTTAGCAGAAAGCCCTATTTCATGTTGTCAGTGGCATTTTTGATCAAGTTCTTAAACAGTTTACCACCTCACCGTTAGTGCAGGAAGAGTTTACTGATTCAAGAGCAGGGATATGTGGGGAATAGTTCATCGCTTATGCTGAGGAGTTCAATGCTTCCATGTAAAAGTTCAACTTAATCTAAAATAGTCGTTGGGATTGTCGTCGACCTAGAGAAAAAGGAACATATTCATAAGGTGGGAACTCTTCCACAAATCTACATGTGATGACGACAACCTACTAAGCTACCAAGAAACGCTATGGCCAAATCATATGGAAATGCAAAAAAACTTACCTAAGCTGAAAAATGTGAAAGGAAAAATAATTTGGCCGGAATCTGTAATACGTGCCAAGATGAGAAGATGCAGTGTTTCCCACGACCGACTTTTCTTAACCTTAGCATTGATCGAATAATTCACTGTATTCTTGATGAGGAAAGACCAAGTTGTTATTTCATTCTTTATTGACGAAAAAGCCGGTGCTTTGGCGGATTTCGCCTTCTTCATAGCATCTGAAGGCCGAGTTGACCGGGATCTATCCAACCAAACACACCTCCATAACCATAATGGAAAGACGAAACCGAGATTTCAACCATATTGAGAACAAAGCAGCTTCTACGCACACTAACTGCTTTCTATGAGCCCACAGAGTATCTGAATAATGGCTCTCTCTCTGTATGTGAGGGTAGTAAACGATCTCTGGCCATTACTCTCCCATAGATATGTAGATGATTGTTTTTTCATCTGTTTCTTACAAGAGAAGATGAAGAAATTCTTTGAGTTATTGAACGAACAGTCAGACTACATGATATTCACACGAGAGAAACCGAAGGAAAACTAGCCTCCATTTCTGAACCCTCAAATTAATCTATTGGAAAACGCCTACATGACAAAATGGTACCGAAAGCCAGATAGTAAAAAATAAGAGTCGTTAATTATCTCTACTCTCACCCATCCTCCCCTCTCCCTCCCCCCGTGCCAGATAGCCATTTCCAATGGCTGCAAAGCCGCAACTCCTCGTGATAGGATAGAGGAAAACTTAAGGTCCTAAACGACAATTCTAGCGATAGCAATAGCCCGTTTATCCTCCCCTTCATTTCCAACGAAATAAGTGCAGATATGAAACGGTGCCTGAACGCCTTGTTATCACGCGTGGTCTCAAACAGTATACATGCCTGACATTTTAATGCGAACCGGGCACATCCTTGTGGTCTTTCGAGGTAGGATTTCACGTGAAATACTCAGTAGAAGAGTCATAGAAAACGGTGAGTGTGCGAAGAAGTTATTTTGTTTTCAATGCGACTGAAATTTTGGCTTGGTATGTTTTCTGTTTTGGTTATTGCGGTGTGTTTGCTGGGTATATTGCGGTCAACTGGGCCTTTCCAGGCTCTGAACATAAGGAAAGCCGTCAAAAAGTCAGCTTCTTCTTCATAAAAAGTAAAGTAACGAGTTGGAATTTGCTCAGTAAAATAGAGGAAATTCTCAGAATACGAGCTATTTATGTTCGAAGTGTTTTTGATCTAATTGCAAGCAATTAAGGCAATGGATAAGCCTGGATAAGATATTTCAGAACACTTGGTGGAAGCTTCATACTTCCGGTGCTGAACAAGAACAAATATGACCCATTTTCAGCTCCAATTGTATTTCAGGTTGGTTAATCGTTAATACCACGAGATTCCACGATGTTTTATAGCATCGTAGGAATACGCTTGTGTTTCTGGGCGTTAAATTGTAATGTCTTTATCTTTTGCTTGAGCGCAAGTTGACTTTAGGAGCGGCTTCCCGCAAAGAGATTTCAGCAAAATCTGTAAAGCTTCAAAAAAAGCCAGGCCAGTTATATCACCATTTCAAGAAACCAGTAATTTCCCACCACGTCTACAACGTTTTCCATTCCTATATACTGGGTATGTGTGGCGCAGTGGTCAGAGACGCCCTGCAACACACGTTGAATCGACTCCCTCGCCGATGGCCCACCGAGCCTTCCATCCTTCTAGGGTCTACAAATTGGTACCAGACATATCTGGGAGAATAGCAGCACTGGCTCGATATATCGGTAGGCTACCACGAGTCATTGTAAAGGCTAGATGGCATTCAGTCACCTTAAAACGATGCTTAATGAAGTTGAATGCTTGGTGTATCCCTCAGGAACTGATCAACGCTGAGAGCTTTTTATCCTTTTGTACAATGGGAACCAGCCATACAGTGAGAGCAAAACAGATTCCGATGGCTCGGGGCCTACGATGATTTTGCACCATAATGACCATCTTTGGCCCAAAAAAATTCGGAGACTCTCTGAGAAACTGAAATTATAGCTTCTACTATGAACTGCTGGAGTTGTTAGCTTTGTGCCAACTTATCATTCTTTGTGTTAAATCTTGAAAATTTGGGAAATTCTTGTATTTTGTGGGAAAATTTTCAAACGATTGCGTTGTGCGTCGAGCGCCTGTTCATTTAAGCGCTGGTAAACGCTGCTATCCACACTTGCGATCTGGTCAACCTCAAGGATCTGTGGAAAAGAAAAAACTGAAACCCGTAACTTCTGCTATCGCTATTTCAATGAATATCTTCCGTTCTTCCGTTGCCTACATGTAGTTAGTAGCGTGATCAGGTTTTGAATTGCAAAGTTCTGTCTAGTGGTTCGTCATGACTAGGAAGAACATAGAAAAAGTGGTCAAATCAACGTCCTATGGCAGAGGTTTTAACTAGAAGAGCAAGACAGGAATTGTATATTTTCGTAAGACTTTCAGTAACTCACCTCATTATGGACGGCTTCTCTTCTGTTAAGTATCCACCCATGAATATTCTGTTCTCAGAAAATATTTTCATCTATATCTTCCAGCTGGTCCGACATAAAATAGTGCAGTATAACCGATTTTTCTGAGGGCTATCTCCCAGAAACTTAAAATGAAGAAACTGACGAAATTATAGGTGAATGTAGTGTGTTGCGAAACCTAGCTTTATCACGGTGGATCGGTCGCTCTCATGGTAGCCAACTAAGACTAGTTGTCGAATCCTTCTCATTACTTACTCAAATTTCCACTGAGTTCATTGGCTTTGCAACTGTGCAGAATATGCACCTTCTGGGAAATAACGGCACGACACGACCGTAAGAACTGAAGAGTAAACAAAGTTTTTAGCGTTGACCCAAAGCAGAGCCACTTCGGTAGAGAATAGACAATGAATGTCAATGTGTTTCTCAACAATTGGAACGGTTTTATTCTTAGCAACTGCATTTTGCTAAGCTTAAGTAGTGTTTTGTTATTTTTTGTTCTATTAAGTTAAATTTCTTTTTCCTGTTTTTTTATTTCTGTTCTGTTAGGTTATTTTGTTAGGCATAATGGTTACACACAACGCGGAAGCGATTATGAGTTACAGTGCTAATGAAAAAAGTAAACGAGTGGTAATCTGGATCCCATATAGCACTCCTATCCGTAAAATATTTACATTCAACTACAACGATGCTGAGATACTCGCAAAACTCGGGCTCCGGGCCAGATCGAACCAGGATTTCCTTTTTCGGGGGTTCGCGCATAGCACACTGCGCGACGGTGGTCCTTGCACTGCGTTTTTCTCAGCTATTTACATTCAGTACTTATGGAAAACCAGATGTATTGTTTTTTTTACTGCAAGGTAGAAAAAAAAGAATAACTGCATCATAGAGTCTGTAAATCACTTTTTAATTTCCTTAGTGGATAAAGACTTTCAGGGTAGCGCAGTGGTTGTACGTTTCGGTATCTATATAGAATCTATGTCGAACTTCCAAACATCCACAATGGTGAGCTTCTATTCTCTATTAAGAAATAGCAAGGAAAAACTCACTTTGAAATAAACGGGCATTTAAAGTGAACAATAAGTGTGAAATAAAACATCTGTAGTGATGATTCTCTTTCACACTGCAATGCATCACTTCTCCTTCAAAGTGTCTCTAAGATTAAAATTTTAACTTTGTGCAAAAAGGTGAACTCTCGTCCTTGTTCGCTGTCTTTTTCACGCTGATATGTTTGTGGAAAGCTTATTTTTAGGACTATGACATGGATATCTATCTAATGATGTCATGGCGAGACGCTCGGCTTGTCAATCCTTATGATAAACCAATCCTTGTCAAAGAGGAGGAGATTCTGGAGAAAATCTGGAGACCTGACCCGTTCTTCGCAAACGCCAAGGAGGCTGAGTTCCACGAAGTCACATTTCTCAATTTCCTCATGCGCATATTCCCAGATGGACTTGTTCTCTATGAAACACGGTAATCGTGTTTTGAAATAATTTTCCATCTTTTTGCCGGTGTCTTAGGAGTTCAAAATTTTCAAATGATGAAATATGAACGAATATTGTTTCATATTTCAAATGCTGAAGCGTATGGAAAGGAGCTGGTGGTGGTGTCGATAGAGTAAAAACATGGCTTAGAGAATGGCAGACCACGGGCCTCCGTTAATCTGTTGGATAGCACGCAAATACGCGGAAATGGTAATCACCGGTTCGACACCCAACTGAGGATTGCTCGTATCTCAGCATGCAGATGGCTGTATTTCACATTGCACCTTCCCATGAAGGGCGCGTGTGGCTCAGTGGTTGGAGGCGCCACTGCGACACACACGTGGAATCGATCCTTGCGCCCATGGCCCACCAGGCCCTCCATCCCTCCGGGTCGGGAAATTGGTACCAGGCTTCTCTGGGCAGATTGCAGCACTGGCTCGATACATCGGTAGGCCACCGCGAGCCATTGCAAAGGCCAGATATGCATTCAATCACCTCCAACGATAATTAATGAAGTCGAATGCATGGCGCACCCTTCAGTGATTGATCGACGCCGAAAGCTTTATCCTTTTTATCCTTCACCCTGCCATGAAAAGATAGACAAAAAATGTAGGTTAAAGACTGTATAAAAAGGGTCTTGACGAACCGTAAGCATAAAAAAGCTGATACTTCACCCACATCAGAAAAAAATTGCTTACAATAAGTAGGGCATTCGAGTGGTGTCCTCCAACGATAGATCGACACATTGAACCAGAACCATGCAGAATACTTCGAAAAGATAAACATTAATGAGCCATCGTATATTGAAAAGCAGAGACGATATTTGGACGAGGAAGCAGGGCGGATCCTGAGATATTCGGAACAACTTCAAGGAAGACAACCAAACGGAGAGGTATTCGTTACACACAAATACGAACGCTTCTATGGGCGATGACTGCAGCGCCACGGAGCGAGCTATAGAAGTGATGGGACTCGCACGATATGTGAAGGCAGGTGGTTCAAGTATCTCTGAGAGTGCCAGGGCACCGCTGCTGATTCGTGAACTGCTTGTTACCACAGCTGGCCACCGATCCATGTGAATTGAATAGGAGATTTTCTACCTTGTGCCTTGGTTTCGACGGCAAAGATGCCTAATATTGTATTCCTAGCTCCGGCTATGAAACATCGAACTCCTTCCAGTCAGGGCGACATTACCGCAGACCTCTGTTGTGTTGTTGTTGGACACTGTTGTACACCGCGGCTCTACTAAATATCAAGCAGTGTTTGAAAATCAATATTTGTTTACTTAGACACTTTGATGGCACGTTTTCATTGATGTAATTGCGGTCACCAGCATAATATCCATTCGTTTCTCTCTTGCTCAATCCTCGTTCATAGAGGTGTTCTTCTTCGAACATGGCCCATTCCAAATTCCTAAAATCGTTTTAATCCTCGCACGTCGGGCTAATTGTTTGGATTGTGGTCCAAAAGGTGCCTATATTCTCTTGGAGTGCACACCGCTGTACCTTTCTTTCACCTGTCATATGTCCTTTTTACTACTAGCACCATTTGTGCTTCTTTGTCGATGTGCATTCTCCTCAAGAAAAGAGATTTCGAAAATCTGAGCTGCGCATTCCGGCCATACATTGTAAGCGCCGGTTAAATGTCAAAACATCGTTTAAGTGATGTGGGGGTAGTCTGCTGATTTTTTGACGTGGTTTAACTATGAACCCATGTTTCTGCTGCACAATAGATTGCTGGGAGGACTGTTTAATCGAAAAAATGAACGCGGAGTCTTTGGTCCATTCGTTCAATGGGTGGTCTCCTTGAGAGGCCCGAATGCGGCCCAAGCTGCTCTCCTTTTACCTAATTCCTCTTTCATTTTGTATTCCATGTTCAGTGAACATCCAAGACACACGTACGAGATGGTTTCTGTAATCAGAGAATCATTCTTTTCGTTTTGTCCAACTTCGCTTCATGGGATGTTCATGAAGTGAGTCTTGGTCCTACTTATGGACACTCCAAGCCTCTTTTGTTTTTCGTGTGTTCATTAAGCATCGTCTCTGCTTCACTGACTGGTACTTCTTGAAAAGGTAATGGTGCCATCCGGTAAGCGATGATTTGATAGGAATTGTGCCAATCGAATAAATTCACTATCCATTACAGTGCGGAAATAAACAACTTTGGCAATATTGTGTCCCCTTGTCGAATACCTCTTCCCATGGATAGGGTAATAAATCGATGGAAAAGATGTATATTTGCGCTGCATTTCCGATAACGGTCGGCGAACGTACGTAAATTGGACGGATCCACACCTTAGTCGACGAGTGCTGATAGAACTGCAATCGTTTCGACGCTTCAAACTCTTTCTTGTGATCGACAAACGTTAGGGTAAAGGGCAGATGGTACTCACTACAGAATTCTATGACACGTGACACGGTTTCGATTTGGTTCATACAGCAGAATGCATGTCAGAACCTTGCTTGCTCAACTGGTTCTTGCCTCATTCAAAGTCTTCGCTACACACAAAAGCACAATCTTAATGAATAGGTTGTTGAGCGTACACAGCAAGCATATTGGACTATAGTTGCGAAGGTCTCTTCGGTCACTCTTCTTAGGGCAAGACGACCAAACACGTTTATCCTCCACTCGTCTGTGGTTTTTGGCCACCAGCCTCAACAAAAGCTGCGGAGATATTATCGAGTCGTGTAGTAGTGATTCTCTTCATGAATTCTGTGACCGCTCAAACTTCAGAGATAGAATCCCAGGGTACTTTTCATTATTGTGAATTTCGAGGTCCGAAAAAGAGATTATGGAGCGGAAAAGATTGGTATAGAACTTCCCCGTTCTCGATTCCATATCATCGCGATATGGAATGATGGTCTCATCTTCTTTAACTCTTTATTTACTGCCTGTTATTTCCTTCACGACAGGATATTATATGAGATACAATCAAAATGATGCTTGAGATAGCTGCAAAATTTGGAACCTAGGCCAGATTCGAACCTGTGATTACCCTTTCTGGTGGCTCATGTGTTACTCACCGCTCCACTGAGGCCTTTGCTTTGCCTTTCTCCCAGCCATTTTTTTACCTCAACGGTGCCATCAGCAATAACCGTCAACGGGATTGATCTCAGGAGCACAAATCGGTATTGAACCAACTTAATTTGTAGTTGTTGTCGAAATTACAATCTTTAATCACAATCTTAACCTTTGCATTTGCTGCCTATTCTTTTTAATGGCAGGGTAGGTTGCGAAATATAACTTTCATAGTGCTGAGATATTTGCAAAACTCCGGACCGCAGGTGTCTGCGGTGGGGAACGAACGCGCTATTATCCTTCCCGGAGAGTAACGCGTTCACCACCACACAATGCGTGTCCTTCGTTTTGCCTGTCTCTCAGTCTCAATGTCTACATTCTTTAACTTTTTATTTGCTGCTTATTATTTCTTTTACGGCAAAGGATTATGTTTTGTATTATTAGTTTTGCAATTGTCTCAGCATCATTGTGGTTGTCTCTCACACATTCCCATCCTCATTAATCACGACTGGTAACAGAACCTTATAGTCACAAAGATTTCGACGCCACTTTTTTGAGCCAGATAGTTTTTGAGCTTTCTCCAATAACTTCTCGCTATACCTATGTGTCGTCCCAACGGTTTACCGCCTTATCGTGGCTAGGAGGTGTTTCTGGGAGTCAGACTGCGATGTACAGCGGGGGGATTCGTCTTCCCGGTAGGGTCTCCCAAGCTGAGATGGAGTCTGGCGTTTCCATCAGGAAGTCTGGCTAATAGTAAACCAATACCAGGATCCACCACCGTTCTGGTATCAAAGTCGCATGGTGGCAAATCTCCCTCTGATCCACAAGGGCTGCGACTGCCCGTGGTGATGACGACCTGGTGCAAACTTTAGCCATACTGACCTCGGAATTCCAGAGAACCACAATGGCTTAACCAGCAAGTCTCCGAAAAATGGTGACTGAGCTGGGGCCTGCACAAAAACTGAGGACGGGTAGTTCAAGTATCAAGTAAGTAAGTATGCCTATTTGTATCGTCCCGCAAAAATCTTCTACAGCTAGCGCTTGTCATGAAGGGGGGATGTGCTGCAGTAGGATCAAGCTTGAGCTTTCCTTTCTTCTTCAGCATCTGCCTTGTTGTGATGAAGATGCGATATGATCCTCTTGCTTGAGGAGCTGACCAAAATTGGGCGCAAATTTTATATTCTTCAAGAAGCAGTTTGTAATCCTTCGTCGGGTCATCTTTTATATACCAGTCATATGAGGAGTGGACTCTACTGAGAATATCCTCGTCGTGCACGACGTGTTTCGTTTTTGTTTGACGATAACAGGAGTTCTTTCCCAGCTTATGGAATCTTCGCATAGAGAAGGCGACGATGATCCTGTACAGAACTCAGGTACTATTGAAAAGTCAAAAAGTCGCTACCTTGTCTTCGGCCGATCTTCGCGAAAATATTGCCCTTAGCAGGCTCCCATATCTCTTCCTTGCGATTTTCGCTGTCTTCGAAAATGAATTCCCACGAAAGAGATGTTTTGCTGGCAGCATTTCTATATGAAGGTTTCTACTCTCATATCATTTTCCTGTTCGGAATTTTCCTCGTATTCATCTTCGTTCGCCGTTCCTAACCTGGAATTGAAGTCTCCAGCAACGAACTTGCAGTATGACTTCTTGTTGCAAAATAAATCCTTGAGCTGGTTGCAGGACACGTCCAGTTGCCTTTGTTCAGCAGTGCAAGTTCGTGGGTATCAGTTGATGATATCGACTTTATTTTGACATGAAAGTTGCAGGGGAAGAATGGCCTGGCACGGTGATTAGTCGAGAAATAGATGGATGTACGACAAAGCGAACGCCTCCAACATTTCATAACGAAAATTTCTTTTCACAAATGACGTGGATTCCGTTATCTAATTAGCCTATGTCAGTTCTCCTGCTTTTCATTCCTTTAGGGCAACAACATGCAATTTAATCCTACCAGCAGACACAAGATTTGCACATCTCTCACCGGTTGTCTCAAAGGATTTGGTCGTTTATCGAATCTGTTAGGGCGCTAGCCAGTGGGGTTTCCTGGAGTTTCGAGGTCAGCTTAACGGAAGCTTTCCTCAAGTTGCCAAAACCCTAGGCAGTCGCTGGCCTTTGTAGATCAAATGGAGATTGGCCACCACGAGACTAGTTTGATACCAGCACGGTGGTGATTCCTGATACAACTTCATTCCTGGTTTGGCTTCCGGAAGGGAAACGTCGGGCTCCCTCTTAGCTTAGAAGAGTTCTGGGAGGTGGGGATGATTTTCCCCTTTACATCGCAGACCAACACTCAGGAACGCCTCCAGGTAAAATAAGACGATAAACCTTCAGGATGGGAATACGAATAGAGTTGAGTGTTTATGTTTGAAGCACTATTCGTTCGACGAATTTGCAACACTCCGGATCGCAGTTGTTTGCAGCGCGGATCAAACCTCGTTATAACCTCTTCCATGAGTTAACGTACTCACCACCACACCATGCGTGTCCTTCGCTTCGCTTTTCTCTCGGCCGTGTTTTATAGGCGGTATCAGCAACTGTTCTAAGCGTTTATTATGGTGCTCATAAGGGTTCGATTATACTAAAAAACCATTTCAGGGTAAAAATCAAGCCATCATGCAATTTGATACTTTGTAAGTACCCACATGACAAGCAGACATGCGACTTGCTGATCAAATCGTGTGCGTGAGAAGTTCATTACAAAGTTTCTTCTCTTCCTTAGTCAAAACACGAAATTCCGAAACTGAAAGGGGTTTAGATTTCTTGATTATTAGTTCGAGGTAATCTGAACATGAAAAATCGTTTTCTACAGGGCTTGTATTTTCTACTAATAATGGCCCATATTGCAACTTTGGGTGAGTTCGGATGTTCAAGTGCTTCAAGAATAAGTGAAGCGTTTCAGTCGCTTATCCTGTGGAAACTGTAAGATTCGAATGGTTCACCAGGCGGGTTGACGCCATCGACAAGAACCCTGATGTTAAACTTCCAGAGCTGTACATTGATCGCTATGAGCCAACGGTGTGCACGAAGGCCAGAAAGTCTGGTGAGATAACGTCAAATCTTAGTGGTTCATCTGAATGCAAATGATTTAACTATATTTAAAGACGCCCCTAAAACCCGAACTTCACCATAAATAGTTCATACCATATAGATTGTTGAGCGGGCATGAGGTTGTAAAATATTTATTCCATCGATGCTCCACTTCTTTGGATTCGACTCGGTACGGACGACGAACGAACCTTTCGCGAAGACGACCGCCTATAGATTATCGACTCGGGTAAATTCAGATTTTATGAAAACGAAGACGACGAAACGGCCGAACAAATATTTTATACCAACCTCATGTCAATTCAATAATTCGCGATATATTTAAAGAGTATATTTACAGAGATAGAAGTTCGACGCGCACTTTTTGTTGGACTGCTTTCTATCTTCCTAATCCCCACTTGCTAAGGGCGCGCGTAGCGTAACGGACAGAAGCACCCTGCAAAACACATGGGATCGATCTCCGTTCCCCAAGCTCACAAAGTCTTCCATTCCTTCAGGGTTGGGAAATTGGTACCGAACTTGCTTGGAATGATGGCAGCACTGGTTCGATATATCTGTAGGCCACCGTGAGTTATTGTGAAGGCCAGATATGCATCCAATTACCTCCAAACAATGCTTAATGACGTCGATTGCACGAAACATCCCTCAGGAATAGAACAAAATCTAGAGCTTTATCCTTTATCCTTTTATGCCTAGACCTTCTTCATTTGATCATCGTCGAAGTAACCAGTAGCGAACCCATGTGAAGCTCTCGTAGGTGGGAGGTAGTGTGTGAAACATGAACCAAGAGCAGTGAGGAGTTGCTTTGAAACTGGATAGATCGAGGGAACGGGCGTCAATCTCGGCTACTCCAGATTGATATATTCAAGCCGACGTAATCGAATGCCTACATATGTGCAAGATAGTTGCACGTACACAAATGGAACCAAGCATTTCAATTTGCTCAAAATCCTGTAATCAACTAACTGAGATGAAATAAAAGCCCCAAACTTCGCCATAACCGGACAATCCACTTTGGAGCATATCCAATCTCACGGCAGAGGTTAGCAACGTACCATGCATTCTATGGTTCAGAACGGTAAAAATGAAATCGAATAGTTCATACGGAAGTTTTGATCGTCTTTGTGTCGCTTATGGGAGGTTGGGCCACTGAAGCTTTTGTGCAATGGACAACTTGTGGACGTTTTTTTCTACTCTCTTCTTGATATGGAAATAGGTAGGGGTTTATTCACTATCTACAATATATCACTGAACCTTGGAACCCCTTCGATCCAAATTTTCCTTTTTCTACCAAATGGCATGTACGAAACGCTCTGTACATAATGCTTTACCTTCTATTTTCTGCCCACTACAATTTTCACGGCCAGGTACTGTCATTGGTGGGGAACGAACGCGCTATTGTCCTTACCGGTGTGTTCAATCCCCCAGCAGACACCTACGATCTAGAGTTTTGCAAATATCTCAACAACGTTGTGGTTGTATTTCGCTTTATACATAATTAATCTCAGAACACAACAACTTTCATGAACAAACATTGTTTTGATTTCTCTGTAAAGCCGGGTAAGTCGAGAGCGGACCAGTAAACGAAGAGCATGAAGTGCGGTGGCTAGAGGTGTACTACAACACACACCGAACTTGTTCCTGGTTTTATCACGCCTCCTACGCTCACTAAGCCTTCAATCTCTTCGCGGTCGAGAAGTTGGTACCATGTTTGTCAGACTTGGGAGTAGGGCAGCACGGGCTTGATACATCGATAGGCCACCGTAGTTCCCTATATAGTCAGGATATCCATTCAATTGTCATTAACGATGTTTGTTCAAGGTGAATACAAGAAGCATCCTTCAGGACTTGATCAACGTGGTGTTTATCTCATTAAGGCAAGATGTACATTCGTCCTTATTACCCTCCTATTCTACTCAGTTGGCTCCGCTCGTTTATTTATTTCCAAGAGCATTATATCTTTAATATAATGCTCGCTATTTACAGACCTCGGCGGGAATATGACTACGGATATCACTGCGAGATTCGTGCCGGGATAGCTTAACTCTTAGCCGGAGTTCTGAATGGAAATATCGATCTTCTTAGCTTTCATGACCTTGTTTGGAAGATTACCCCGGCTATGCATTGCAGTTCCACACCCAAGAATACAGTACTACCAAGACGTGTCTGTAAAGTATTTAAGAATCTATATCTATTTCTAAATACAATCACAGCGTTGCTGAGATATTTGCAAAACTCTGGACCGCAGGTGTCTATGGTGGGGAACGAACGCGCTATTATCCTTTCCGGAGAGTAACGCGTTCACCACCACACCATGCGGGTCCTTCGTTTCGCCTGTCTCTCAGCTATTTCTATCGATCTTTTTGCCACAGCAATCACCCGTCAGCGGGGTTGATCTGGAGAGCGCAAATCGGTATAGAATCCAGTTAAGCTATGGCTGTAGTTGAAATCACAATGTTTAACGTTTTGTTTTCTCCCTTCTATAATTTTCGTGAAAATTATAGAAGGCAGAAAGGGTGTCGAACGAATGGAGTGTTGGGATCCACTCGGTGCTTCATCTCTCTGCGTCCCCATTCAAACTGTTAATTAGATCTTCGTAAGGGCATGCAACTGCGAAAAACCTGTTTTGGAAGTCAATAATTCGTCGAATTTGCTAGTTTTACAGCGTTTCAATTCACTTTTTTCTACCCTTGCTTTTTTCACTAATCTAATTTGATTTCAGGAGCGTTTTCATGCCTTCGAGCTGTATTTAGGCTGAAGAGAGACGTCGGATTTCACATCGCTCAGACCTACATCCCGACTTCTCTTGCCCTGATGTTCTCTTGGGTGCGTATCATTGTATGTACACAGAAATTCCACTAAATGGACAAATTAACAGGATTGGCCAGTAGATGGTGCTTGTCCTTAACTGTAAGCGTATAACTCAATGGTTAAAGGTACTCTCCTGATCCCAAGCACCTCATCAAGCCATCCTTCCGGGGACGGACAACTAGCATCAAACTTGTCTGGGAGTATAAAACCACTTGATCTACATCAACATTCCCCAACGTAGAGGGCGAATGTGCATTCACACATCCGTACGATTCTTAACACATAATGGACGCGCTGGGTTTAGCGTGGCTCTCCGAATGGAATACGAGCCATTTTTATCGGGTGCAGATCATCTGGCTTTTGTGACAATGAAAGCTATTTTCTCACTAAGCACAAGGCTTCAGGGTCGTGAACATGAAAGAATTGTAGAAGAGACTTTACTCAATCGACCTACGACTACTGATAATGTGTGTATGTTGCTAATTACTACGCGTTACTATGGTCTATTGTGTAAAAAAATTACTTTAACAAAAAAATTACTTTAAATTACTTTACTTTAAAATTACTTTAAAAAATTACTCAGCATCTTTGAACCCTATGATGAGTCTATTTCGGTGTTTTTCATATGTTCCAATTCGATGTAGTGACCGTAGTCATTAAAATGAAATAGCGCTTAATTGTTAGTCAAATTACTAGTCAATGACCTTTCTCGAAAAAGGTTCTTCGCAAATCATTAAGGGCATAGTGTGGACTTTCCGCCCTAATGAGTCCTATTTTGATTTGCTTTCGATTAGCTACCGAATGAATATACACAGCTTGGCAAAAAACTGGAACCCATTGAACCGAAAATGGACACCATTGTGGCACACAGGGCGATGTGGGTTAATGAAGTCCGATGTATGGCGCATTCCTATGGGAGACAAACCACTCTTCAATTTTGAAAGAGCACAGCTCTGCTCATAGCATACTTATTTTTGGAATGTAACGTTTCTTGCCAACAAGAAAGGAGTTCTCGTTGTCACAAAATTAAATTCTTTTCCAAAGAACCTAATTTTGATGCCCTTAGTTCCAGACAAAGTTTAGTTTGAAAATAACACTTTAGAAAAGGTTCAGGTATGCCATGTAAGTAGTAGTTGGTCTTATAAGTCTGTCAAATAACCAAATACGAAACTGCTTTAGCAGTTCAAAAATGTCGTGGTTCGCTGATAAACCAGTTTCCTCCATGGTGTTTTAAGATATAAAAACGAATTTTGACCAATGAATGCTTTTTCTTTTCATTTCGAATTACTATGTTGGATCATGGTCATCTTATGAAGTGGGTCTACATAGGAACTACTGACATATAATGTTTAACTTTTATCTACTACCTTGTTTTTTTCTATTATGGCAGGATATTACGTGAAACACAACCACAAGGATGCTGAGACGTTAGCAAAACTCAGAATCACAGGTGAACTTTGAACACGCTATTACTCTGTACGGAGCTCACATACTGTTCAACATACCAGCCAGGGGCCTTGCTTTGCGTTTCTCTAGGACATGTTTAACTCTGCCGGTGTTGTCAGCAATCACCCGTGAACGTGAATAATTTGATGAGCACAAATTGGCATATCGAGATAAAGTTGTGGAATAAGCTACAAAGTGCTATCAGCAGGCTGCGGGTGTTTCATTGGTAGTGACAACGTTCATCATGAGGGCAGTGCTGGTTTTCTCCAGCCTCAGACCCACCAAGCCTCTCATCCTTCCGTGGTCAGAGAAATGGTACCATAGTTCGAAAGACCAACTTTATAGAAGTCTCGGCATAATTAATCGAAATATTTATTTATGTGTTCTTGTGAATAAATAAGCCAAAAATTTCCGAAGAACTTACTAGATGTTATAAGCGTTACCTCTAAGAAATTAGTAGAGGATTGTGGTAATACAACTTCATAATTGTTTCTAAATAAAAACAATATGAAATTACTTTGATGAACACGTACTACATGAACACCAAATAGAACTGAATAAGTCTCTTCAACGATTTGTCATTTCATTAGGAAAACCTGTCCGTAAGTGTCGAATGTCTGTGTGTGTTCAAACACAGGTCTTCCTGCGCTCTCTTTAAAGGCAGCAATCTCTGTAGCCTCTGAAGAAATATCCCCTCACCAACAGTAATTTCTGACCGCGAAATAAACTCGTCCGAGAGATTTTTTGCGTACTATTAAGTCTAAAGAATAGCTCTTCATAGGTCATTCGTGAAACAACAGCCGTGAAAGGTAAGCCGTCGACTGAATACAAAAGGCGAGGCGAAAAACTCTGTCTGACAAAATAAACCAGTGGAAAATAAATGCATTACATTCAAAGCACTGCCTCAACTTGCTTTTTCGTAGCCAGTCATTTCCGACCAGTGCTTCTTGGGCGTTCTGTTTTACTAATTAATGTGTAATAAAACATCCCACGTTTTCTCAAAAGCTTAGCAGTCTTTATATGTGGATGCACATCAAAAATTGGTTAAGGATACCATAGACGCGGTTTTCAACACTTTAACCTTAAAATAAATACCTAAAAGGAAAACTTTTGGGATGGTTTCATGAACCTTGAGCCATCCGTCCTATTAGGGTACCAATTTTTGCAATCGCAGTGTTGCTTTGTATTCCCAGACAAATAATCTTCTGTGAAATCTAGTTCACGCAAATCAAAACTGTGAACAAACTACAAGAAAGTGTTCCTCATGTCGCGATGCGATTATAGGTCGGCGTGTGGCTTCCAGAAGAATTCATGGAAGGTCGGATCGGAGTTGCCATTACCGTACTACTCACACTGTCTACAGAATCAGCAGGTGCACGAGAACATCTGCCGAGCGTATCCTATTTAAAGGTGTGTTTGGTTTAACTTTGATCTGAAAAATTTCAGAAGGAAACACTTCTATGGATATGAAGTGAGCACTGCATGTCACCATATGGATTGTACGACGACCAATTGAGTAGCTTGCAAAATTTTTACTGACTGCGCTGATAAATGATTTTGAGGGAATTTTCCCCCATTCGGGACTAACAAAGTTTTTGGGCCTAATGATGTGTTTCAAATTAATCTCGGGAGTAACTGAACACATGTTGAAGAGCGTCTGATTTCGGAGGGGTTTTGGACAATACCTTGATACCTCCTTGATTGCATTCACTTCAGATGGATGGAACGAAGTATCGTGCAAAAGTGTTTGCTTCACTTCTTTCCGAATGAGTTGTCTTTTTCAGGCTATCGATCTTTGGTTTGGTTTCATCACAGGTTTCGTATTCTTCACTTTATTGCAAACGTTATTTGTAATTGGATTCGACAAAAGAGCCAATCAACTGGTAAATTAACCTTACACATTTCTATAATTAGGCAGCACATATTGGCTAAGAAATCCGTCAACACTTTCGTACCGATACAGATCTTAAAACATAGTAAAATGTAAGCCTAATCCCTATTTACAGAAACAAATTCCAGAAAAAGTGGGCGATGAAACGAAAATCGGACATAACAGAAGAGGTTCGGGAAATGATGTTGCTGAAAGGGGACCGCTATCATAAAGCCGGCCGGTATGGTCGTTACATTTTCCGATCAGTAAATCCATTTAAGACTCAACGTTTTGCAGATATTTGGACAATTTCTGTCGAGTATTTTATCCGTTGAGCTTCGTTCTCTTCCTTATAATGTATTATTTCGTATTCACGGAAGGTCGACAGGACGAGTGCATCAATCGACGATAGTGATGATCGCGTTCTTTATTGTTACTTAGCAATTAGCTTTTATATTAAGGAAAATGCACTTCTATTGAAATAAAGTTGTTGACTTAAGAGTCTTTGATTGGTTGTTTCTGTTTATTTCGGGCTTACTAGCATGAAGAATACAAATTCCAACTTTTCTTTTGCAACAGTGCTGACCTCGTTACTTTGTGTAGTTAGAAGATAGATAGAACTCTCGGCGTTGATCAATCCATGAAGGATGTGCCATGCACTCGACTTTATTAAGCATCGTTTGGAAGTGATTAAATGCTTATTTGGCCTTTACAATGGCCCGCGGTGGCCTACCGATCTGTCGAGCCAGTGCTGCTATCCTCCCATACAAGTCTGGTACCAATTTGCCGACCCCGAAGGGATAGAAGACTTGGTGGACCATGGACGCGGGAATCGATTCCACGTGTGTGTTGAAAGGCACCTCCGACCACTGAGCAACACGCGCCTTTAATGCTTTGCGTAGTCGAAGAAAGTAGATCTATTGATAATACAACACCTTTCTGTTCCTAACACCATGGAAAGCCGTTACGATATTAATATAACAGTGTTTTCTTAATATATTCCATTTATTATCTGTACTTCTTCTTCCCTTCGAATGTTTCTCGTCCATTTATTCTTAAAGTCGTTCAAAAATATGACAGCGGAAAACATCGCACACAAAAAACAACACTATATTTCAAATTTCTTACCACTGAGGAATGTTTTGAGATTGTACACGCATAATTAAAAACCGTCGTTTTTTCTTTCGAGTCCCTTCTCTATCGTTTACCATATCCAGGAGCACCTGCCGCAGCTGAGTTGCCTTCATAGTTTTCATAGATTTCCGTTTGGATTCTTGGTTGCGAACCAGGATTTACGAGTAAGATCGAGTCCACATTCTGACACACACAGACTCCCGGCTCTCCTGGTGGCCCTTGTCCTCCCATCGGACCTTCTGGTCCTGGATAACCGGCCTCTCCCGGCTCACCAGGAATTCCTGGCCAACCTCTCTCTCCCTGAGGTCCTGTCAAGCCATTTCTACCAGGTAGTCCAGGCATTCCGCTTGCTCCCATTGGTCCAGGTGCCCCTTCATCTCCCGGTGGTCCTTCTCTCAGTTCTCCTTCAGGTGTTGGGCCTTTTTCTCCAGGAGCTCCAGGTCCTCCCTTATATCCCGCTGGACCCGGCGGTCCAGGCTCTCCAGGAGCTCCATCTTCACCATCGAGACCTTTCTGTAAAGACGTATTTCCGCAAGAAAGAAGGCTGGCATTATGTATTGGTACAAACTATCAATTTTATCAAAAGCAAAGTTCCGTTTCGTCGCATTGCGCGATAAAAAGAATCAATATTGAACTAGCTCTGAATTTATTGTGGTGTTGATTGATATTGTTATTCACGGTTTTCGCATGGCCATTATAGCGGTATATATATATATATATTACAAATAATGAGAAGCATTACAACCTCTCCAGGTGGGCCTGGAGGCCCAACGTCGCCTGGGAATCCGGGCCAACCCTTGATTCCAGGTGGTCCTTTTGGACATGGTCGACATGGCGGTGGTTCGCGGTTGATATTCATCGGGCAAGTTTGATTTGGAGTTGTTCCCGGTATTCCGGGCTTCCCAGCTTGTCCAGGTGTACCTGGCTTCCCGGGAGCTCCTGACGGACCACGAGGTCCAGGCGGACCAGGTATGCAGCATCCTAAAAATAGTTCTCAGGTTTTCATCAACGGGTCAGTGCTATCGCTCGAACTCACCAGGACATTCTGTTTCGAGCGGCATACCAGTAACCTCCTCACCGTACGACTTTGGCTGATATGAGTCGAAGGGAGAGCGGCGAGTTCTGTTGTTGCTCATTTTTCCATATTCAAGTTCCATTAAAGCCTCTTTATTCGAACGCTACAGGTTACAACTTTTCTGGTGTAAATGTAGAAGAAATGAAAATGTAGCACTGTAAAATAACCTCACAAAAGGCCATTTCTTGCTCGACATAGCTGATCGTTGTTTGAACATTGTTATACATTAAAGGCAGTGTGAGGCAAAGTATACAGACGGAAAGAACACTGAAGTAATCATCTTAAGGTAAAACGCCTTGACTTCTCTTTATCACACGCATGCTGGATCAACCATATCAAGTGTTGCACAACCTCTTTCTATCCAATACACCTCATTTCATTGACTTTTTTAAAGCCTCGTTCAGGTCTCAATAAAAAAGAGGTTGAAACATTCTCGCCTATTCGATTACCAGGGGATTATCTTCTATGAACAAATCTTTCATCGCACAAGCTTGAAGATAACATGTGGAGGAATAGTGACTGCTTGAGGGGATAATCATATCCAAATCTTAACCCATGCGCTGTGATGCGTGTCTTTCCACAACTCGATAATTTTTCGATAGCTATTCTAGGTGGGGATTGGAGGACTTGAAAAACTTGGAGAAGAGACTTCCACGATGTTCTAGCTCCTCCCTCTACAAGAGAAATGTGTTCGAGTGTGAAACTACGAGGTACATTGTGAGCTGTATCAATCTCAGTAACGTCTCCCAGTCTGAGAAAAAGTTCGAGATTCTCAAAAGCCTATACGGAATTAAACGAACGCCAGTGATTATCACCGTTTTGGTACCGACCTAGTTCCAAAGTGGCAAAACTCCAATCCAGAAGAGCGGGCAACTGTATATGGTGACGACTTGGGAAGTTCCAGCATGGTCGTCTCGTTATACCAGGGACGAAAATTTTTCCCAAACTATTAGCTGGAATCCTTCCCTTTTAAATAAAGACCATTCAAGCCAAATTCAACTCAAACATTCAAGTGTAGAATCACCTTCGCTGTATGGTTCTAAAGGTATTTCTAATTTTTTTAAATTATAAAACATCCTTCTTGGCTGAAAACTTTAGAGCCAGTAGTAAAAATATTTCTATAAAGATATTTCTAGGATTTTTCCCAAGTTCAAATTCTTTTTTAATTTTTTTTAAGTGCGATAGAACTCAACATTAGTGACCATCGCTCGTGCCAGACGAAACCCTGCTCACTCAACATATGAACGACCCTCAACGAAAAAAAGCACCAAACAGAATTTACTGGCTTCGGAAACCTAGGACTTCACCGCGAAGAAATAAATAAAAAGGCGCTTGTTGGAAAGCATCTGTAAACTCCAACTTCAATTAGCAAAGTTCACTGTGAGCCGAGAAATGTTTCTTGAAATTTGATGGGCTAAAATTATTTCCGATCAGCAGTGAGCTATGAACGGCTCATATTATCGCCAATGTGTTAAAAGCCTCTCTAATCGACATTTTAAATGGGTAGCCTGCCAAAAGCTTAAAGCAGATGAATCTGAAAATTAACTGAAGAAGAATGGAAAAGTAGTTGTCTCCGTGTCCAAAAAAAGCCGACTAACCAAGAATTGATTTTGTGAAAAACATTAAAAGTAGTTCTTCAAAGAGTGAAAAAGTAAGTTTACCTAAAGGCAATCTGCAGAGCGGTAACGAACTGGTACATCCTCTTCCTCGAATTCGTCGTTGTCAGCGAAAACGGCGGACAACTGAAATCGTTAATGTGGAGAAAGTTGGACGAGTTTTGTCCTCGTCAGTTAATTCAAATTTATATAAAAAATTACACCCTTATTTGCTCAATGTTGTCTTCCATAGTTCATACAAGCCGGCAAAAAACGTCGACATTATTATTATTATTATTATTATTATTATTATCATTACTAATACTAATATTACTATTGTTATTATTACTATTATTATTATTAATATTATTAATATTAATATTATTATTATTATTATTATTATTACTGGCAATTACTTCTGATTGTTGATTATTATTACTGCTATTAGTGCTGCTGCAACCGTTATTATTATTGTTAGTGTAATTACTTTCCATTAATACTTTAATAAAAAGCAATCACATTGTGATTTCAGCTACAGCCTCAGCTTAACTGTTGGGTTCAATTCCGATTAGCGCACCCCTGATCAATCCTGTTGACGAGTGACTGCTGCTAGCACCAATAAATAACGGCTGAGAAAGGCGAAACGAAGGACCCTCATGGTGTGGTGGTGAAAGCATCAGTCCCCAGAAAAGGTAGCAGCGTGTTTGGTCACCACCGCAGCCACCTACAGTCTGAAGTTTTGCAAATATCTCAGCATCACTGTGGTTATAATTATTGTTAACATTTCTATTATTATTATAGCTGTTGTTGTTATTGTTATCGTTATTATCATTCCCCCAGCGGTTTACCACCTCATCGTGGCTGGGAGGTGTTCCTGAGTGTCGGGCTGCGATATACAGCGGGCGGATTCACCCACTGCAGGGTCTCCCCAAGCTGAGAAGGACTCCGGCGTTTCCATCAAGAACCCTAGCTAAAAGTAAACTAATACAATGATCCACTACCGTTTTAGTACCAAACTTGTCGCACGGTGAGAAATCTCCTTCTGATTCACAAGGACGGCGGCTGCCTGTTGCTGCGACGACCTGGAGCAGGTTTTGGTCTGGCTGACTTCGAGACTCGAGGTAACCATAACGACTAGGCAAACAAAGCTCCAAAAAAATGGAGATTATGCTGGTGCCCATGCAACCACTGAGAACGGGTCATCTAAGTATCTAAGTAAGTAAGTATCATCATTAGCTTTTATTTCTAGTACAATCTCATATGACTTTACAGTGCTGCTGCTTTTAATGCCACGATTACTAGTTCTGAGTTACTATAACTATTATCATTTTTCTATTTCACATACCTGCCGTTGCCTGCCTTTTTCATTGCTCTTCGAGGTCCACCAGATTGATTTCACTGGCTCCCTTTCAGTCGTCTTTGAAAAGCCGTCAAAGCTGTATGAGGCCTTAAAAAATTAACAGTTTACTTCAACTTGCTTTAAAAATTCTTTCATAGATTGCTGATAATCAAATGAGTGAGACTTTCTAACCCTACGCCTACAAGGTCGGAAGTTCGATTTCTTATTTAGCGCACGACGAAGCAAATCACGAAGTCGAGAAGAGATCGAGATTCTATTTTTTGCCTTTTCTTTAATGGTACTGAAAAAAGCTTTTTCGACAAAAGTTTTTATTTTATAATTGCATAAATCTAATATTAAACTGACTTTCCGTTCAAATCTCTGCTCTTCCGGTGTTCCAGCTGTTTCTGCTTGACTTGCTTAACCGTTTTTCTCTGATTCTCTACGAAACTTTCTTCGCAACCCTCTGCCTGTAAAGTCAAAAGTAACAAAACTTGCTATGTTCGTTTTGTGTGGTTTGTACCTGCGAGATGTTCTTTAATGGAAATAATAGGAGCTTTAGTTAAATGCCAAATTCACAAAAACAACGCAACTATTTTGATTGAAAACCCTATGGTTCGCTTCTGAAGTCGCACGATTGAAAACTATCGGCATTAAAAACGGATAAAATAAAAGAAGTAAACGGATTGGACGGTGATTAGAAATATACGTACCTGTTCGACGACGGGCGGGGTCATAAGGGGTTCGACCTAATTGTCAGCGATCGTTTATCTGAAATGAATCCGAACTCGCGTATGGGAACGTATTAAGGGACCGTTCTCACCTACACCTTCGCCCCTCAACTTAACGACACTTTACGTATTACCCGTAGCGTGTTCACTGCAGGAAGAGTGAATGGTTCATTTCAAATGAACTATAAGCGACTAGGTTTCTGGTATAAAACAAGTTTTCAAAATATTCGCAAATGGAGCAAGTTGTAAATGGCAACAATGGTCCTTCTCTGCCAGGTGAAAATCCTGAATTGATAAAACTAGTGACTAGTGAGAATAGTGAAGCTATGAATAGACGAGAAGCTTATCGGTAACGAACTCGCATCAAGCCCATAGAAATGAGGTCACACATCGCATCGCTTGTTGTTTGCTAATCTATTTGCTTCTATGATATTTTAACTTCAGTTGATTAATGAAGTCCTATTATCTTTTGTCTTCAAAGCACAGAAACGACTACTCTAGATTTTGTCTCAAGTCCTTCGTTGTTTTACTACCTCATGTGAAAGAGAAAGAAAGAGAGAAGAGTGTGAGAAAGAAGTAGGTAGCGCTTATGAGTGCCAGATCATACCCACCAACTATAACTACTCCACTATTATCACTTTTTCCGTGAAGACGTCTTACTAAGTGGAGAAAACGAATGCTGACCACCACTGAAACGAGTTTTCGTTGTATACCTGTTAATTTTGGTTTCCAAAGTGACATGGACTCGTTGAATTTGCAAAGACTATGATTGGTAATGACAAAGAACTGGGAATGATTCTGTTTATCTCACTCAGTTACCCAAAAGACCTAGTAACACACACGACAATTCGGAAGAAAGCTTCAAAGTTGCTTGAATATATTGCTGCACAATATCCCTTTATCTGTAGTTTTCCTGCCTAAACTGGCGCTTTCCTAAAATGCTAAGGTAGCTATGCCCTTTCAGCTTTCGTCCGGACTTATCGCAAGGTGTAAACAGTAGTGTAAACAATTCAATATTCCTACAGAAGCTTCAACACAAGGTACGAAATATTCCGTCATTCCCAATTCGCGCTTTCCATGTGGAAGAGTTTTGACGCGGCTACATCGAAAGCTCGTTGAAAAAGATAGCAGCTGACGTAAAAAAATTCTGGGTGATTAAGGAGTGGAATGTACCGAATCTTACACAACAGTTTACTGATTGGGACGACAAAGGGTACGATAGGCATAAAATGCTGGTAGAGACTCTTGATAGGGAGGGAGAGAGAGATATTCTTAGTGAAGTTTTCGCCGACAATCTCTCAGAAATTTGACATGGAATTTATCATCAAGCGCGGCGTCAGCTTCTTTGCTGATCTTAACGGAGGAAATTTAATAAAAACTTGAAGAAATGTTGCGAAAACATCGAGTATCAAGAAAACGTTAACTGTAAGTGCTGTGGGAATAAGTTACCGTTCGAAATCTTTCCAAGAAATCGTCTATCGCTTTTCCATGTGTGATTGTGAAATAAGGTTCCTGACTGAGGGTGTTTGTGCTTCGATTGGAGCTATCACACTGAGATATAAGGATGAATTAAGGAATAGGTGAACAACTAGTTAAGCAACGTTGATATCGATCATCAACAAACAAGTGGTTAGCAAGTGTGAGTACAGTCGCGTATTATATCTCCGAGGATGTCGGATATTATACATAGACCGCCCTTGACCGTCCTCTCACACATGTGAGACCGATAAATGGTGCCGAATCCGAGTCGACAACCGCAACAACAGCAATCAAATGCTGCCATACGATAATCACAGGCCGCTAATCCTAAAGGATGAATTCCCTTGTGACCTCTCTTCATCAATACAGTTTACTAGCTATAAAAGAGATGAGAACGTGGGTAGCGCAGTGGTTATGGGAGCACTGCGACACACATGTTGGTCACTGGTTCGATCTCGCACTCCAGATTCACCAAGCCTTCCATCCACCAGAGGTCGTCAAATTGGTACCATACTTGTCCGAGAGGTTAACAGCAACTCGATACATCGGTAAACCGCGGTAGGTTATTGTGCAGGCGATATGTGCCTTCGATCATCTTTAGCGATGCTACATGAAGTCGAATACATGGCGCATTCGTCAAAGAACGAGCACCGAAACTTTATCCTTCAATTGTGGCCTTGATATTAAAGATCCTTTACCCTCTAAAATAAGGATGACAACAAGCTGACCTATAGTTAAGGTCATCCTAAAGTTGATCACATAGATCTTATTAGAAACCTGGTATTTGTTCTAATCGAATTAATGCAAATACAAACCTGAATTGCTCGTCGCGGACTATTCAAAACGTGTAACTGAGTAAAGGCGTCTCGAAGTATAAGCATCGCTCTTTCTAAGACTCTTTATTTATTAACCGCTCGGTATCACTATCCTCCCAACGGTTTAGCGCCTCATCAGGGCTGGGAGGTGCTCCTGGGCTTCGGGCTGCGACGTAGAGATGGTCGGGAATCATCCCCCAGAAAAGTCTCCCAAGTTGAAAAGGAGTCCGGCGTTCCCACCAGTAAGCCAAGCTAAGAGTAAACAATACCAGGATTCACCACCGTCCTGGTATCGAGCTAGTCACATGGTGGCACAGCTTCCTCTAAACCCCTAGGGCGGCGGTGATCTGTGTTGGTGATGACCTGGGGCAGACTTCGGCTAGGTTGATCTCGGGACTCCAGAGAAACACAACAAAGCACAACGGCCAAACTAGCAAATCTCCGAAAAAGTGGAGCTCATGTTGGGGCCTGCTCAATCAGTGAGGACGGGCTATCCAAGTATCCAAGTATTAGGCTGGAAGATAAAGTTATTCCATAAAGTTATAAAAGGATGGAAGATAAAGTCACTCGTGTTCCTTTAAAATTCTTTAACTCCTGGCAGCAGGTATTTTGAATAAGATGTGTTTATTTATTCTTCATACATTCACCGGCAGAATGAGAATTTCAGTTGGTGGGCAAAACTTGTTGAAAACACAACACATTGTCATAGTCCATGTTCACAAAGACTACTCTTCTATCAACACAGTTCAAACTGATGATCAATCACTGATGAGAATCGTTTCGGATTTTATAAAATTTGGGTCATCTATCACACGACGTCCAGCCCCTATAGTCACAATGTCACATTTGAATTCGCTGTTCCCCATGACCTATTTTTCGAAAACTTTTCAAGAAAACATCAGGTCAGGTGATAGTTTCGATGTGGCGCAGTTACGAAATAGAACGGTGTGCTTGCTAGATCGCTGCAATCATTTACTAACGAATTATTACCACTTTATAAAAAAACAATAGTTATTCAGTGGAGGTTAACAAGAACACCTACAATGCACTGGAAAGATATAGCAACTTCGAGCATAGACAAAAAACACTAGAAGAAGGGAATGCACAGAACATATACAACGCTGACCCTGTGTTTGGCACAGAATCGCTCAACATGAGGTGGATACAATGAAGGATTTCAACAACAGGGGCGACGGAAGCACGTAACAAGCTGATACAGAAATGATATTAGCAATGAAGATCGTCGGAACGACGAACTACTCCCGATGAAGATGTCGACGTGCTAGAGCCTTCCGAAGAAGCTTTTTGTTGTAATAGCCACCATTTTCGTTCGTTGAGTAGGACTCTTGTACGACTTCGTTTTCGGCCAAGGGAGTGCTGAAGAACAACTGCTCTTTCAGACCCCTTTTCAACTACTACAGTGATTTAGCTCTTTGAGCATTTCTATGGTTAAAACAGCATTAAAATAGCCTTCCAGAATATCCTATATTACAACATACCCTCCCAGTATATTCAATAGGTAAGTCAATAATGTTGATCGAAATTATGGCTCGTAGTAAATATTCTAACCATCCTGCCCCATATACTTCAAACAAACACAAAACAATCAAATAAATATGCCAAAATGTTATTCACTGGACTCTCATGGTACTTACGCTTGTTGTTTGTCGATTTCGCGATATTCTTCTGCTGGTACTGGTGATATTTGAGAACCAATGTCTAAACCTTCTCGAGGGGCGGGTATTTTACCGATTACATCTGCCATTACAATTTCAGTATCCTGGCAGATACATGTGCCAGGAGTTCCTAAACGTTTCATTATCCTTGAAAAAAGGTCCTTACATAATGAAAACTAAAAATAACTAGCCATTGTAGAAATATACACTTAAACGTCACATACCAGCTGGTCCTTCTTCACCACTAGGTCCACTCGGTCCCGGAAGTCCCATCGGTCCAGGTGCACCTGGCGGACCTGGCCATCCTTTTTCGCCCGGTGTCCCAGGATAACCATCTTCTCCAGGCATTCCTGGATTGCCAGGTGGGCCCCACGGGCCTGGTGGTCCAGGATCACCCGGTGGCCCTGGGATAACGTGTACCTCCGGCGTTCTACCCTAAGTTAGTTTTTTCAATATATTGATTTACACAGGAATAATCATAGAAAAACCAGATACAACATAAGCTGACATGGTAACCAGCCACGAACAACTTTTTCCAAAGGAAACCTTTCCACGGTAGCCTGCCTTCCAAACAAAATAGAATATTGGTCATTGATCTCAATAGATTTTAGCTGTTACACTTCGAAGCATTGAAAAATAATTTAGCACGTTGTGGCAAGGAAAGAGAATGTGAAGGCGCATGTGAAACTGCGAATAATTTCTCAAAGAAAACTAAGGAGCTAGGGCTAAAAATTACCGCTGTCCCTCCCCCATGAAAATAGTAAGAAACTGGCTGAGAGAAAGGCAAACCAAGGGCTTTAGTTGTACAGTGGGCAACATAACCCGGAAAGAATTATCGCAGGTCCAAATCTGATCTGGGTTGTGAGTTTTGCAAATATCTCAGCATCATTGTGGTTATGTTGCCACATTCATCTTTCATTTGAGATTGGCACTCAGACTACGAATTTACTAAACACATACCTTATCACCAGGTGGTCCAACTAATCCAGGTGGTCCAGCAGGGCCAATCGGTCCAGGCTCTCCTGGCTTTCCCGGGAGTCCGTCAGCACCAGGTCGCCCGGGAATGCCCGGATCTCCATGATCTCCTGGAAAACCCGGATGTCCAGGAAGTCCGCGAGGTCCTTGCGGACATGGTAAACATGGTGGTGGCTCGAAAACCCGTTCAGGAATGCACGAAGCGTTTGGCGTAGTGCCCGGCCGCCCCGGTGCTCCATCAGGGCCAGGGGCTCCTGGAAGTGCAGGAAGGCCCGGATCACCGATTGGTCCTCGTTCTCCAGGAATGCAGCATGCTGAAGTGGTATAAAGTCACTTATAAAATAAAGTACTGTCGAACTTTTCAGATTTACCAAAGAGTTGCTAGATTAAAATGGAAGGAAAATTGTAAACATGAATCAAACACTGCAACACACTGAATGAAAAATATTTCGATAGACTGACCAGGGCACTCCTGGAACTGCGGAGAATTCGAGACCATCATGGTAGGATTATAAGCATGCCCGTATCCGGTCGCACGACTTGAACGATTACTAGGTAATAGCCGGAAACCTTCTCGGATTGATACCATCTCTTGTTCCATATCCGTAACGGCACTCTGGAAAATGAGCAATTACCGTCTCTCCAGTATTGCATCGTCCGTGCTTTCAGAACCTCGCAGTAGCCAAAGTCGAGCCTCCGAAAATTGCCTATATTGTCAACAAAGTTGTAAACAGACGGAACAACAAGACATATAGTCATTAGTGATAGTACTGACAGCGATCCTGATACCGCGATGATGAATTTGTATGCTTCCTCACGGGGCTGAAAATAATAGAATCTTCAGACACTTTGGGACTGACACTTTTATTTTTTTTTACTTTTAGACCCAATATAAATTTTACGCAGTTTCAAAAATGACTGAAGGGTTCCAACATAATGCATAGCAAACTAACGTTTTGGCAACAACAATATTATCCCACACGAAAGGAAATTTCATCCGAGTAAGGAATCAAATCGATTTTCATTCAAGCTTTCTCAATTTTACATGGAATTTTCAATGAAATAATGTGTTATTGAACAAACCTCTAACGAAAACTCTATGTGTGGGTTAGACCCACGTGGCGCCAAGCCAGTCATCGAAGAATTTAGCCTAGAATATGCGCATTAGAATTTCGCTTCTGACCGAGGAAGGGTTGATAGAAACAAAACAGTAGACTCACCTACTGTCTGAACCTCAAAATCAGCCTGATGTTTTTAAATCGATGAAAAAAAAGAATAGGAAGCGAATTCAAAGCAGGTCAAATCACACCTAAATTGAAGTTAGTGTATTGTAAAGCATGAGAGGGTAGAAGCTTCTTTCAAAGTGACATTAACGAAACCTAACGAGACGCTTTTAAGAAGAAGCAGTAACATGATATAAACGTTACGCTTTCTTCATCTACATTGAAATAAAGGAATACCAAGGACGAAATGGTGTTCAGGTGTGGTGCTATGAGGACATGAAAATTGAAATGAACACGGCAGTGGTTTTGGTTCCAAAACTCCAGTTCTCCGAAATCTGCTGAGAGTGCGTGGGTTTTAAATTGATCGAAAAGCAACTCTTTTATAGAAAATGCTCCATGATAATTAACAAATAGGCAAAGTATTTGGAGGATTAGAGAATTGAGAGAAAGTGATGACACGTTCTCGGAAGATGTGTGGGAACGACCAACGGTCGGTAACAGTCAACAGTAGGTCTCCGTCGGTCTTGACCTCAATACTCCACGTTCACGAAATCAGCAGAGATAACCACCCGAGAAGGTAGTAACATCCGTCTCATCTACACGGTGCTGATCTACTCATCCGCACTGCCAAGAATCAGAATTATTCGTCTTTCTGAAAGTAACTTTTACGGCTCAACAGCAACATTGTTTCGCCTTTCAAAGCGCTCAATAGCAGGAAACCATGCAGTTGGTTAGAACCGAAGTCAGGCAAGCGCAGTAGTAGGACAGTCAAGATAAAAGGAAAATAGATTTTCATTTTCTTCCTCGAACAAAATACAAGTATCCCAGAAGAATTAGGTCTTTTTTACCTTTTATGTGAAAAATTAGAAATAATGCCTTTGTACTTGGCTTTCTCTTAGGGTGCTCCAAGAATGCAATTTCATTGCACATCAAAGAGACTATAGAACGGATATTTGTAGTACAAAGTGTTATGCGGTACCTACTGGGGCGTTTCTTACTCGGTTTCAGTATTTCTTGCTCTTCCAGAGAAGCTGGCACGAAATCGCCAAACGGAAACAGGAAATTGGGCTGCTTAATTCCTCATCAGAGATGACTGTACAATAGTTTATTATCAATGGTCATTACCACTTAATTAAAGGCTTTACAGGCAATAATAAATAACAGAACAGTATTGGTCACAGTCAAAGATTCTAAAAGATAGCAGTGAACCATTAACACTTCCACTTATGTCCATTCATTCATCTGTATCTGACCTGAAGACCTGAATCCAAAGAAAATACTGAAATCTAAGGAACAAGATGACAACGATACAAAGAGTGAATTAGCAGCATAAACGTTGTCATAAGAGCTACCAGGAAGCATTCGACAAAAAAGAACAGATAAGATATGAAAGCATGGAACAACCAGGAAATGTGCGAATTCTATAAAAAGAATAAGCAGCTACGAAAATGTCAGTTCAATGCTGAGCTCTAAATAACCAGTTAACTAAACTGTATTATGGGCATGCTACAAAGAACCAGCAATAGACGAGCATCAAGTGAAGAAACACAGCATACGCTGCTAAAACGTAACGGAAGTACAACATGAAGACTCCACCTCGACGATGTTTGGGGCCATTGATACGAAGTGGAAGAAGATTGGTTCCTGACAGAAGCACAGCAGACTTCGATAGGAAATCGGAGGACTAGAAAAAATGAAAGAATAGTAGGAAATAAAAACATGATTTGACTGATGTAGCCCTTCATCCAGGCGTTTTTTAAGACTGCAGATATTTTGAAAACGCCGTATGGGTGTTTACATAAAAATGTATGAAAATCATGAGCAGTGGGCCAAATCCTTCTATTAAACTATTCCATACCTTATGTGCCATCTCTACATCGACGTATTCATTAGCAACAAGTCCAGCATGCGACCGATCAGCGTTTTCGCCGAGCGATGATAAGTTGGAGTTAAGGGAAACCGCTAACATGTTATCACGATCATGCAACTGCGAAGCAGTCATGGATTTTAGCTCAACAATTCTAGAAATTAAGCATGTAGCTTTCCTCGTGTCTGCGTTAATAAAATAAAGATCACTGCTGTCATACCTACGAGTCGTGTCCATTTCTGTCTCATCGACGACTTGCCGCAGTTGATTTATTCTCTCGTCGAGCTGGACATTAAGAGCATTAATTTGAACAAGAAAAGCATCTTTTCCCAACAATACTAGGTCAAAAGATGAACATAGCTGGGCCATTTGATTTTACACGGCAAACTGTTCAGGGTGACTCTCAACATTTTGCGGCTCACGGTTGAATATTGCTTGTGTTTCGAAATGATCCTTACGCCTTCGAGAAGTTTGGAGAAAAATGGTCGTATTCTTAGCCTTTACCTATACAACATATTCAGAAGGCTCTACAAACCCATCACCAACTCATGCTCAGCTTGCAAATGACGAAATTGTTCATTTGGACGAGTTACACTTTCCAACCCTTGTTCAACGAGCTCAAATTTGTTACGCTACAACTCTGTCCCAATTGCTTTTTAGGCATTTATTTTTGTTCCAAATAAAAGAATAGAGTTATTGAATATTTAAGCTTTCTTATTTGAGAAATAAAGATTTGGCTTTCTAACTAATTCATCACTGTAAATTTCAGTCCTCTCTGCTTTGTCTTCCACTACCCGGACGTGTTCTTCACTCGATTCCAAGTTTTTCATTATCTGAAACACAACTTCTGAAGTAAATCGATGAAGTAAAAAGAAATCCGGTAAATATAGAAAAGTAATTCCACAGAGTGAAAGAAAAGGATGGCTAGAACAACTTTTTCGTCATGTTCTACTTTCACCTGTGAAATACTTCCTGCCGGCGATTGAACTGCAGACACTCGTCTTTCGCCTCCAGTTGAAGATTCCTCTTTTTGGGATGCGGATAACCCCATTTCTTCCAGAAATCTGCAATAGCACTGAAGATGTCAGCTTTGAAGGAAACCATTCTATAAACATATTTACTAATGGACTGCAAGAAGTTGGCAATAGAATTGGATCATTACTTTAGTTTCGTATTTCTCGTTATCATGGCACGAACGTAGCAATTTTCTGACGACTGACAAACACCGTCCACACCATTCTGTAAGGAAACAATTCTGAGCTGCACAAAAAGAAAGACTGGAGAGACTTTATGACAAACCACTTACTGTAGCACATTCAAATTGTTCATTGGTCCTACATAACGCTCTCTTTAGAGGAATATTTTCGTCATCTAAATCATGGATTGCCTCTTCACCTTCCTGGAAAGCACCAATACAGTAGGATTAACGATACCAGATGCAAAGCCACATCAGGAAGAGCGCTAAGAAGTGACGGCAACAGAAAACAGACTTTACGTTCAACTGAGTGCTCCTGCATATGGATGACACTCCAGCTTCCACTACACTTCGACAACTGCGTCCGGAGACTAAATTTTAATACTGAAATATACTATAATATAAAATATAAAATACTAGTAGTAATCTACGCCCTAAGTTTCTACAGAAAAGTCGCTTTCTTTCGCTTTGTCTGCATTTAATGCAAATTCTTTATGAAGAAAACATAAAACTTCTCACATACGTTACACACCTTTCATGACACGACTCCCGATCAGAAAAAGATTGTGTTGGAGATAAGTTTTCCTTGCGTAAAGCCTGATCCTCTGCTTCATTTCTATGCACTTTCACTGTCTCAGAATCTCTCAGTTGCTGACGCTTTCTAAGGGTCGCCATTTCAATGGCAAAATTTTCGGATTGTTCCAGAACAACTTTGGCGCAAGATTCATTTTGAGCTTTTAGTGGCGCTGTCGTTTGATTACCAGACAATTCAGTGCATTGTACTTGCTTCCAGACCTCCCCATTTCGAGTTTTTGATGCTTGAGAGGGCAATCTTCCTACTTGTCTGCGTAACGAATCAACATCGCTCTCCTTCGTCTCTTTGGAAGCATTATTTACCAGTCCATTTTCATCGGTAATAGAAAATTCCGTAAGTAAACTCCCCTCAAAAGTCAGAGGACTTTCTGGGTCATATAGTATTATCCTTTCATCACTGTCAAACATTACTTTTTTCGACGTCTCGCAAGTTACACACTGATTGGATAAGCGCCGATGATCCCAATAAGAATTCTTCACCGCCTCCTCTAATTCGTTAGATAAAAGTTTCTCGACAGATGCATTCGAACGTTCTTCCTGAAAACAAAATGGAAAACAAATACCACATAGAATAGAAACAAGAAGCTTAAATGCACTTTAGAACATGCAACGTTTACGTTTAAGTGGATCCTAACCTCTCCAACGGTGGTTTCCTGATGAGATTCTGCGCCTATCAGATCAGACAACCGAAATGTTCTCGAAGGGAAGCTTTCTTCAAATAGGAAATTTTTTAAGGTATAAAATGAAATGTCGATGACATTGGGCTAAGTCAATATTTTAAGAAAATCAAGTGATTGAACAAAGTTTTTCCTTAAATAAAAATTAAAGTGCGTGGAAAGTTTGCAAGTGTTTATATATATAATTATCTACTTCTTGAGCGAGATATCACTGAACCTCGATTCCGTGAAATCGTCAATGTCAAGCTGGGATATAGAGATGAGTTTCATCCTCCAAATTTCTACCTTTGCTGGAGACTGAGAATCGGAAAATGTAAGGATTGTATTCCATTCATACGGAAATAACCTTTCCGTGATCACAGAAAGCTTTCATGGCACGTCAATCTTCCAACTGTTTTCGAAATCGTGCAGAAGGAGTGAGGCGTCACACCTGGGTGTTGTTGTGCAGACGGAAGGCGAGCATATATTCAGTTGTCAAAAAAAAAAGTGAAACAATAAATTAACTCTGAAGCGACGATTTAATCACGGAATGTCAGTGTTGCTTTTAAGAATACATCTCTTATTCGTCAGCTTTACTTCCGCGAAGTGATGCCTTTTCTCTTCTAAATACACTTCTTCTAACTTGTTCACGTCGGATAATCAATGTTGGGAACCGATGCCTTCCAATTTGAAAATTAGCAATTTCGAACTCAGCTAGCTCAGCGGAGGCTTACACCATAGTATATCTTTCTTCGACTTTCAAATCCGACTCATAAACCCACTAGAATTCACTACTGTTCACCAGTTTCACCGGTAAAGAATTGATAGCCTTAAAGCGGGACATGTGACCAAAAGTGCTGTTTCTCGGGGCTTACCCAATCTATGTCTTTTTCATAAAATGTTTATACGTAAACCAGGAAAGTTGCCTCTAGACATGAAAGGCATATAAAAATTCTACGAAGTGCACTTTATGGAGCGATTCCCCATAAACATAAGGTGCTCGGCACTGCAGTAGTAAATGGCATCTCATAGCAGTGAACCCGACCTGTAGCTCATGACAGCAAAGCATTGTGTCATCTATAAGATGGTTAACAAAGTAGTCATCGAAAAGAAAAAGTTGGATCGCTACAGAAAATGAATGTTAAGGAATTCCTATTCTATTCGTCAGACCACCAATAATGATACAAGGATGGACTACGAAGAACTAAGGACACCTCTGGATGAGTTCCATTTCTCGAAGATGATCTGCGAGACAACAGGATCCTTCTGGATAGCCTTAATGGGAATCAGACAGCGCAAAATCTAATGCTAAGCTTTGAACACCAATGAGTCTACTAAGGGCACTTCCAACCTTAAAAAACGGCCAAAGGTGTTTATGAGGTGGTACGCAGTGGATAGAGCAATTGCTTTCGCCGCACTTTTAAAAAGGAGATCTTCTCAAGATCTTGGCAGATCTGCCGCATTTTTTCGAACTTCATGACGCTGTCAAATCCGATTTTAATCCGCCATATCTGAGCAAACAGCCACAATACGAAGTTGAATTAGATGTCACTATACGGCAATCTTAGCACAACAAGGCGGCTATGAACAAACCTTTATCACAATAATTCTCATGGTCGCTTTCTGCGTTCTGAACAGATCTGATGACATATTTTAGATCTCCGATCTTTTTAGTTAATAGAATGTTCTGGAATAAGCATTATGAGACATTCTCAACTACAAGATCCTTATTAGTGCTTTTGCTCACCTCTTCTTCGATTTTTTGGTTTTCCATTTGCATTGTGGAAATAGAAGATCGCAACTCGGCCACCTTCATCTCACTTTCTGCCAGTTTTTCGCGAACAGAAGAGAGTTCATTACTGAGCTTTACTACTTCTGTCCTTGCCAGTCTGAGTTTTTCACATTTATCGTCTTTTTCTCTCTCCAACATACTATAGTTTTCCCTCAATATTGCCAGCTTTTCGTTATAGCCGTCAACGACGAGCTCATATTTCCTGCCCTCCGATGCAATCCTCTCTTTTAGGTAAGTCACCACTTCGTTGTTGTTGCGAGTTTCTTCTTCAATGGCCGTCTTGAACATGTTCAGTTGCTGATCAAACTCTTTTCTTTCATCCAAGATCACATTTTCAAGATATTCACAACGTTTTGTGAGCTCTTCATAACCCTGGATTTGCTCATATTCAACTTGTTGCAAAACGCGAATAGTGTTCTCTAAATCGTTGCACGTTCCAATGAGCCTCACGTTCTCCTTATGTAGCCTAGCACATTCGTCTTCATAGTGAATTGAGAGCTCTCGCGTGTCCTCATATTCTTGTAGTTTGTCAGACAGAATTTCTTTACATTCCAGAAGTTCACCATTTTCTTTCTTCACAACCTCCATTTGTGCAATTACACTTCCCATTTCTGCTACAACTTCCACATATTTTGCATTCAGATCATTCACTTTCAGCAACAGTATGTCACCCTTATTCTTTTCTTCATGGAACAAAGTTCCTAATGTACTTAATTGCTCTTCGAAAGCTTTCCGCTCAAAGAGAAGCATTTCTTTTAACTCTTTCTTTCCCAATGCGAGTTGACCAATGTTGAGATCCTTTCGACTATTGTTCTTCGTATCCAATTCCGAATTTTCTGCCGTACCAATACCTCCATCACTCCTCGATATTTGTAACGGCGTTCCGCTTTTAACAAGAATAGAAGTTTGATCTACATTCTTGGAGAGGTGATTATCCACCATACACCCTCTAATGCTCTCGATAATGTCCTCTTGAACAGTAATCTTAGCATTTAGCTCCGAAATCTCGGTTTTTGAAAAGTTAACTAGTTTCAAAGCGGCATTGTAATTTTCCTGGACATGTGGCATCTCAGCCGATGTCGAGAACATGAGTTCATCATCTTTTCCTGGTTCTTCTTCTGCCGTTTCATACACAGTTTCCACTTGGTACGCTTTACGCGATTCCTAAATTTGTTTATTGGAGCGGAAACACCAGAAACGGTAACAACTTTCAATAAGAATTGTAAGAATCCAAGCCGCCTATGAATGCCCTTTCCTACCAGCCTATATCTAGGATTGTGTGGTAAACATGAACAAAGACATTTCATTTTCGACTATTCACTGTTGAAAAGTTGCTCACAAGTTTCTCAGTAAATCGTTTTATACAGAAAAATCGAAAATAATGAGATTATAAAGTGATGCGAACAAAAAATGTTAGAAAATGGACCTGTGATGCTTGTGAAGTATAGCTTTTAAGGCACTCCATGAGTTCCTCGTTCTTCCACTGTAGGAAATGCAGTTCCTTATTGTAGGCCTAAATTAGCCTCATCGATTGCTGAACGGTCATGCTAGAATAACAAAAGTTAGCGATTCGATATTGACATAGAAACATGACAAAGCAATCGTCTGAATTACATAAAAGTGGAAAACTGTTTTTAAAAAAAGCTCTCGGCGTTGATCCGTCCTTGAGGGATGCGCTATGTATACGACTTCATTAAGCATCCTTGGAGGTGATTGAATGCATATCTGGCCTCTACAATGACTCGAGGTGGCCTACTGATGTATCGAGCCAGTGCTGCTGCCCTCCCAAACAAGTTTGGTATCAATTTGCCGACCCCGGAGGGATGGAAGGCTTAGTGTGCCATGGACGCAAGGATCGATTCCACGTGTGTGTAGCAGGGCACCTCCGACCACTGCGCCACACGCGCCCTATATTAAGTCAAAGGTTAAAGTTTAAAGTTTTATGTTTAACGTTAAGAGTTAAAATTAACAAAATGTGTATACCTCTTGCATTTCTGCAATTTGCTGCCGCAGTCTGGACGTCTCTGCTTCGAAGTCATTCTGCTTCATAAGCATCTGTTTCAAAAAAAGAACGATGATTTCGTACACTTTCAAAGTATCATTATTCATAGCATCAGAACGAAATATATTCAAGAGCTGTAGAGTTAATAAAGTTGGATTGAGACTGTTCTATCATCATTCACTGGCCGGTACGTTACGCACGCTGCGCTGCTGTTGTGTGAATATCTAAGTAGTAAAACACGAATTTTGCTTGTGATTCACAAAGACTAGAGGATAATTGGGGCGAAGAGAAACGCGCTAGCGACGTTGGTCCAGGATAGCTGGAGAAAAGATGCCCAAGCAGTGCTAAACATGCCAGTGAGGAAGGAAGTCGCAGCCGAACCTACACATGAATCCAGCCGTTCCGAGAAAACGAACCGTATGCTGTGGCTCGCATACCATTTGAGAACTTTTTAAGAGGAAGAAGAAAGCGTCCTTATTAAGTACCCAAGTAGTGCTAATTAATATTCAGTTACGTATAAATAGACGTAAGACAGTTCTTTCTTCTTCTCGGTGTTGATCAATCCCTTAGGGATGCGCCATGCACTGGACTCCATTAAGCATCGTTTGGAGGTGATTTAAATGCTTATTTGGCCTTTTCAATGACTCGGGGTGGCCTACCGATGTATCGAGCCAGTGCTGCTATCTTACCAGACAAGTCTGGCACGAATATGCCGACCCCAGAGAGATGGAAGGCTTGGTGAGCCATGGGCGCGGGGATGGATTCCACGTTGCAGGGCGGCTTTGACCACTGCGCCACACGCCCCCCAGACAGCGCTGTTAATCCACCAGAACAATACAAGCACAAATCTAATCGGAGAAAATAAATTACCAGAAAACTTTTTTGTGTTATACTTTTGCAAAGGTCTAGCATTTGCCTAAGAATCTGAGAACATACTAATTATTAAAACGTTCTTCTTTGTCAGGTGTATTGTAGTGGTCCCCTACAATGCTTATGGCTGCTGGTTCAACCCACTGCTTGGGCCACCTGAGCCATGTCGTTACTCCGAGGACCGTTAATCGCTACCAGAATTGTTTTGGAGGATAAAAACGATAACCTTTTGCATCGTTAGGCTCCAGCAAGTGATTGTACAGGTTAAATATATGTATAAGCACTATGATGCTAAATGTACTTAAAGGAATAGCGCATCTCCATTGAATCGATCATCCCCTAACTCACTGTCCCATAACCTTTGCGTTTTGTTTACAGTGCTGCTAAAAGCGCTGCACACAGAATAACGGAATGCAGTTAACTAACTACAAAACCATACCGTGTCACCCGCATTCATCTTCTTCTTAACACGCTTCCGCGACGACGCTTTTTTCCTTCCCATGTGGCAGCCACCTCGACGACGATCCGAATCAACCGTTTAGTTAAACGAGCGCTTGAAGAACTAGCAATGGATCCGTTAGACAGATCCATCATACAGAGTGCCACGTCGGTCGACGTGGATATTCCGCATGGCTAACAAGCCAGAACACGACTTCGACAGGCGGAACATGCCACGTGGTTCCACTTTGTTTTTGAAGCACTTGTAAAATCTTGTAAGACGGTATATGAGCAAAACATTTTTATAGGACTTCTTTAGAATTTTCAGTACACGAAAAAACATACCGAAATTGTCATTGTGGTTGTATTTCACATCATACCCTGCCGCGAAAAATAATACTAGGCAGTAAATAAAAAGTTCACATTTGATGCCGATTTGTGCTCTCCAGATCAATCCTGTTGACGGGTCACCCGATTGATGACAGCAGCGCTAGATAGAGAAACTGGCTGAGAGAGAGGTAAAGGGACTCAGTGGTGCCATGCGCAACCCGTGAGTCACCGGTAGCGGTAATCATGGCTTCGATCTGGCCTAAAGTCAAAGTTTTGCAAATATATCAACATCACTGTGATTATGTCGAAATTGCCCGATTAGTGACAGGGTCGATAAAGATACGTAGATACTATATACGAGTAAAAAATATGCTGTTTCCGGATTCTTAAACAAAGCTCGATCTCATGGGGTGACAGTCTGTTTCAGACTACAGAACTAATCTGGCTAAAAGATGAGGACCACATATATCAAGACTTCCCATTCAACGCACAAAGAACCAAGACCTTCACGAGAGTATAGAGACAGATGAAGAGAGAATCACGGTAGCACCTCATTCTTTTTCGTACTGACACTATTAATGTAATGAAGTTAGCATAGAACAAAATAAGGTACTTCCAAAGTTCGGAAAAAGGTAACAGCACCCAAAAAATAAATCTCATATAAAATAGATAGTTTGGCTATAACAGAAGAAAGGAAAAATGCGGAAAGTCACAAACGGGTGGCGATTTGACGCGATCTGAAGACTCAACAAGACAGTAATGCTCACCCAAGTACAAGAAAGGCATATAAGGCAATAGTTGGTAAGAATAGGCACGAATATGGAGAAAATCGCCCTACACTCATAAAGAATCTGCAGTGCGTGCATACCAGAAACGAATTTTATTACTATGCATTATTTATAACCATGGAAAATATCCCTATCTCTATAGGTCATATAACAGAACAAATCAAATCTTAGCTAATAATCTTTCGGTTCTAGGTGGACGGGACACGACACATTCGTTATGACTTCTGTTCACCTGGACAGATAGCAAATCCTGAAATTGTTGAATGACATTTCCAAGCATGGCAGTTTCAATATAATTTTTTCCTCAGCGGAAAACTCCTGTTAATAAAAACTTCTTCTGTCATTGGCCAAGTCAAAAACAACGTCAACATCCGCAACAAAGATGCCCTCGTAAACAACTGAGCTTCGAAAGTTTCTTGACTTTTCATCGACCGTCTGAGATAGGGAAGACGAAACGTGGAAATGTATTCACACCAAATGTTCTTTCGAAGCCAACATTCCCAAGATCTCTTCATATTTTCACTAACCTAGGATTTCCTTCACCATGTTGGAGCTGTGCTCTTGATTTTCCAAGAACCGTTCGACATCTTCCAAGAATCGGTCAATTGTCTCGCCGTACCTTTGTGATCGACACAAGTTCTCCTGCAATTGGAGTTTACTTGGAAATCTACAGGAAATGCACAGCACGATAGACTCCTTGTTTCTACGTCCACTGGATTCTAGGATCGGAAACTTTTCAACAATCAATGATCTACCGCATATAATTTAGTGTTGCTAGAAATCTTTAATAATACGGCTGGACACGGCATGATGAATATAGTATCCCGAACACTGTGATTTGTGATAATCAATTATGTGGATCGTTCACATCTAATGCTAGACTTGAGGAAGCGTAATGAGCTGCCTGATAGATACAACTGCAAGAATAGTCATTTTCAACCCGTGTAATTCCCTTAACCATCGAGCACTTATGAGAACCAACACTATCCTTATCCTTTTCCTTATCAGCAGTCTGATAGACACCCCTACTCGGCGAACACAATAAAAGAACCAAACTTTTAGTATGAACCCTCTTCCTCTTCGTGTATTAGACGAGATGAAAGTAATGGGTATCTCGCCGACTCCGGTCGTTGAATAATTTCACCTATAACCAGAATTCTGAGTGGAAATCGTCAGTTCTGGTAATGTCAGCATTTTTGATTGTTGGTAGTGGTCTCAACAATACTATTCCTCATACTAGACTCTCGCGTAACAGAGCACTTCGTGAAACGGCCATATCAGGTTGAGGAAAATATTAGCGCTCAATAAAACTTGTATGATGACATAGTTGAAACCCCTTCGGTACATTTCTCCTTTGCACAAAGAAGTTAACAAAAACCTCTCACATGCCTTTTACACTTAGTGTCAAAATGTTTATTTCCTATCTCCCAACAGAAAACCCAACATGAAACAAATATCTCGATTCGAATTATCACTGAGTTAGAGGGTACTACCAAACAAAATATACAACGTACATACCACATAGTTAGTTCCAATATTCAAATAGGTGCCTTTCGAACCAGAGAACATACTAAATATTGCGCTACTAGATAAATATTTAATTAAAGCAGTTGTATTCGACGGTCCTTCGAATGAAGGGACAGCGATCCCGTGATCACAGGTAAAACATTTGTTGAACATCACCGTTAATGATGCCCGGAACGTCGACGTACCACATCACTATCCGCCACCTAAAGTAACATTTCACTGAGTCAAATGTGCCTGGTCCGAGTCAATTTACGAACAGAGATTCATAAGTTCAAGAAACGACGTTCAAGACTGAGGAGAAAAGACTAGGACAATGTTTCTGAGTAAAAAGCCATTTTTCCTTTAAGAGAACCAATTTCACTCAGTGTAAGTAAACTGCACTCTTACTGAGTGCAAAAGTGAACAACGTCGAAGACTCGGTAGAGAAGAAATGAAGAATGTGTTCTGCTCATGATTCCCTTCCAGGACGGTGTTTAACACGTACTAAACTGTTAAATATTTAGCTTTTCCTTTATTAGTCTTCATGTCTAAAAATGACATTTTAAGCTTTGTGAATGCTTTGATATTGAACGCCGTATTATTAGAATTCAAAAATGGCTGCACAGTTCCGGCACACTCTTTGTCTTCTAAAAGGAGTAGGAAAAACTGGACTGAAAAAGAAAGGACAGAGATGTTTTGGCAATTTCAAAGAAAAAAATTTTTAAAACTAGATCTCTTTACCTGACAAGACGCATAGGCCACTGGTGAAAGAAGAGAAGGTACGTTTGCGGTTTGTTGTTGTTGCGCTAGATCTGATTCTAAGAGGCCTGTGGGAGAATGTCGTGACGTCTCCGCGGCAGAAATCTTTGCCTGACGACGTGTTGTCAGACGAGCGCGAAGCTGCTCATACGAGCGGGTGATAAATATCTTCTCCTAAAACAACCAAGCAGTGATTTAGATAAGCTGAAAAACTAAACCGAAGTCATGGAAAGGATGAACGCCATAACAGCATATTTAATAAAATAAAACATGATTCCCTTTACAAAATACTGTCCCCTACTCAACGGCTGTATGTTTAATGATTACGCCACGACAGGCGGTTCCAAGAAAGACACCCAGAAAAGAGGATATCGCTCGTCTTTCGGTCGTCACACGAATTCCCTTTCAATTCATGAAGGACGCAAATTTATACAGATGTAGGCAGTATTCTGAAGCGTATTTGCGAATACGTAGGGGCGCGTGTTTCACAGTGGTTGAAGGCGGCCTGCAATACACATGGATCACAACGACTCCGGTTCACCAAGCACTCCATCCCTTCGGGGTCGATAAATTGGTACCAGACTTGTCTGGGTGGATAGCAATACTGACTCGATACATCGGTAGGCCGCCGCGAGTCACTGAAAAGGCCAGATATGCGTTCAATTACCTCCAACGACGCTAAATAAAGTCGAATTCATGGCGTATACCTCGGGGATTGAACAACGCCGAGTTTTATCCTTTCATCCTTTATTTGTAACTAGGAGCACTCAGTCATAATTACGTCACTGAATTATTCATCACGTACGAATGATGCCTAGATTATAAACCACACCTCATCTCAAAAGCGCTACATGTTCTACGACCTTTATCACACCAATTTAATAATTGCACATAAAAACGGTAAATCTGTGGACGAGAGTTTAAAAATTTCTCAAATAGAATAGTTCTAACTAAGAAAAACAGAAAACAAAAAAAACTACAAATTCCGCATTCGCGCTTACTTCGATCGCCATATTTAGTCGAGATTCAGCTTCCTTCAGACGACTGCGTAATTCATCTCGTTCGGCAATTACCGATTCTAATCGTTGATCCTGAATAGAACCATGTATCTAAGCCTCTCAGAAAACTCCAGAAGTCGTTTTGACAGGAACTTACAGTTAGCGAAGACTCATCAATAACTGTTGGTGAAGTGGAGGACGTGCTAAAAATGCAAATTTCAACATCAATGTTCCCAGGAAATGAGAAAATGTTTTTGGTACACATAAAAGAATAGAATGTAGTGATTACTAAATTACATGATCCCTCATAAGAGTCTCAAAACAGACGATAAAGAATCATACGTCACCAAAATTTTCGATAAAGACGGGACCTATCAACGATGAGCATGTGATCCAGCTCTTTCGTTCGAGCCTCGAGTTTTCCTTCGAGTTCCACCCTCTCTTTTTCCAACATGTCTACAGCTTTTTGAAGCCGCAGAACTTCCTGTTGATATCTGCAACAAATTCCTTAGTTTAGCATGCTTGTGTGATTTAAACAAGCTTCATACTTCTCAGTCTGTAATCCAAACTCATCAACTGAGTCCAGTAACCGAGCCTCACTATCCTTGAGTAGACTATTTTGAAGTTCTTTCTCTTCAAGTTGACGCTGCACTTCTCCAAGACTGGACTCCAGTTCCAGTACAAGAACATCCTTTTCTCTCAGTTTACTAGTTAGCTGTTGATCCAACTCCTAAAGAAAAACAAAAAGGAATTGCATCAAGTCCTCAAAACTGGCACGTATTGAGAATGCTAACCTTATCGTGCGTGTGAGAAGTTTCCAGTTGACAGTGTAATTCACCCAACTCTTTCTCCTTGCTCTGAAGTCGTTCAAGAAATGACGACCTCTCAGCATCGACTGTCTACAATCACAAAATACAAATACAAGCCTTATTCTTGTATCCTAAGCACTGGATGTTTTTAATCGTGGCTCCATGTAGTATAAACTCTTTCTATTGAACTTCAGAAGCGCAATTGGCGCTTACTGAAGATTTATAAGGAAACTTAGTCGCTTTTTGATCATAAAAATTGATAATTCTCACCAATAACGTAACTTGTGCATCTTCATAACATCTCCTGGTTTTCTCGTACTTAGAGATCAGCTCAGAGTAATCAGCCTTCAGGAGCTGCAGTTCAGTCTTCAGATCATCGCAGAGCATTTTGCTAGACATCAGTTGCTCTTCCAGTCTGATTTTCTCATTCTCAGCACTTGTGAGTTCGTCCTGAACTCGTCTCCTCTCTTCACAGAGTGTTTCCAACTCGGATTCGCTTCTTTGGTGTTCCGCTTCTTGCAGCTCCGTCCTGGAGGCGATCACTGACCGTAATTTTTCGATTTCGGCTTGTTTGTCCTCAACTTTTTGGATTTCCTCGAGCCATTTTTGCTGGATATCGTCAATCTGAATTTCTTCCAAAATTGAGGATGTGATTTCTAAATTAAATTCTCAAATTGGTGTACACTACATCCTCAAAGTACAAACCTGAGCTCTTAGGTTGGAAGCGATGACTCGCAGGTTTCCTGCCAGGGTTTCGGCTTCTTTACGCCGATCACGTTCCGAGGTCAGCTCATGTTCAGTCTGAAAGTTTTCCAGACAAAACTGCTCTTTGAGAAAATCTTCAATTTAAAGATGAATCCATTCTTTCGACAAAAAAACCAGGTGTGAAAAAACTCACAACCTGCTCGGTCGATGCAAAGCCGATTCCCCAACCATCTTCTTCATGTTTCATCTAAATTTACAAAGAATAATAAAGTTCATATGTTTCACATGACTATGAGCTTAAATAAGGAAGGCGACCAGCTTGAAATGGTGATCGTCTAAAAAATTACTTCTATATCCAGCCCGTGTTTTTCATTTTCCACTTTGCTCAGATGCTCTCGAAGTACCGCCAGTTCCTTTTCGGCATCTACAAGTGCACATACTTTCTGCTCGATTTGTAATTCCAGTTCGGAAATTCGTTGATAGGCCTAAAACTGTAAAATCCTTTAATAAATAAATGGATCGTTTTCATTTTTTCACATTCGGATTGTACTTACACCACTGTATCACTCATAATTTTTCTCTAACATAAAAACTTTACTTTTTTAACCATCGACCATCCTCGTTGTAGAGGTCCTCACTGGTTTTCGTCTGAACTCTTTTTCAACAAAACAAAACTCAATTCAATCCAATGCTAAGCAAATCCTATGACGCAAAACAGAGACTAAACGAAGGAGAAATTTACAATCACCAGCACTTCAATTCAAAATTTGGAAAGACTAGTAGTGAACTTGCAAGTAAAAGTGCATTTTCGAAAGGACAGTTTTTAAATAGTTATTCAATTCTACGGGGAAGTTTCACCGTAAAAACGACAGTTAAAAATCACATTTCTTGGACCAATGCTAATCCGTTGTATGGAAATCTGACCACCACCTGTATAAACAATTGTGGATCATTCACTAACCTGCGTCAACTCGCGTCGTACTTCCATGACCTGCTCATTAACAACCTCCAGATTTCTACTAGGTGTTTCCACGCTTTCCAACTCCTCCCGCATGTCAGTCATAACATCTATGTTTGTTCTCCGTTCCTCTTTGGTCCTCTTTTGCATGTTGACGCATTCGTCCGCCGCTTTTGGTTTCGAAGACAAAGCTGACATTTCTGTTGAGCTCATTTCTTGAAAATCTTCCAACTTCCAACCCAGCTCTTGTTTTTCGGCCCTTAATTCTGAGGTTTGACTCATTCTCAAACGCTCTTGAGCAACTTCCAGTTCCTGCCTAACAGTGCTCAATTCACATTTAATACGTTCCATTTCTTGTATATGGCCGCTCCTTTCTACTTCATTGGCGGCAATCTGTTCATTTGCCGATGACTCCAGAAGAACGGTGAGTTTCTTCTGTTCCAGTAACTCCTTTCTTGTTTTCTCAAGCTCATTTCTGATCTTTTCAAATTCTTCGTCTCCCCATAAATCGCCAGTCGATTTCTTCGCTTCTTGCATCAAACAGATTTTGTTAACTTCTCCCTGGAAACTGATTTGCTCAGTAGCAGACTTTTCCAGTTGCTGCTGCTGATTCCGTCCGGAGGTGAACTTCTTCTCCATAACACTAATGTCCTTTTGAAGAGATAACACCTTTTGTCGTTCGTCAGCAAGTTCTTCTTCAATCTCTTGCAATCTTTCCTCTCCTTCGAGCAGTTGATCCTCCAAACACAATATTCGTTCATTAAGCAACTTTTCCACAGCTTCGAGTCGTTTAACCTGACAAATTCCTGTTCAGTAACAATAAACAAAACACGGAAAAACTAAATTCCTAAGTGAACCTCGTTCCGCAACTCCGTCGATTCGTTCACATTTAATTCCATACTAGACGGCGGTAAAGATGGCTGTTCTTCATGGGTGTGCAATCGATTCTATATTGACAAAGATTCACTATCGTAACAAGATAAATTCATGATGTATAGTACATACTTCACTTATATCAACATCCTCCTGTTGACTTTCCGCTGCTAACACACACTGTGCGTTCTTCTCAAAGGCAAACTTCTTCACCTTCCCATCTGCATCGCCGAGACGTTCTTGGAGCTCAGCTAGTTGTTGCAATAGCGACCGTTCGTTCAATCGCAATCTCGACAACTCCGCCTTAATTCTTTATTGATTAATAAAACAGTACTGGAGCCACTAGAAAAAACCGATAATTCACTATGTTCTGGATGAGCAAACACGAGGTGCAAACGTGCGAGACTTTATTCATTATTGATGGAAAAGCTGATTTCGTCTTCTTCAGAGCCTCGAAAGGTTAAACTGACTGCATTTTGTTGCTTGAGTTCGGGTACGGTTTATCCGATGTCTTGTAAAGCGTGTGCATTGACGAAACGGGTAGACCAGTCACACTGCTTCGGTATAGAACACCTAGTTGCTAGAGTTATACCAAATATTCCATTAGGCGCGCATAGAATACAGAAATATAAGGAAAAAATTTTGAAGTAGAAGCTACCACCCTCACACATGAATCGAGAAAGAGAAGAAATCTACGAAAGTCGAAAAAATCGAAAGATCGAGCAAAAAAACTCTCTACACATTCTGGAGAAATTGCAAGAATCCAAAAGTAAACAGCAGTGAGGAATGCCTCGTTATCACGGGTGATCTTACACAATGTTTAAGACATATTTTAATGTGAGATAGGCAAATTACCCTTCCTTGCAAAGTCTGTGGTGTTGGCCTCCACATTAAACACTCAGCAAAAGCCTTATAGAAATCGCTGCGCGAGTGAAGAAGCTATTTTATTTTAAAATGCGATTAAAATCTTGGTTTAGTGTTTTCCCGGTTTGGCTATGGAGGCGTTTGGCTGGGTAAATTGCAGTCAACTCGACATTTCCAGGCTCTGAATAGGGCGAAATCCACTAAAACGTCAGCTTTTTCGTGAATAAAGAATAAAGTAACACCTATGTTTGGTCATCAAGAATACATTGGATTACCTAGTCAATTCCGAGGTCAACAGAAAGTTGGGCTTAGGAATTATAATGTTAATAAATCAAACATAGGTCGACATTTGAAGGTTATGAGAAGAGCTTGATAGATGGCTGATCACAATAACTAGAAGAAAAGTTAAGAAAACGTCGCCATGAAGTAACCCGATGCTTATTTTGCGTAACAGAAATATTCTCGACCATACCGCGACGTTCGATGATAAGTATATCACACACGACAACTCAATCCTGTGGTTGGACAGAGTTGACGCTCCTGAACATTTCCCAAAGGCTAAGATTAATCATACTGTGGTTATCATGACTTTTTTGCTTTCAGAAGATGGTTCCAAGATCAAGAAAGATCTTCAGTCATGGTATAACGACTTCAGCAGAGAAGTAATTGAAGAAATCGCTAGAATGAATTAGAAATAGCAGCGTATGTAATCAGCGCTGAGCTACAGAAAAGCGTTAATCTTCAGACCACTTGCAAGGTAACACTTCAACCATACGTTTCGCAAATGATGCTGCAAGTTGAACGAACTAGGTTACGAAACTCAGCGCTTCACCCACCACACTCATTAGAAATTTCGTCAACACACTAACACTGTCTCAAGCACCTTGACAAGTATTTAAGAGAAATCTTCACCAACTAAGCCACTGTTAAGGTCTACAGTATAGAAAAAAGTATACTTGTATCATCTTCGTACACTTAACGCGGGTCCTACCTTCATCGATACAGTCGTACCGGGGGAGGTATACCACATTTAAACGTTACCGTTTAAAACCGACCATTATTTTGGCAACACCCCAAAATAACCATTGGTCGACCATTCGCCGTTGCAATGGGTTTAAAACGGACTTTGCTTTAACTCTGACATAGATAATCGACAGCATAGCTTATTGACAAGCTTATATGAGATTGCAAAACATCGCTGTCACGGCTGACATATCGGCACTTTGTTAAAAGCTGTACTGATTCGCGCGGAGTTTTCAAAAAAGTTATTTCTTGGAACGTGGGCAATAATACCCCTGTCGACTATAATCGAGTGGGGTTAAACACCGCATGGATAGCCATAGAAAAAATTTATAACAATCTCGTGTAAAATTTATTACAAACTAAGAAAATGACTCGTCGCAATATTCACTGGTAGTCAACGAATGTAATACGATGGATAATGCCATTGTTTGCGGTAAAGGGATAATCTATAACATTTTGGGACTTATGAACAAGAAGTTGTTTTAGTTCCTGCAACACCTCAGTGCACCCACCTGCAGTTCTCCATCGCAAAACACGTCGTGGCTTGCCAAGACCACTCGATCCTCGCTTTGATCCAGCTCGTTCTGCAGTCGCACATTGGCGTGTGCCAGCTCGGCGTTGGCCCGGAAGAGTGCGTCCACATCGGCTTGACGAGTGGCCAGTTTGGCAGCTAAAATCGCGAGCTCAATGCGAAGACGCGATGACGGCGTAGCTGCAATGGCGCCGCTGAGATACCGCCGTCCGTCTGTTCAAACCCAACACATGTCACGAGAGGTCAGCAGCGTGCAAACACATCCAGACCATGCACACTGCACAACGTTTTATAAGTGCAAGAACTTAAACTGCCAGCTTCAAAAGTATTCAGCAGAATCATTACGGTCAACGCAACAAAGCGGTGGTCTGAACCTATCCACTATCCACGTTAAGTCGTCGATAGTTCACTCCTTCATGATTTTTCTTTGCCTTTGAAATTTTACAGCCAACTTTTCTAGAAATAAGAAATATGATACACGAAATCTTTTCTTATTCTCGTATTTATTTTCCCGGAAAGATGAGCCATTAATTCAGAACACTGAGAAACGAGTTCATTCAATTGTTTAAATGTTGACTTTCAAAACTTCGACCTCGCTCAGTGATCCCGTTAATCGATGGGTGCATTCACTTTAAAAAAAATTCGGAAAACAGCTCAAAGAAATTTTTTGGAAGCAGTAGCAGAAAATGGCATCGTGCAAGTGAATGCAGTGAACACGGCAGCCAACAACAACAACACAGTGACACTTTAGACGACGAGTTAAACGACGGCAACTCAGCAGTCAGCAGCAGAATCGGGAGCAACGAAGCGCAACGACACTCGCGCTTCGAACTTCTCGGAAGTAAAAACAGTAAAGCAGACATCGCCATCTCCGTTTAGTGAAATAACACAATTAAAGCATGAAAGTGACTAAAAAAAGAAAATTGAGACATAAACGCTAGACACTAGACATTTAGTAGTGCGCTCAATTGCGTTCAAAAACCACAGTTGAAGAAATTTCTGCCTTTTTGTTTTTCATTAAAATGGGTAGAAAACCAGACATCACGTTAAGTGGTCATGTTTGGTAAATAAGCATAAAAAAATGTTGTTTTGGAGACCGAACGAGAAAAAAAGTGGTAAAATAAAGTACTCCCAACGGTTTACCGCCTCATCGTGGCTAGGTGTTCCTGGGTGTCGGGCTGTGATGTACAATGGAAGGGGAATTCATCCCCAGCAGGGTCTTCCAAGCTGAGGAGTCTGGTGTTTCCGACAGGAAGCCCGGCTAAGAGTAAACCAATACCAGGATCCACCACCGTCCTGTTATCAAACTAGCGGCAAGGAGCCAAATCTCCTTTTGGCACCCAAACGGCGGCGACTGCTTGTTGTGTTGACGACTTCGGGCAGACTTTGGCTTTGTTGACCTCCGGACTCCAGGCAACCACAATGGCTGGACCAACAAAGCTCCGACAGTGGATATTGTGCTGGGGCCCCCATAATCAGTGAGGACAAGCCACGCAAATGTCCAGTTAAGTAAGTAAAGCCCACACTGATAAACTACGAGTAGGTGAAACTACGCAGGAAGTAACTGTGTCGGAAATAACGAATTTTATAGGGTTACGACTGTTATGCTTTACTGTTTATGGAAAACGGTTCCTTTGAAATCTCTTCCACCTCCACTGCCCGAAAACTACAAAGCTGTGTTTTAGGGAGATTCGTTAACCTCCTCACTCATATATGCCGACGTCATTAAGTTCATACGAAATGCTGCTCTTAGATATGTGTCTACTCAAATAGGAAACGAAATTTTGGGTCACGAAATAGGAAGAAGCACAAAACAAAAGCGAAACGGCACGAGTGATCGAATTGAACAGAATCTAAGAAGACAGTAAGAGATCAAACACTTACAACACAGACATCCCCTCCCAATCAAAAAGAACTGGAAACTTAAAACGAAGAATTTATCTATAAAACATACCGTCATTTTCCTCGCTTCGTGAAATGAGCTGGTTGAGCGTCGATTGCAGCTACAACACATCTTTTTAGATAGTTAACATATACCTGTGACAATGAAGATTTCTTTATATACGATTTTAAATGTCTACACGAACTTAAGTGTGTACGTTTCTATCGCTCGAATTACAAGAGTCATCGCGCTTGTTTGAAGACGCTCCGGGGCCACTAATCCACTAATCCTTACGAAGTCGAGAAATTGGTACTACATTTGTCTAATATCGGCTCACTTCCTTCAATCCAATTGAGAATGCTCTAACATTTCAACCTCAGTACTCGAGGGAGAATCGATTAAACCAGCATTGAACAACATTCATAAAAAGATGGAAAAAGTCAAGCAGCAGCCGAACCTTGAGCCAAAAAGTTCGTAATCGATTGCAAAAAGTGGTGAGATCAAAATAGATGTGAAAACAGGAAAATGTAAAATGTAAAACGATCTCTTTTGCTACTCAGAAATGGTTTATTATCGAAACCACTACTGTCCTTAAATCTCAAGGCTCAATGAACGTTCTGCGAGGAAATGTGTAAGAATATCAAAAAGTATAGGAAAACGAAAGACAAACGAAAGATAAGGAGGAAAACTAGAAAAAGTAACCGAGAAGAAATCTAAAGCAGGGAAATGCAAGTGAGGAGAACATGGAAGAAAATGTATACGTCGAAATTTTTTAAAATTAGCAAAATAGTAGAAACCGTATTCTCGCATAACAGTCACGCTGAATACTTGCAAATAAAAACAGCAGTTACGATCGTAAAAAGAAAACATTTAATGGTTCTTTGTGGTTCGCCAAACGAAATCTCTAGGACTTCTGACTTCCCTCACGACAACATCGACTATAAAATAAAACTAAAAAGACAAGCCTCTCGACGTCGATCTGTTCCCTAGGGATGCGCCATGCATTCAATTTCACTAAGCTTCGTTTAGAGAGATTGAATGCATATCTGGCCTTTACAATGACTCGCTGTGGCCTACCGATGTATTAAGCCAGTGGTGCAATCCTGCCAGAGAAGTTTGGTACCAATTTGCTGACCCCGGAGGTATGGAAGGCTTAGTAGGCCACTGGCACGAGGATCGATCCCGTGTGCATTGACTATATACTTAATACACTTTATAAGTTGAAGAGTAAAATCCTACTTTTATGACGGCTTGACAATTCTAAAGCATTCACTTAAAACAACACAAAACTCTATGGTCAAACCTTATTGAAGCACTTTTGGCCAAAATTCACCAAATAAGCAGCGTACATACCTCATCAACTTTTCTGCGTAACATAACGCACTCATCCTGCTTCCAGTGGAGATCGTCTTCGAGTTGTAGAAGACGCACCTTTGAATCTCTGCTCTCGCCACCAATCTTCTGGGTTTCTTCTTCAAGACAACGCAACTGCTCATGAAGTGCTTCATTTGCGCGGCGATGCTCCGCTATGGCCATCTGATGTTCTTCCAGCTGAAACTTGACGTTAAAAGCTATTAAAAGTACTCGGACCACTTACATCGAGGTTTTATTTATATCCAACTCATGATATTTAAAATCCTACATTCCTGCAATGTGTAATGTATAGCTGACAATACATTATAATGATGCAATGAAAAATAAAGAACTCGTAAAAAATTGAATTTTATATGCTTCAGTTATATCGGCAAAAGATATGTTGAAGTTCAACACCTTTAGATCATCATCGAAACTGGAAAAAAGAAGCTAAAAACAGTGGAAGCAATAAGAAGGATCTTGTGATTTGTGTCAAAGAGTGTCAGTAAAGGAAATGGAAGGTAACGACGAAAGCGATCAAGTTAGATGTGTGTGGCCGGATTGCGCATTGTCACGCGACAGCTACTCTTCAGTAACACTCAATACAGTGTAGAAATAAACTCCCGGTTTATATATTAAGAACCGATAAATTTTTGTATTTATTTACGGCTAATGTGCGAGATCTGATTATAAGCAACAAAAATGACAGAAAGGCCAGCAATAGCGAGGTAATACAACTATGAAAAGACTGATTTTCCTTCAAAATCGGAATTGGTAGATTTCAACACTTCAGGAATTGTTGGAATTCCACTGAAGTTTGTCATAAATACTCTTCTGAACATGAATTTATGAAAAGATCCAGATCTCGGAAGTTGTTTGCTAACTTTCACTTCAGAGACAAAGCAATTATCTAATTAAAAGCTAGAATAGAAACTTTTCACGGAAAAAACCCAGCAGATACTCGGCTGCCTGGCATTGGATAAAGCGAATAGCGGAAACTATATGCTTTCAATCGATGTAGAAATTCCAGTTCAAACATTGCATAGTCGTAAGTAGGCCTAATTTTTGCTGCTGATGCTGCGCATTGAAATTAATGCGCATCCTTGTCAACAGATTAATATGGGTACCGTACTCAGTACTAAGAACAGCCTGTACCATGACGCGCTAAAAATACCCACGTACCTCAACTAACTTTGCTCGCACAGTAGTCTGAATCAGCAGAATTTTCCCGTGAAGATCCATGTCTGAGCATTCCAATTCCAAGTTGAGTTCCTTAAACCACTGTAAGGTTAAAACTGTAGCACTTTTTCGTCATGTTTATTTCCAATAACTAAAATACTCGAGATGAGTGGAAAACATAATATTCTCGCAAAAAAACCTTGCTCTATCGCTTTAATTGAGCAAATATAGTCTTTCTAAAACAATGCGATATTTTTAAGCTTGCTTAACCCATAGCGGACGCGCACCCTTAGCATGTCCGGCTTCGTTAAACACTACCAATTCTGTCGATTTTCTGATTTTTTGACAATAAGAAATAATTTTCCAGCAAGTAGAGTTCTCAAGGCGTTGCGAACATGACAGAATTGTAGAAAACTTTTGTTCTATCGTCCTACATGTATGAATGATATTTGTACTACTACAATGATGCTAAGATATTTGCAAAAGTTCAAACCGCAGGTGTCTGCAACGGGGAACGAACCTCGAAACCTGCCATGAAAAAAGAATAGACAGTAAATGAAAAATGATTACATAATGATATTTGTGCTATAACATTATTCACTACCTGTTACAATGCTCGATCATGCAAAAACACCTCTGTTAGCAACTAGAAGAGTTTTGCAGCTTACATTAAGTTTGTTTCGATATTTTTACAATCTTACATTCCAAACAGTAAATGTAGATACTAAAATCAAACGACAGTTTATTGTTACTCAAATAATCGGCCAATGAACTCTTTCCAAAAAAAGTTGTATGCAAATCGTTAAGCGTACGAAGTGCCTATTCTGGCCGTAGCTCTCGTTTGAACCATATCTGCTTTCTACTAGCTACTGAATGAGTGAAGACACACACAGCGGTAAAGAAAAAATTCGGAACGCACTAAACTGAAAACCGACAATATCGTGTCGACAATGGACGTTACGAGTTAAATTTCAAACCCCTAGCCAACACAGAATCTGCTCATATCGAATGTGCACTCGAAGACACTCCCGTACTAGACAAAATCCCGCATATTCAACGCATCATTGTTCAAAATACAGGCTTCCACAGAAAAATACGCCATATGTGCGCCGGTAAATCAAAACCCCATCTGTGAAGTAATAGAAAACCTCACCTCATTGGCAAAGTCCAAAAAATAAAGTCAAGTAATAATGAACTGGGATCACAATGTTAACTTTTTATTTGCTGTTTACTACAATTCTCACAGCGGAGTATCATGTGAGGTACAACCACAATGATACCGAGATATTCGCAAAAAACTTGCACCTCCGGCCAGATCGAACCACGATTACTCTCTCCATTGGCTCTCCCGTCACACACAACACCCTAACTCTGACTTTCTCTCAGCTAGTCTTCAACCTAACGCTACCATCAGAAATCACCCGAATTGATTTCTGAGTGCTTGAGATATGTTTATTAAACGCCGAGAAACGTTTCTAGTGACACATGAATGGAAATCAATTTGTAGTCAAATAAACTTATCCCTTGTTGTAAGCCATACGAAAGATAATTGTGCAAAACAACTCACAGCAATCATCTTGTCTACCACAGACGACAGAACGTTATCAATGTTTGACAAAGATGCGGAAGCCTGAAAAATGACAACGAGAAAGTCGCATTTGGACGAAGAATATATTTCTTAGAGATTAAGCGATGTTTTCGCACTAACATTCTGTTGTTTGCTATCATTTTCTCTCTCTGTCTCCAACTGTTTGAGTTGAGCATATATTACATTGTAAGCAGCTTGCAGTTGACTGTAGTAGTCGCTTAGTTGAGCGTACGCTTTCTCTACCTGCTCTCTGAATATAGAAAATTTCCACAGGAGAATATAAGGCTATGAGTTTGATTTCGAATTAACGAGGACCAGATACCTTCGCGTCTCCATTTCCAGACATTCGGCAAGACGCCGATTACTTTCGTTCTCAGCCTCTGCTGCCTGACGGGTAGCTTTTTCAGTCAGCTCCGTCTGAAGAAAGTCATAGCAATTAATATACGCTTTTATACAATGTTACACTAAAATATATTAACTTTCGACATACGTACAATGCACAGCACCAAGATTTAGAAAAAGTAGAAACTCTAGAAGCATAATTATAAAAAAATACTGGATCTGTAGACTGCTGCTTTAATTCCACGAAATGCTCGGATTACCTTTCAAAGCACTTCTGTTTCTATTTATCTGAGTGAACAAGACACTTTGATAGGCAGTTCACCTGCTCAGATAGTTCGCAATCCAAAGCATCGGCTCTCTTTTTTTCTGCCTCCAAAGACGAATCAAGCTGTACCACTCGGTCCTGCAGCTGCTCTCGATCAAGGATGGACTGCAATGAGCAATAACTCATAAGGTGGTACTACAATTTGTAAGCGCACATGTATTAGCATACTGCTTTGAGTTGGCTGTTCAGCGACCAGATTTCGCCTTTCAGGGCCTCAACGGTGTTTTCTAGCTCGGATTTCAGCAACCACATCTTTGCTATATCCTAAAAAAAATTCACGAAGAAGTACATTAATGCATGCTTCGAAATTTCTTTTGAAAGCAGAAAATGAGAAGTTGCAGTGGTCATTGTAACCTCTATTGACTTATACGCACATCTTGAATAAAACCCATTACAACAGTGCCGTTTTACGTCTTCATTTAAAGCCGCATAAAGTATTCCAACCTGGGAGAGGTCCTTTTGCATTTGGTTTGATTCATTCACGCACTGCCGTAGGATCAAATTCTCTGCGAAGAGATCCTTGTTTGTTGACACATTGCTCATTGAGGATTCTTGAACATAGATGTAAAACGACGAATACAGTAATTTCTAATATGACAGCTTGAAATAATACCTTCATTAGCTTCTACAGAAGGTGACTCGGAGTTTGAAAAACTTTGTTTAGAATCAACGTGAGCAGCTTCATCAGAAGGATCTCTGTCATCATGCAATTTTAATACCGAGTCAATCTCCGTAACCGGCACAGAAAGCAATAGACCACATGTGGGACTTGTTACATTAGGCGAGACAGCTTGCTAAAATGAACTCGGTTTATTAACAATTTGATGCTGATAAGCGAGGCCAGATGATTACTGATAGTGAGTGCATGTAAAAATAATATCATAACAAGGAAAGAAAGAACCGGAAGTAACAGAACTATTTTATGACATGCTAACAATGGCTAAATCGATAGCAACCATTCACATTTCGTGTAGGGACCACTGAAATGAAAAGTTTGTGGTGGGTGGAAACGCCTCGCTAAAAGAAGACAAACTACTGTTTAAGCGTAGCGGAAAACATCGGTTGATGAATTCCGTGGTAAAACATTGAGTAACATAGAAGAATTTTCTTATTTTCTTTACTGTTCTTCTTCCTTTCAATTTCTCAGTAACAATAAATTCCCATCATTAACCAAAGTTAAAGTTCGGTTCGATACAATAGGTCGCTGACGAAATACCTGAGCTGACTCCTGATCCAACTGAGACTGATTGATCCCCTTTCCTTGTTCGTTCGTACTTTCGTAACTTTCCGCGAAGATGCTTACTGTCGACGTCTGCCGCAACCGCATATAAGAGTGAGAACAACTATTCAAAGAACTTGATAGTTCCTTGGCTTCCTCTAGGTACGCTGTAAGAAAACGATAAGTAGATAACACTTTACAACCTATGTTATTTCAGATAGAAGTCGCAAGTATTAGGATTCTCATAAAGAAACAAAGATTCACTGCAACGGTTGTCGATGTGCTGTGGGCATTTGAAAAGGTTCAACCAAACAATCAAATGGTTTTCAAAACCCACCACCACTTCTATACATTGCATGAACCAGTGAGTTTATCTTGGGCAATTAGTTGCTACTCTGTGTACACGTCGTTCACAACGTCTTTGGGAAGTACGAAAACTCCTGTTAGAATTGTGCGGCTGATAAAGCAGCCTCGGTAAATCAACACATTACATATTTATATTAAACGAAACTTTTCCACCAGTTCCTTCAGATTTAGGCGCACACAAATCGATTGCATAGATTTATTGCTAATCAGCGAATTTATACAGAAAGTACGGACATTTATGAGTGCTTGCTGAACCAAGAAGTGTTGACATTGCTCCAGTTGATGTGATGATGGGTCGAGTAAAATAACAGAAAAATTAATGACTGATCATTAACATTATTCCTATTTTTCGTCCCTTTTCATATTCCATATGAGCGCAGACATGTGGCGATGGATGAACTGACATATTTCTCTAGTTTAACGTTTTGTTTTCTGCCTTCTATAATTTTCATGGCAGGTTACTAAGCGAAATACAACCACAACGTTGCTGAGATATTTGCAAAACTCTGGACCGCAGGTGTCTATGGTGGGGAACGAACGCGCTATTATCCTTTCCGGGGAGTAACGCGTTCACCACCACACCATGCGGGTCCTTTGTTTCGCACGTCTCTCAGCTATTTCTATCGATCTTTTTGCCACAGCAATCACCCGTCAGCGGGGTTGATCTGGGGAGCACAAATCGGCATAGAACCCAGTTAAGCTATGGCTGTAGTTGAAATCACAATGTTTAACGTTTTGTTTTCTGCCTTCTATAATTTTCATGGCAGGTTACTAAGCGAAATACAACCACAACGTTGCTGAGATATTTGCAAAACTCTGGACCGCAGGTGTCTATGGTGGGGAACGAACGCGCTATTATCCTTTCCGGGGAGTAACGCGTTCACCACCACACCATGCGGGTCCTTTGTTTCGCACGTCTCTCAGCTATTTCTATCGATCTTTTTGCCACAGCAATCACCCGTCAGCGGGGTTGATCTGGGGAGCACAAATCGGCATAGAACCCAGTTAAGCTATGGCTGTAGTTGAAATNTGTTTAACGTTTTGTTTTCTGCCTTCTATAATTTTCATGGCAGGTTACTAAGCGAAATACAACCACAACGTTGCTGAGATATTTGCAAAACTCTGGACCGCAGGTGTCTATGGTGGGGAACGAACGCGCTATTATCCTTTCCGGGGAGTAACGCGTTCACCACCACACCATGCGGGTCCTTTGTTTCGCACGTCTCTCAGCTATTTCTATCGATCTTTTTGCCACAGCAATCACCCGTCAGCGGGGTTGATCTGGGGAGCACAAATCGGCATAGAACCCAGTTAAGCTATGGCTGTAGTTGAAATCACAATGTTTAACGTTTTGTTTTCTGCCTTCTATAATTTTCATGGCAGGTTACTAAGCGAAATACAACCACAACGTTGCTGAGATATTTGCAAAACTCTGGACCGCAGGTGTCTATGGTGGGGAACGAACGCGCTATTATCCTTTCCGGGGAGTAACGCGTTCACCACCACACCATGCGGGTCCTTTGTTTCGCACGTCTCTCAGCTATTTCTATCGATCTTTTTGCCACAGCAATCACCCGTCAGCGGGGTTGATCTGGGGAGCACAAATCGGCATAGAACCCAGTTAAGCTATGGCTGTAGTTGAAATCTGTTCTTTACAATGATTCGCGGTGGCCTACCGATGTATCGAACCAGTGCTAGTGTTCTCCCAGACAAGTCTGGCACCAATTTGCCAAACCCGGAGGAATCGAAGGCTTGGTGGACCACGGAAGTGGGGATCGATTCCACGTGTGTGTCGCAATGGCACCTCCGACCACTGCACCACACGCGCTCTTTTTCTATACTATATGGTGGTATTATCTAAGTAGTTACAACGACGATGACTATCTGGTACATGCAAATACTGGCAAATTTAAACTTTTTCGAGTCCACTCTACTTTTCAGTTTATCCATTTAAAATACTTTTTACATCTTTTCTACAATGAAATGCTTTTCCAAATTTCGTTCCAGAGATAATACTTATCGCGTATTTGACGTATGGAAATTTTCCACCGGATTGTTTCTTGAGATCTTCTAGTTCTTGGCGACTAGGTAAGCGAAGTAATCGTATCGTTCATTATGACTTAATTCACAAGTATCACATGACTTACCTTTAAGACACATGTCATTTTCTACTTTATCATTATCCACCTGCTGGTTGAGTTGTTGCAAAGTTTCTTCATAAGTAGTCATAGCGCTGGAAATCTCCTAAAGTAAATCACGTGGAATTTCTGCCCATTCATCAGTTAGCTAACGAATTCCACTTCTAGGAACGAACATCGTTCTTCAATCGTGCCTGCGAAAGCTCCTTTTCTAGCTCGTCTTCTAGTATCTCGTGCAACTTCAATTCCATCTCAAAATGTTTCGACTCCTCTTGAAGAGTGCTGATCTGAGCCTATAAGCAAATCAAGAATAATATGCCAAATCTACATAACTACTTGAATCTGTAGAGGTTCCAAGACCAATCCGAAAAATATTACGGTAAGCAAGCCTGCGTAAGTTTTCGTTAAAATGATAGAAAATCTTCTAAACTAGCGGCGCAAAGAAGACAAGAGATAAAAGGGAAAGAAATTTAACAAAAATAAGTTTCAGCAACTGTAAGGGTACCTTTAATGTAATAACTTCCTTCTCCATTTCCAACATTGCACGGCTGTATTCAGTATTCAGTTCTTGCGAGAGGCGATTCTCAAGTTCCAGGGTCTACAATTTTTCAACTTATAAATCACATTTGGGGCTAATGAATGTTTTTGTTTCAAACATTTAAAATAACGACTTTTGTCAAAAACGCTATGATTTCGAGTTTCAGCATGAAGGTCACCTAATTGAGGCTATTTTAAACAAATATTTTATGCAAAGCAAACTGACCTAGCATAGCTTCTATGTTGTGACTTTAATAAAGTCTAATGTTTACAACCAGTTGGTGAGGAACGTAGCAGTTTTACTAGATGTGGATAACTCTGACATCAACTACTCTATACTCTTGAAGGATTAAGTACTTAGGTAAACTTCAGCCGGTAATTTAAATACAATTGTGTTTTTTTTTTATGTGAACTTATAAACTGATTTTCCTAAGCTGACGCGAAGTTGGTACAGGTCTTCGTCGTCGTTGTCGTTGTTTTTGATGTTACTGATCGATGGCTGACGTTTCGGCGACTTTGTCTTCCTCGGAGCCTGGACGTATTTTATATTAGAATATTTTTATTATACGGTGGAAAGGAAAGGTTAAAGTATTAATGAAGATCAAACTTTCAAATAGACACCATATTGAACAGAAAGGCCACTCCAATGATGTTACTTATGGGACTGGAACACGCGTTGTTTTCGTGGAGTCGCGAGCAAGACACATCCTGGGGTCAAAATATCATTTTGAAATACGGTGCTAGGTCACGCGCGATAGTGAGGCATTCGTCCTTCCGATTCATCTTTGGATTTTTGAAATTTATCCAAAAGGCCTCAAGAGTTTTGCGCGTTGATGCTTTTGATTCCAGCGCTAGGATCCGCACACTCACTTCAAAATCATTGTGCTTTTGTACCCTATGCGTACCTAGAGGAGTGTTTAGACGGATTCTAGCTTTTCCATCAAGATGTTCTTTTATGCGGACACAAAGTGGTCTACCCGTTTCCCCAATATATTCCTCGCCGCATGCATTACATGAGATCAAGTATATTATACCTAAACTCATGCAATCCCCGTCTCTCCCGTTAGGACAAACCATACAGTTTTCTGAGCTGCACAAACGATCATAGAGACGGTTTCGAACTAACTGGCGGCGTAGGGTATTGGGTGGGATGTCAATAATCGTTACATAATTTTCAAGACCACTTTTTCTTAAGCACTTTTTATACATTCATATAAAATGAAGTAAGTCACGCCATTAACATCGACGCTCAAAACTCTCGAGGCGTTTTGGATAAATTTCAAAAATCCAAAGATGAACCGGAAAGACGAATGCCTCACTATCACGCGTGACCTGGCGCCCTATTTCAAAATGATGTTTTGACTCCGGGGTGTCTCTTGCTCGCGACTCCACGAAAACAACGCGTGGGCCAGTCCCACAAGTATCATCACGGTGAGTGGCCTTTCTGTTCAATATGGCGTCTATTTGAAAGTTTGATCTTCAGTAATACTTTAGCTTTTTTCCACCGAATAATATACATGTTCTAATATAAAATACGTCCAGGCTCCGAAGAAGACGAAGTTGCCGAAACGTCAGCCATCGACCAATAACAT